CCAATGGAACAACACTTACCCAAGGCTTGGTATCCACTTGTAGAAATCAAGATCCATATAGGACACGTTGCTTTCTCAGTGAATGGCGACTGAATACTTTTTGCATAAATATACGTTCCACTTTCGTCATTGAAGTACCCAATGCCATATGTAGTTTTACATTACTGCACTCAAGAGTTTTTTTTTTTTTTAATTACAAACACAATACTTACAATACAATATGAAACACCACTTACACTAATTGCAATGCTTATTTACATTACTCTACTTACAGTCACTAATAATTACACTACTTACAGTATCCAGCGCTATTAACAACACAATCGACCAATTTTACTATTACCTACAAAAAGTACTATTTTCTTTTAACACTGCACAGTGACACATACCGGCGATTGCGAAGTTGTATTTGAGATAAGAAATCCAGGGCCCTTCCTTCTCATCTAAGAGACGCGGAATCGAGGACAATCCTAATGCTTTAATATGTAGCTCAAGGTCTGTGAGATTCATTCCACCATTCTCTAAAGAATTTATCACAGAAAGCCTTGTGATTTTATCAGGGCATTTCCATAAAAATTTGTAGATCATTTTCTCCATCTGTTTAATAATTTCGGGTGGGGTTTCTATTATTGAAGAAACATATAATAATTTTGGGATTAGGAAAGATTTAATTATTGTTACGTTGCCAAATAGGGAGAGACCTCTAAGTTTCCATAAGTTAATCATTTTTTGAACTTCATTTAATCTATCCTGGAAATTTTGTTTCATAACTTGTTCTTGATCACAGGAGAAGTGAATAACTAGGGTCTTAACACCTGTACACCACTCAAGGCCCAGAGGTGTTTCTAAAGAATTTTTGTTTTTTCCAACCCACATAGCTTTGGTTTTAGAAAGGTTCATTTTTAAGCCAGAACATTTTTCGAAGTCATTAAGGATTTGTATTACTTTTTCGATTGATGAAATATTTGTTAGAGTAGCTGTCATCTCGTCGGCATATAACAAAGACCTAGTTTCATCTTCCCCGATTTTTATGCCTTCAATATTCTCATTTGTTCTTATAGATATCGCCATAATTTCAATGGCAATTAGAAATAAATAAGGCGACAAAGGGTCTCTCTGCCTAACACCCCTTTCTAGTTGAAAAGGAGAAGAGAAAAAACCATTATTAATAACACAACTTGAGAGGTTATTGTAAAACGTTTGAATCTACTTTATGAAGGAGGGTCCAAAATTAAAACACTCTAATGCTTTATAAAGAAATTCATGTTCTAAAAACATCCTGTCCCTTCCTTTTTTGTCGATCAAGGTGATGATCGCCTGCTTTTGAGAATTTGACATTTGTCCTAGCTCAAAATAATGATTAAAAAATTTCAGTCATTAATTCACCAACAGAATTCCAGAAAATTTTATAAAATTCAGCAGGAATTCCATCATTTCTCAAGAGTTATCTTGCTCGTAGGAAAGGGCCCGTTGAACCATGAACAATTGCTTTCGTAGGGCTGTTGTGCATTTGAAGGCACTCTTCGCATTTCGAACAAGAGTCCACTGGTGGAGTGATGAACTTGTTGAAATGACAGCCGTTATCTCAGGTAAGAGACCATAAAATGTCTCCTACAGCGATGGAGGAGGATGAAAGCAAAGGTTATAGGCAGAGCTAAATCCTAGTTTTTTTACACTGATAACTCTTCCAAGTTCTATCCAGTCTGACCAAGGTTCCAATTTTTAGGTCTGGCATACTTCAACAAGTCATGCGCAAGCTTGGAATCACACAGTAGAACACACAGTATAGGTCATCACTAAAGAACTTGATGACATCTTGCCCTTGAACACGACACCGTCCTGTGTGGAGATTTCTTCTCTGAAAGGAAAGTATTTCTGCAACTTAACACCTTAAAAATCCTTCGGGTATGCAGGCCTGCTAACAATTCTGCCACTTCAAGTGGACACAGGCATGGGAAAATCTGGTGGAGTGGGCTGAGGATCTGGCTGCAGGAACTTTGAAGATTTGACAACTCCATAATTTCTAGTTGAGTCAAGAACGGGAACACTTGGCAAGACTGGACGGGAACCAAGCTGCGAAGCAGCTGGCATCTCAAATTTTGAGGTTTTAGCTCGTAATAAATTAGACAACAACATATACCTGCAAACAAACGTGCAAGGTTTACAAAAATTAAGCACATAAGAGAAAACTAGTTGTAATCTAAATAAAACTTAATAGACAGCTGTTAACAAAAGTACGCTTAAAACTTTCCGTACGAATACAAGGTAAAATGTAGTTATGGCCGCGAGAATTAGGGTATCCCCTCAGTGGGTCTCCAGGCGGGTGGTCGAATCTGAGTATCTGCCTTTGACTGCACTTTGTCTTCGTCGAGCATCCCTTGGAAGCTCTCGGGAACTCTGTAAAGATGTGAACGATCTCGGCGGTAGAGTCTATCATCTTCTGTGCATACTATTCAGGAGCATACCGCTCCCTGACTACTACTAGCTTGCGCTTTAAAGCACTTTGAGTGACATGGTAAAGGTCGAACCCACACCACATCTCTGACTTTGAGTCTTTAGCTCCTCTGTCGCAGTAGATGGGTTGTTTATGTCTCCTTTGTTGTAATATGAGCTTCACATTAGGGATGACTTTCGGATGAAGCAGGTGATTAACCATTAGCAGGAAGTGCTGGTTCTGCCTGCGAAGAGACGCTGGGCAGGAGTGTTGTTTATCCCTTTTGATGGGGTGTTCCTAAAGTCCAGTAGAGACAAGTGATGGTCATGGCCAGCATCAACAGCTCTCTTCAAGATGTTCTTTGCTGTTTTTAACACTGTTCTCCACCTTACCGTTGAATTGCAAGTATCGTGGTGAAGTTTTAATGTGTTCAAACTGATACTCTGCTGCAAACTTCTGAAACTTGTTACAGTCAAACTGTGGTCCATTGTCTTTGGTGATACGGTCTGGAACCCCATATCTTGCAAGGTGCGGCTTTATTTTTTTCAATAATCCTCTGGCGGTCTTAGATGGCAGCATATCTAACTCGAAGAAATTAGAGTAAAAGTCAGTGGTAATCAAGTATTCGGTGCTGTCAAGCTCAAACAGGTCTTTTGAGATGCTCTGCCATGGTCTTGTTGGTATTTCGTAAGATACTAGAGGTTCTTTCCGCTGTTCTCGTTTGTAGCTGTTGCAAATGCTGCACCTTGAGGTGAACTCTGTAGTTTGCTTGTAAATGCCTCGCCAGTAGAAGGCTTCTTTAGCTCTCCTGAGACACCCCTGAACACTCAGGTGACTGGCATGTACTTTGTCTATCATTAATTGCCTTAGAGTAAATGGTACTAAAATTCTCTTGCCCTTGAACACGACACCGTCCTGTGTGGAGACTTCTTCTCTGAAAGGAAAGTATTATTATTGCAACTTGAGTGTTATGTCTGCCTTGCTCTTAAGCCAGTCTTGTTTGATCATAGTGACTAATGCCTTAAGCTCTGCATCAACCTCCGTGGCACTCTAGATTTCTAAGCGAGTTAGTTGTCGAATGGGAACAGGCGCAATCATATCTAAATGCTCAGTCTCAATTTCTGTTGGTGATCTCATGTCAGTGACGCTCCATACTGCTTCTATTTCACCAATTTCCCGTTTAGCCAAGGGAAGGTAGGTTTGCCTAAGGGGATCCGCCATGTGCATCTCACTGCCCTTTCTGTATGAGACTTCTAAGTCAAATTTCTGTAGACGCAGCAGCATTCTCGCAACCGCTTTGGTGCACTCAACAGACTCTTCTTCACAATGGATTCCAGGAGTTTGTGGTCAGTATCGATAAAAATCTCTCTACCATATTCATCTTCATTTCCTTCTACAATGGACATCGCCGCTCAACCCCATAGACAACTGACAATAACTCTTTCTCGATCTGGGCATAGTTAATTTCCGTAGGAGTGGGGTCCTAGAAGCATAAGCAACAAGGTGCCCTTCTTGTAGGAGACAGGCCCCTAGACCACTCATGGATACATCGCATTGAAGGATTAAAGAACTTGAGCACTGGTGTATGGGTTAGAACTCGCTTTACTCGCTCTAAGCACTTGCCATGAATTTCTTCTTCCAGTACAAATTCATTTTCCTTCTTGTCAATTTCTTTAAGTGATTTTGTCAAATCTGCTGGATTGGGTGTAAACTTCTGTAGGTAATTTACCATGCTTAGTACACTCTGGAAGTTTGCCTTATCAGAAGGGGGCGCCATTTCGTCGATGGCTTTCAACTTCTTTGGATCAGTGCCGAAACCCTCTGAAGATATAATGTGGCCCATGTAGCTGACTTGTTTCTGCCCTAACTGCATCTCCTCTTAATTCAACTTGATACCTCTCTGTCGACAGCGGTTGAACACCTCTCTCAGGTTGTGGACGTGATCTTCAAGGGCTTCTTCATCCGTGTCTCCGGCTTCAAAGACCAGAATGTCGTCTGCTATAGCTTTTTACCCTGGTAACCCTTTAAGGAGGGCAATTGGCACTCTCCGTGTAGGTAGCTGGACCGGCTGGATATTCTTGTCGATCTCTAGGGGGAGTTGTCCATCCAGTCTGCCCTCTCCAGTGAACACATCCTTGTACTGCGACATGTAGTCTTCCACTTTAGGACTTTCACTCTGCATGTCTTCCAAGTCCACTGTATGAATATTCTGTTTTTTTTTCAGTTAGCAATTGAAGATGTTCACTGGCTCTCAAACCCGGAACGGATTGCATGCAGTACTAACAATAAGAAACTCAGCGCTGTACCTTTTATTGTTCTTTGGGTTAACGACTTTGAGTCTTTATTTGCCCAAAGGTTTAACTTCTGACTAGTTGTACATAACCAGTCAGAAGTCATCATTCTATTTCTGTGGTCTTCTTTAACTTATTAGAGCTGTTCTGCCTACAGAACGTTGTCACCTTCTCATCACTCACGATGTTTACATTTGATCCACTGTCCGCTTAAAACTTCTCCTTTCCATTGACAAGTAGGTTGGCAAAGACTTTGTTAAGATGTCCACTTATGGCTAGAGATTTAACATGCTCTTGACTTTGATCTCAGCCACGTATTCATATCCCTTGTCGTCAGATTCACAATCCACAGACAGAACTTTTTTCTTAGATTTCTGGCAACAAGCTGCAAAATGGTTTCGCTTACTACAATTCTTGCAAGAGGCTCCCCATGTTGGACAGTTCTTTTTCGCAAAAGGGTGTTGTCTTGCACAGAACTTGCACTTGCGTCTTGTTCGAAGGCTTCTCTGGTACCCTTTTCTTCTTTCTGCCAAGTTGTTTTCCTATCTCTTCTTTCACAAAACGAACATCCTCCTCGGTCATCACCTTTAACTGTTGCGCTGATGTCTCGATGGATCTACAAATTTCTATACATTGACCTAAGGTGAGCTGCTTGACTGCAGGAGCTTCTTGCAAGCTGAATTGTGATTAATGCTAACCACTATTCTATAAAGAGTAACTGAGTCTGTCAATGCCCCATAACTGCGGGTCCTCACTAATCTTCCTAGTGTGGTCACATACGCATCCACGGATTCATTCATCTCTTGGTCTCTGCGATTGAAAACATACTTCTCATAGGTCTCATTGTACTCCCCAAAGCAGTATTTTCCCATCTTCTTGAGAATCACTACTGGGCCCTTTCTTTCATCTTCGATTTGAAATTCCATAGCATCAATAACATCTAACGCATCCGAGCCGATACTAGTAACTAAGGTGGCGGTCCTTCGTTCCTTGTTCCAGTTCGGATTGTCAGGGGCCTTGAGCTGGGCCATGATTTCGTAATTTGACGACGCTCGTCTGAACCGTTGCCACTTGACAGGGAGGTTTCCACGGCTTCAATACAACTTTTCTTGAGGCGGTATGTCACAGGAACAGTTATCACACCGGGTTGTGTACCCGAAGAATTCTGAGTCGAGGCTGAATTGCTTCCTTTGCTCCCAGTGGGCAAAACGCAGAGAGTGGAGACGAGTGTGCACAGAAAATTTCCAACAAAACTCCTCAAGTTTGCTTCTAAGGTCACGAGCGGCAGTTCTATATGTAGTTCACTATTGACACCATGTAATGTAGTCAGATAATACAACGATTTTAATGTAATTGTAAGTTGATCCTTTCAAAAAAAACGCATGACATTACACGTGTGCATGCATCTCACTGTACTGTGCAAGCCGGTAGGTAATTCTAGATTTTTTGGTCCTTATGTTATTGAGAAGAAGTTAGATTACTTTAAACATATTATAGTCACTCCAGATGGGCGTAAGCAGACAGTTATATCATGAAAATATGTTAAAGCCCAATGTGGAGCGAAGTAGTAATTTAGTCAAAGAGTTTGCAAATGTTAATGAAGTTGTTTTTGCCCAAAGAACTGAGTGGCGAACTTAGTAGTATTCATCTTAGTACCACTGACACATCAAAACTCACAAACTCCAATGTGCTGCGGAACTTAGACTCTAAGCTGTCACACCTGGAAGAGAGTCAACGCCGGGACCTGAAAAAGCTAATGCAAGAGTGTGAAGACCTGTTTCCTGATGTACCTTCCAGGACAGGTCAGATTTACCATGTTATGGATGTTGGTGATGCTGCGCTCCTATAAAATAGCACCCGTAGAGGCTAAATCCAGGTAAGCAATAAAGCGCAAAGGTAAAATAAAGTATTTGCTAGAGAACGACAATATTGACCCAAGCTGCAGTAGTTGGAGTTCTCCATGTATACTTGTTCCCAAGCCAGACGGAAGTTACCGTATTTGCATAGATTACAGAAAAGTGAACAACGTGACCAAGACAGACACCTTCCCTATCCCAAGAAGGGATGGCTGAATCGACAAAGTTGGAAGAACAGTGATAAATATCAAGGACAAGGATAGTTAATACTTCAAGTAGTGTATATTAAGAGCAGTTAATCCCATTAAGTCAAGCTCTGAGAGGATTTCAGAATTAAAAGGAAAGACAAGCCAATTGAATTTCACAGGGATTGAATTCCTAGTGAAACTGAGATACTGATAGGTTTGAAAAACAGAATGAGGTTATCGCAGTAAATGTGTTCGGTCTTGATGATACAAAAATCTATCCTCTCAAGATCAGTGCAAAGAATATCAGAGAAGAGAAAGGAAAACAAGTCATTGATCTCCTTTTGATAAATGCTACACAGATGACCCCTTCGAGGCCTGAAATTACAATCGTTTTATAAGAGATCCATTTGTAATTTACGGTGACTTTGAATCATCTAGAGAACCGATTGGCATATGCGAGCCAAGCGGTGACGAGTTTCACAAATAAATATAAAAAGCATAAACCATGTGGGTTCTGCTATCACGTTGTCTGCTTCGATGATAAGTTTTACTCTCAAGAGCCAGTCATCTACAGAGCCAAGAGTGAGGATGAGGATGTTGCTCAGATCTTTGTTGAAATGCTGGAGGAAACATCTAATGCATTACCAATAATGAGGAGAAGTACATCAGCTTCAGTAAATATGTCGTCATTGGCCCTTTCATCGGCAGAGAAGGTAAAGAAGTTGACATTAAGAACGAGCTTCGCTTTATCGACAACTTCAATTTCATGGCTTCTTCCCCCGATAGTTTAGTCGCAAACTTGAGTCTTGAGAAGCTGAAGGAAACTGAGAAGGTACTCGAAGACAAAATCCATTGGTCACCCGGAAAGGTGTGTCTCCATACGGCTACATGAGCAGCATTGAAAAGTTTCATGAAGGAGAACTACCTCCCAAAGAAGAGTTCTATTCAAAGCTGAATGACTGTGATATATCTGATGAAGACTATGAGCATGCTGAGAAGGTCTACAAAGAGTTTGACATGAAGAAGATGGGTGATTACCATAACCATTTTCTCAAAACGGATGTTATCTGTTTGCATACGTCTTTGAAGAATTCAGAAACGTTTGTTACGAGAATTATAAGCTCGAACCTGCCTGGTATTACTCTGCTCCTGGATTGGCTTGGATTGGTGCATTGAAGGTGACAGAAGTTGAGCTTGAACTCTTCAGTGATGTTGACAAGCTGCTGATGTATATGAAAAAGGAATTCGGGGAGGTTTTTCAATGATATCAAATCGCCATGGAAGGGCAAACAACAAGTACATGAGTAAAGCTTATGATGAAACAAAGCTAACGAAATATATAACCTATCTCGATGCAACCAATCTTTACGGTTGGGCGATATGTCAGTCTCTTCCTGTTAGAGGTTTCAAATGGATGACCGACCTCCACACTTGGCAAGAAATTTCTTGTGATTTTGAGGTGAATCTTGAGTATCTGAAAGAGCTACACGATCTTCACAACGATTATCCGCTTGTGCTGAGAGGCTTAATGATCAATAAATTAAAAAAAAGTGATTCTCTATCTGTATGATGAGGAGAGATACATGGTTCATCACGCACTCAAACAATATCTCGATCTAGGTTTGAGGATAAAAAAGATTCATAGGGGAATAAGCCTCAAAGAAGAGCCTTGGCTTGAGAGCTACATCGAGCTCAACATGAAGCTGCGTGCAAATGCAAAGGATGACTTCGAAAAAATTTCTTCAAGTTGATGAATAACTCTGTCTTTGGAAAAACTATGGAAAATATCAGGAGTCGTGTGGACGTGAGATTAGTCAATGGTAGAAAGAATGCATTGAAACTTGCAGCAAATCCAAACTTCAAGCAATACACGATATTCAATGAAGATGTTGTAGCGATTCAAAAGAAGACAAAACTTAGGTTTGATAAGCTGGTCTATTGTGGAATGGGCATCCTCGATGTCAGCAGTACACTGATGTATGACTTCCACTACAACTACCATCAAGAAGAAATATGGCTAAAAAGCAGAACTTTTATTCACGGGCACTGACAGCTTGATGTGGGAGATTGAAACTGAAGACTTTTACGAGGGTATACGCAGTGATATTGAAGAAAACTTTGACACAGGCAATTACCCCAGGGATCACGTGTCAGGGTGAGGTCGTGGGAATGATGAAGGATGAAGCTGACAGAAAGATCATTGAAGTGTTCTCTCAGCTACATAGTGTTTGAGGGAAGCGAAAAAAAAATTCAGTGGGAATGCTCAAATGAGGAATATGAATTTAATCAGAACACATGGGCATGAGGTCTTCCCTGAGACGATAAAATAAATAGCTTTGAGTGCAAATGATGATAAGAAAATAACGAGTGAAGATAAGACTGCACCTTTTGCTTGTGGTTACTACTACTCCCTTGTCCGGCTCGAAGGGCTTAGACTGTGGAGCCCTTTGGGTCATGGGCCACTTCACAGCCCAAGCAGCCCCTGGCGCAAAGTGCTAATCAATTAGATCAATAAAAAAATATAAATTTTGATAACATTCCATTCAATGCGTTAATGGTCGGTCCAGTGAACTCTGGAAAGACAAGATACCTGGTCAATCTCTTGAGCACCACTTTCTGAGGAGAGTTTGATTACATCTTTCTCCTCTGTCCAACATTCATCCACAACAATACATATGATGGCTTCGCAGAAAATGATAAGGACCTACTTATCCTAACCCCACTCCAACGTCAGATCGATGATTGGCTTAGGATTATCAGTTTTGTGATTAAGAGAACAAATACACTGATCATTCTGGATGATTGTGCTGCTTCAAGAGATGTGAAGCAGAGGACGAATGAGCTCGTGAATTTAGCGTTCAGCGCAGGACATAAGGGAATCAGCGTTTGGGTCTTCACAAAACAGATGACAAGCATCGCAAAACCATTCAGAGACACACCATCTGCCAAGGATATGAAGATGATTTTCGAGGATTACGCGGGCGAGCTGATGAAAGATGAGCAGAAGGAATTTGTAGCAAACCTAAAGACAGTGAAGTATTCGCATCTCAATTTTCTAATTTCGCCACCCCTTCAGCCCTTCAGTATTGATCTAACAGTTAACAACATCTTATATAATGGATATGAATGAAAAAGACGTTGCTAATGATGTTCGGAACATTCTTGAAGCTGAATCAGCTGGTGATTCTGAACATAGTGAGCAGCTCGCTGTTCTCATTGCAAGTGGAAGGAAATGGTTGGTGTATCTCTCACCCAGGATCAAGTCAAGAAACTTACTGAACAAGATGTCGAGAAGTACTTCAAGAGATACGAAACTTCCTTATCTTCAAAGACTTGCTTCATTTTCTCCCTGTTGATCAAGGAAAACTTCTGAACGACTTGAATGATAACTTCATGGTTAAGAGAGAACTCGGAGTGATTGGCGGTGGATCGAGTCTAAATTGTGGAAGGTACATGGCAATCGCAAGTGCTGCACTTCTTACTGTCAAAAAAGTTAGAGTACCTGATCAATAGTAAGAAAAGGATAGTATTTGTGAAGAAACTGAAAAAGTTCTCATCAAGTATTTTAATAAGAGCTTGGATAAGAACTTGTGTAAGTACCTGATAAGAACTTGATAAGAACTTGAATAAGAACTTAAAAGTAAGTAACAACAACTAAGATGGATGATAAAGAGCCTAAGACTGAAGAAGCACTAGCTCAAGCTCTTTGAGCCGGGCCATATAGTGCTAGCCCTGAGGGGCGGGGCCTCGTAGAGGCTCAACGGGTGACTTAAACTGATAGAAACAAGACGAAACCAGACAAAGACCCAGGGCGTGTTGCAGCTGGCAAAACGCTTGCTGAATACAACAAAAGAGTGAGACAGGAAAATAAGAAAAACAAGACGAAAACCAGACAAGCAAACCCCAGGGCAGAAGCCTTTGGCCAGGCCCTGGCAAAACTAGAAAAAAAAAAAAAAAGAGTTGATGGCCCTCTGGGGCCTCGGCCGAAAGCTTGGCTCTTGTTAATAAACCAAAACTAAAACCACAGGCTAGACCAACACAGCCACAGAATAAAGCCAATGGATTAATTTTTTTCGCTGTTTATCAAAAAAAATGTCTGATTGTAAGCTTGTGAAAACATCGAGTGATTCAGCTACTTTGACTGGATTGATCGCCAGAATCGGATGGGTTGCAAAAAAAGTCATTAAGGAACCAATGATATCTGATCCAAGTTCAAATCTAATGAAATATGTGAAGTTCACTATCGTGATCGCTGCGTCAATTGCGGCAAAAAGTATCTTGAAGATGAAAAGATTTTGCAATCTTAAAAACGTTCAGCCGATTTACAATTAATGCGATTAAGTCAGTAGCAGTCTGCTCAATCATTGAGACTGCCTTCATATCCTATATCAACGAGAAAGAAGAAGATCCGAAGGATTCAGACCTCGAAGAGGCAGAACCTGGTCAAAAGTTTCATGATGAATACCTGTAGTCGATTTTCGAAAATAATGTTGAAGATAAATAAAATGGCAAGCACAGCAATAACGATACACCTTCAGAAGTCTCTTCATTGAGACCGTTCATAAGGGAAAAAGCAACGTGCTGGTGTCACACAGGTCACAACTCAAACAGTGAAGTGCCTCATCAAAATATACTGTGTCACTGCTTTCGATCAATCAGGATTGAACAACCGTGCTACACAAAACAGAAAAATTTCACTCAGACCAAAAATATAAACTTCAATAAACAATGGTAGACACTTTTTCTTTTTCCATGAAAATGGGCAATCCGATCTTCCTTTCACCAATAATCGTAAAATCTTAAATGTCTTCAGCGTCATCAAGATAAATAAAAGAACTTTAAATGTAACAACAATATATAGGAAACTGTTTGATTGGAAATGGATGTATTCAAGACTTTTTTCTTTCTCTTAAAAAAGATCGAGAAGTTGACATTGGTGGCTAAATACCAAAATCAGGACCAGATGTACTGTTTACTATTGTCTGTTTGTCTATTTGCTGCAATGGGGTGTGTAAATCTAGTATTTCTTCCACCGAAAATCTGAAGTCTAATGAGGCACTTTTCTCGCTACACAAGGGGGGATTTAATGCGGGTTTTACTCTATGAATTCTTTCGGTTTCTATTGTGCAATTTACAGTAGAAAAGTTGTCGTTAAATTCAAAGCTTTGCTCAGCGTTAGACAAGGAACATAGTTTATCTTGAAGTATGTTTTCCTTTTCGAGACAATAAAATTCGCTTTCGTTTTGTTAGCTTTCGTTGTCTGAATCCATTACTGTGAGTCACTTATTACACGTTTACATCTTTTAGTTTCTCTCGTGAAAAGATTGAAATGTGCAAATAACAAAACTCGGTGCAAATATGTGACGGATATATGATCAGTAAGGGCGCGCCTTGTGTCTTTTTTACATTAAAAATAATTTCCTTTAGGGGCGAATATAAAGGCAACGTGGTTCCGAGGCATAATTCCCCTTTCCCATCTATTGTCATCGTTATTATAGCCTGCTAATGAAGGAAATGGACAGAAATGATCAATGGAGCTTTCAAAATTCAATTTTAATATCTTCATATGAACCAATTTCTTTGTTTTTAAGACTATTTCTGAGAAGTGATAATTTTCCATATGCTAATCTTCTGTCACTTCGTCTTCTTCCAGTATGGTTGGAGGGATATTTTCTCTAACCGAGTGAAGAAGGTCTCGGACTGGAGAAGGCGGAGGTTTTAAATGCTGTAAATGATTCCATGGAATAAGATCAAAGTATGAAAACGTAAAGGCCTTGGTTAATCGTTGGGACAATGAAAGGTAATGACTCTCTTTGAGGATTCCTGCGATAAACAAATGTCTTTGTAGCTGCTGCTGCCGTAGTAAAGCCAGAGCGTCTTCTCGTTGTTTTCTGTCTTCCTCTCGAAGCTTCCTTTCGCGCTCCTCCTTCCTTCTCTGCTCTTCCAGTCGCCTTCTCAGTCCCTCCTCTTCTTGACGCATTTTCTCCAGGAATGCTATCCTCTCTGACTCCTCCATAGCTTTAATCCTCTCTTCTTCTTCCCTTAGCCGCGCAGCCTCAAGTTCAGCCTCTATTTTCTCTTGTTCTTTACGCAATTCCTCTTCGAGTTTTCTCTGTGCTAGTACCTGTTGTTGTCGTTTTTTCCAGTCCTCCTTCGCGCGACGTTCTCTTTCAACTTTAATGCTCGCTAGCCGCTCTTGCTCCATCTCCTCTTCCTGTTTCCGCCGTTTTGCTTCTTCTTTTTCCTCTCGTTTTCGCCTTCAAAAAGACGAACAATACATTATCACCCTGAACAAAACCAAAACTAACTTTCTGCCAAAATCAAGCATAATCTTCTCAAGTTGTGAACATAATACGGCAGATCTTCACTGAAAATTTGGAAAAGATCAGCCGTGAACAAAACAAGCAAAAGTTCACTGGCAATAACGCATTGGGCTCTCATGGTATCACCTTATTTCTCTGAGGGAACCAACGAATCAAGCAGCATAGCCACAACACTAGAAATGCACGTAAACCAAAATGATAAGTGAACACGTTATTCTGGGAAAAGAGAACTCCGTTCTAGAACAGGGAAATGAAAGGGATTTATGTTTGTCGATATTTACGCTCGAATTGTTGAAAATAATTATTCCTGAAAAAGTAGCGTCATACATGAACACGAAATGCACCAAAACATTAGTTTAGACTTGCAAGTTGATAATCGTACAAGCGCATCGATCAATTTGGTACAAACACAAAATTGTACTTGTTCAAACTCTACCACAAGAAACAACAAATGCATAAGCGTAAGTGGAAAGCATTAGTAGAAAACGTACATAAGTACAAGAATAAAAAATTGACTTAAGCAGTTTTGCTAACAAAAGCATAAACAGGAGAATATTATGTAAATTTAAGCACAGGCTAGTGTTAAGTTGGTGTATGCTTCAAGCTGTCGATATCAAAGTATGGAAGCACTTGGGAAGCTTGGAGAGTACTAAAGAAGCTTAATAAATTGCCATCACGATAAAATTTTTTGTTTCTTTCTTGTAATTTTTCTGCCAAGAACATTCGCGAATAGAGCTTCAACAAACTTGTTCATATGATAGTGTAGAATAAGTTATCATTAAAGACTGAATCCACTGAAAAGTAGAGAGTTTTTAATACTTACATTACAAAAACTGATTGCACTAAATCACATCTGAAAATTCTTTCCAAATTTATAGTTTCAATATATTTTTCTTATCCCTTAGTCATCGCTGTGAGACTTGCTTTATTTCGCAGCGGCGATCTCGTGCAGAGTTAAATAGTGCTGCCGCTATACGTAAATAGTGACATTATTTGGAAGAGCCAAAAAGCAGGATACAACACAAACAAAATAAAAGGGGAAAGGAGAGAGAGGAAAAGAATAACAAAGGAACCCCTGGAAAATAATCAAAATTCAGACTACAGACGAAACAGAGGTAGAGTTCAAAATGAGTGAAATAGCAGAAGAATACCGAATGTGGAGCTGAAGACGGAATCAGATAGTTAAGGTGAACTAGAATTGAAGATAAAAGTGTGATGGACATTGTGTCATTTGAAATCACTAATACAAACAAAGAATCCTAGCTGAGTAGAGAACGTTCTTCACAAATTGAGAGTTTTAGTTGCAAAACTTTCAGAAGTGGAAATCAGTCTTTTCTGGCATTGGTTGGGGGATACTGTTCGCAAGATAAAACTACTACTTCGACAAAAAGGTGACGCTTTTGATTCTTCAGTTAAGTCATTTCTAAACACCGAAAGTCTGTCGGCAATACCGATTTTGAGGCCCGATTGGAATAAATTTTAGCTCAAGCGCCAATTCTTCACACCTTTCAGCAATCGGACCAGAGGACCTGTTCCAGGCATCGATGTTCTTCGGGTTTTGGGTGGAGGAGAGGGTCACAAAGATGTCGTGCATTTTAGCAGAGTTATCCAGCCATGCTAAAGGATAATCACGCAAAACTGATCGCAGATTCAGCAAGGAACTTTAAAGAACAATTTTTAAACGTGCGTTTTTTGCTACCTTTTTTCCAGTTTTTCTTTTCTGTGGCTACTACCTCCTATAGAAGGCGAAGCCAAACATGTCGTCGAGATGAGTGAGTGGGTGATCGGGTATGTGAGTGTAACAGTAGAATTCCGATCTTATCCCCACTCCTGGTGCTAATTACTGTTTGTTTCCAGTCTGCTTTGTTTCGGAGTATCTTATTAGTTCGACACTCGCAATCGATACACAGTTGAGTTCTATCCTTTTGTAATTTCTGACCTATAGCCACTAGCACATTATGTTCTGAGTTCTTGTCGTGACTGTAAGGAAGACAGAAAAAGACGATAAACATCTCACAATTGTTTCAGGTTTGCGCGCAATTAAAAACAAAAGTTTTCTTTGCAGAAATATCTTCTAAATAGGTGTGATTAGCGCATCATGAAATTTAGAGGAAATTTTTTTCTTTGAAGAGGATGCATTTTTTCGTTTTGATCAGCAAATTATGTAGATCCGAAGATGTAATCTTTCCAGTTCTTGCCGTGACACTACAAAAGACGATAAACATCTAAAAATAATTTCACAGGAGCATCTATCGACGCGTAGTTTAAATCAAAACTTTTCTTTGCAGAAATATCTCAATAGATGTGATCTGAACATCATGGAAGCTTTGAGAAAATTTTGTTTTTCTTTGAAAAGAGAGTTGAATTAAAGTCTCAAAAAATGTAATTCCAACAAAATAAGAAAATCATTTTTAAATAAATTAATTGTAGAGAAATACGAGTCGCTCGTGATCGCAAGTTTGTCTTTTTCTACATAGGCGTGGTCGTTAATTCAATCGAATTACTTGAGCGAAGCGTACTAATTGACATTCATTGTTTAGATTTTGATGTGCAATTAACGTTGAATCAGTGTCAGTGACGTTATGTACCGATTAATTCGAAGTTTCAACATCCTCTCCGGGCAACCCACGGGCATTTGACTGTCGTCCGTTCGTCCGTGCCGCGGAGGGGGAGGGGGGGGGGAAGTTTGAACCTTACCTGAGGGGGATGGGGAATTTGAACCAGATGTGTCAAGTCTTTCCAGTGGAATATACGTGGTTTATCATTCAATATGAAGGCGCTTAACGCGGATGGCTCAGAAGAAAAGGTCCACAAGATCTAGGTTTTGGAGCTTGTACGATGAAATTAATAGCTGATCAATAAGTAGAGAGTCTTGGGTATAGTCCTACTACAGTCGTATCTCTGCTTTTCAGTGAAATGACCCTTTCTAGGTAACATATTGTATATCAGCATATGAAAAAGTTGTTAAAAGTGCTAATTACGTAGCCGAAAAATCGCAAGAAGGGAACAAGAAAATTTCTTACAAGAAGTTTAGCCTTGTGTGACAATCACTTAGGTGTGTTACATTACTATCAGATTGCCTTCCGTCTTCAACAAATAACTGTTGATCTACCGGTATAAATGATTGAATTATCCTATATCAAGTCCACAATAAGGCTCAATTTTATCCTTGAACTTTCTGAAAACTTACATGTGTTCGAATATGCGAAGAAAAACAGACACCTGCCGCTAGCTTATGGAATGTGTTATGGTAAACAATTTCGCCATGGGAAATAGATGAGAATTTGAAACGAAAGCAGGGTTAAAAATTAATCTGTCGTCGTCAGCTTTGCAATTTTAGCTTACTGTATTGGTTTCCTGATCGAACACGGTACTAACTGCTAAAATTTGGTTGGAATCCGGATTTAATAACAGGGTACATAATTAAATTATGTCGGAAATGAAACTATATTTATATCCTAGAAAACAACATTATTTCCACTTATTTTGAGCTTGACCTGAACCGATTCTGAGTTACACCACATGGGAAAAATGTTACTTGAAAATTTGCCACGAAATGCGATATTTAGATTTTGAAATATAGGTGATTTTCAGAAGCGTGCCGTGAGCTCCAAATTAAATGAAATGGTCCTGTTTTATACTTAAACCAGACCTCACGCGGTCTTGAAAAAAAAGTCGCTCTTACGTTGCTCTTGGTTACTCTCGCTGTGCTCTCCAAACGTCCCACCGCATGTAATTTAGGCACTCTCATACCTTGATACTCGCTCACTGAGCATGAATTAATTCTTAATAAACAGCATTCACATGCACAAAAACATATTTATGAGTACGAGAATGACCACCTACTTACATGTAAGTATAAGCACAAGCACAAGCACAAGCACAAGCACATGCACGATAGGATAGCTCATGTTGAATCAAAAGCATAATCATCAATGTATGCACATGAACAAATCAGGATGTACGAAACACAAGTACAAACGTAAGCATAAGCACAAGCATAACTGCGAGCACAAGTATAATTGTAAGCACATGCTCGAACACAAGCACAAGCAAGAGAATAAATGTGCGCTGAAAGGAACATTTCTTATAACATGGTGGGTGAGAGAGAGCGGTCGATGGTGATGAGAAACAAGAAATTTCAGATTTTACAATCATGTTTAACCATCATCGTGCTTTCAGCTTCAGATAGAAACTATACATGCAGACATGCATTGATCATTGTTCACAGTCTTACCTAAGTTCTTCTTCCCTTTTCTTCATTTCTTCTTCAGCCTCTAGCCTAAGTTGCTGTAATCGAGTCTCCTCCTCAGCTGCTCTTTTCTTGGCCTCTTCCCTCTCCCTTCTCTTACGTTCGACCTCTTGGCGTCTTCTTTCTGCGGCAGCCGCTCGTTCCGCTGCCCTTCTAGCTGCTCTAGACTCCTGAGAGGGTTTTTGCTCCTCAGGTTCAGGCGTTCTCTCTACTTCTGGTTCCGGATCTGGCTGAATAATTTGAGGCTCAGGAGGTTTAGGTGCCAGAAAAGGAACCTCAACAACTGGTGTATCGTGTCTTTCTGAAGGCGAATCTGCAGTTTTCTTTTCGCTTAACCCATCAGAAGCTTTAGAGGAAACTCTAGATGAGGTCACTCCAGAAAGAGCCGACGAGACAACAGTTCTTTGTGATGTTGCCGGTTCATGTTCACCTGTTTCCGAGTCAACTCTTAAAGGGTCAGCCTTCTCTCCTTCCGCCGCTTTTACGTCAGAAAGATTTTCTTGTTTTTCCTGATTATTTTTTTTCTGTGTCTCTCCTTTCCCTTTCCCTGTTTTCGAAGTTTTATTCGAGGCTTTGGATGGTTCTTTTGTTGATTTCTTGCCCGCCCTTTTTTTCACAACAGGTTTTTTCTTAGCGGGCACTGACTTGGCTTTCCCTTTGACTTGTCCTTGTGTTTGTTTGTTTTGGAGACCAGCTGGCGGCTTAGATTCTGCCGGACGGGGAAACTGAAATGGCTTCTGCTCTTTCTTTGGGGACGAAGTTTCCACTCTTGACCTTGCTTCGATCAAAGTGTAGTCCTGTTTCACCTCTGTTACAACAGCATCCAAAGCTGTTTTGAATTCTTCATCCTCGTCATCTGATTCTTCATCATCGATCTCATCAAACTGAACTCTATGAAAGCTAGGCTCTTCGTCTTTAGTTGCATAACTAAAAACGTCAACTTGCACGTCAGCATTTGAAACCCGTTCCCAGGGTATCGATTGAGCTGCATTAGACGAACCAGATCGTTTGGTTGATGCGGAGCCATCTTTGAGTGGACAAGAGAGAAATTGAGTTTATACACAGCAATGAAGCACAGGGAAATCATTTTAGATATAATCTTAAATCTCCCAATACGGGAAAGATAGGTCGGAATGGCTACATTTTAAAACTCAAGTTCTTGGGTTCACAAAACAGAAGCCGAAAAGGAAACCAAAACGAGGCTCACTATTTTTTCCAATTAAGCCTTTTTTTTTTCGCCTGTAATCTGTTGGCCAACTCACAAAATCCTTCACTGACCATGCATGTTTGGTCAAGGCCAATGAATATAAGACTCCTTCTCCAACAATTTTGGGAAAGAACAAGAGAGCCAATTGCCTAGTTATCTACTAATCATAGAAACAATTATTAAACCTACCCTGACACAACATGCTTAGTCAATAAGATCTATTTCTGTCCAGTCAAGTTGCTCTCATTTTTTTTGGAACACATGATGGAGTGGAGCAATCACGCTATCATGTAACCACGGATAATAAACTCACGTTTCTCGTAGAATTTATGGACACTGGTATCTAGGCCAGGAGGCTGCGACTGGCTGGTCTTGCTCAATCGTTTGGGGAGTGGTGGCAAGTTTTTTAGGACCTCTATTTCCATCACTTCACCTGTGAAATAAAAGCGCACTAATTTGTGGCTTATCAAACAAACATGTGGATGAACTGAAAGTGACATGCTTAACAGCACAAACTGGTCAAAAAAAAGGTGTCAGGAAAATGGTCAGCTATTGCTTGTAGTAGTTATAACTAGTTATGATCGTTTGGACAGTTATCCTTGTTTGATTATTTAAACGTTACCGAAAGTTGTAACTTACTCGTTAACCAAGTCGCACTGAAGCACGTCACCAAGTCAGTATTCGTAGAACAAGATTGGTAATTATAACTGCTTTATTAACTTCTTAACCACTAAGAATGACAAGCATCTCATTTCTCCTACAAAATCACCCCTGAATCACACACTAAGGCTAGAAAAATAAACTCTAAATGATCATCGGCTCTTGATTGTTAAACAAGTTCTTCTTGCCCGCACCTGAGAAAATGTGTAGAGAATAGAATACGAAGAATATGGATCCTGATGTCAGGGTGTAAAGGGTTGACAGATTTACTTATATGTTTACAGAGTGTTTGTAGCAATATTTGTGACGAACACATACATGAGCTTACACTTTCAAACTTATTCTAACTTCGCTGGATGATATGAATCACTAGTAATGACTGACATCTTAACGAGTTACGCAAGTTCGGGGGGAAGGGGTGGAGTGTCCTGATATCACAAGACAATCATTTCAACTTCTATCTACGGCGTACTCAAAGCTCTAGCGTTTTATTGCACTGATTGTAAACGTACTATCTGCTATAAGCTGTCAATTTGCTTACCTCCAGAAATCCTGAGCGCTTCCCGTAGAGCTGCAGGTGATGGACCTGCCGACCTGCTCATCTTGCGATGCCTTGCATGGCGAACTAACCCTTCCTTTGCTGCCAGGTGTGTTGAATGTTGTCTTTGATGGTTAGCAGAGCTGACACGTTCCGCTGAAAGCAAACAAAATTAACTTGAACAACTTAAAACAGCAGTAAGTGTTGGATAAACAGAAGTGACGATAGTATTTCTGGTTAACTTATGCGTTGCAGTAAAAGGACGAGGAAAATAAGAGAGATCAAAAGGGAAAAAAAACCCAGAACAAAGGACAAACTCAAGCCTCGTGCCTGCTGATTTACATTGGCGGTAGATCAGAGCCCATGCAATATGAATTGCAAAGACTGGTGTAAAGCTACAAATCTGATGATCAAGATAGATATGGCATCAACACCGCGAAAGAGTTTCCATTTCACACGATCCACAATGTATTTGTAACATACGAAACGTAAATTTTAATCGACAGAGAATATATTCTTACCACATATATTTACATACTTGTATTTCGTGCGGGTATCTCACTCTTCAACTCTATTTCGGTAATTTTGCTTGAAGGGCCTAAGCAATTTATGTGGAGGTCTTTCTCAATACAGCATAAAGGGTGTTTACATTCGTAAAACGAATTAAAATATTAAGTTTAATTGAATTCAACTTCAAAGTGCACTGGTAAAGATTGCTGGCTTCAAAGATAAAATTGGATTGCACTCGCCTAATTTCATTATTTTTTTGCTATCAACACCAAAAGGAATGAAAAAAATCCCGTTGATCTCAAATATTTTCCCTTGTCTCACGCTAGAGGCAAATCTGTAAAATCCTTCTTTACATAGCATTGACAAATTGACATTGTGTTATATACCTTGTCGAGGGGGTCCTAAAAGGTTTGTTAGGCGATCAGCCCACATTGCAATGGCAGCTTTTATGTCCTCCATAAACACCATTCCTGATTGTGGACGACTAAGAACTTTACTGGCCACAGTTCGAGCCTCCCCCTGAAGTTCCTCCAAGCTTATTGGGGGAGGAGGTTCAGCTGGTGGCAATGAGGTGTTCTCCTGACTGGTCTGGATGCCTAGAACACAATGTATCACCACATCACGCAACATTGCTATCAATGTAACATATGCCAACATTTAATGTAACGTTCATGTGAATTCACTCCAGTTGAAAAGTGACAAGGTATCCTTGTCAATTCATGTAGTAAACATGAATATATTATAATAAAAATCATAAAAACATTGAGAAGATCTGCAATATCTTGTAAATTTACTTTCCGATCAAAGGTAATTTAATAATGAGATCGGATATCATACACTGTATTTCCTTAAATAAAAATTAAGATTACCTTCCTCAGTAATTGCCAAATTGTCATCAGCAACTCCCATTTTTTCACTCATATCAACCACACCTTCATCAATTCCAATTCCTTCATCCTCATCATCAGCTTTTGTATGCGTATGATCTAATTCTGCCATATCTATCTTCTGCACCTGTGGCTGACTGTCATCTTCAGAACGTTCTTCCATTTGGTCCACATTTTCTAATGTCTGCTTATGTTTGATCTCCTCTCCTTGAGTACTTTGCCTTTTATCATCATAGGTAGTGTCCTCACTCAGCACAATGTCATCAAGTGCAATCATGTCATCACTTTTTATCATCCCTTGATCTTCCACTGAATTTTCACAGCCAGAATTCTCTTTCCATTTGTTTGGGCTTCTTTGAATCCCAGGATGATCTGATTCTGGGACAGAAGACGAGATTTAAATGTAATTCTCTTTTCTAGTTGTCGCATTCAAGCTGTCATTGAATTGCTTTCTTGGATTTGGTGTCATATCAAGGCACTCTCCCTCTAACTGATAAGTTTAATTATTCACATTGCTACTGTGAGTAATGTACTTACATTGCAAGGGGCAGTTAAAAATCAATCTCTTCTGATAGGTTGAAGTTGTGACAAAAAATCCCCAGTTTTAATGCAATTTCTTCCTCTCTCTCTAAGTTATGAAGACATCCGATAAAATTTGGTAGGACAATCTAGCAGTTTATCAAAGTAGAATGCAATACTTGTTCATGTAATTCTCCACAAAGCAGTATACTTCATATTCCATGTCAAATCTGGAAACTCATGATGCTATACTGCAAAAGTTTACATTATTCAGTTTAAAATACTCTTAAAAGTACAGATGACAGATGATGAATTTATAATTATGCAGTCTTGCATCATTGGTTGTTTTTTGGGGTCATTTTTTGTACTATATTTAAAAATTTTTTTGCTCTGTATTTGTACATGTAGTTCTTCCTAAAAACCCTGAAAATAAAGGGAGGAATATTAGATGTAAGAGGTACCTTCACTGCTTTTCCTCATGATCACTGATTGGCTGGCATTCTCACTTTGATCTTCTTGTTTCATGTCATCCTCAATATCAGCTGTAGTTTCTTTAGAATAACTAACTGTATCTCCATCACCTACAAGACAGGAGAGGAGGAGTCTGGAAAATGCATTTAACTTAATGGTTATCCAAAACAGCAAATGTATTTGTCCATGAAACATTCCCTGAGATACCAGTGTTTTGAAAACAATTCAAGAATGCAAAATTAGTATCAGAATCAGGAACCACCCCTCACTGAATACCAGACACAATAGCTTACATTAAAGATTATGCCTAGTTAGTGAGACATAACATTTGACTTGAGAAATGTAAATGACAAAATTCTAGAAAAAAAACAGGATTGGTGAGCACCTATAGGGAGAAATTCCTCAAGCTAATAACCATCTAAGCAATTGGGGCTTTAGTCTTGAATGGATGTCAAAAAAAAAAAAAATCTGCAACTCATAATATTGGAACAGATAACACAATATATATATATATATTATTACATGTATGTATCGTTATGATAATGAACACAAATCAATGACACAGTAGGTGCAAAATAAAAACTACAGAAGAACCCCCTGACTTGAACTGGGTTAATTCAAACCCCTGGTAACTCAAACAAGATTGGATTTCTTTTGACCCAATTTTACAGCCAATCACTATCAGCTAACTTGAACCTTGCTAACTTAAGCCATTTTTTGTTTCTCCTTGGAGTATGAGTTGGCAGGGTCTATTGTAAATTGAATCACATGGTATTCATTACACATACATGTAAGTAAGTTTAGGTACATTTCTAACATTTCAGAAATCAAGATTGTTTACTAAAATTGAATTGGGATTTTTTATCAATATAAAGCAAACAATAAGTTAGCTTACAAGAAGATTATAGCTCATGGAAAACTAACCTAATTACATGTTACTAACCTTGCGATCTTCCCTGAAGATCTCCCTGATCAACAAAAGGAATATTTTCATCCACCAAGATTGAACTTAAATGTAGATGGACAGAACTAGGATCAAGAATGTTATCAGTTTCATCTTTTTCAGTGGTGATATCTGGTTGTTGGTGAATAGTTTGTTCCATTGATATCTGCGGCAATGGTGACTCTTCTTTCAATTCAACAGGTGTTGAAGGCCGAGCACCTGCAGACTGTATGGGTGGCAAACGTGGTATTGAGGACAAAGAGCCTGATTTCAGGCTTCCTCTGTGTTTTGCTTTACTTTTTGATATTGTTACCACAGAGACAGGATCCTTTTCCATTCCTCCTCCAGATTCGGGATAATTGGTTACCCATCCTTGGAGGTCTGACAAATCAGAATTCATTGACTCTAAAGTTCTCTGTAGCAAAAGTTGTGATAAAAGATTCTCTTTTTGAGTGGAATTTAACTGACTATATGGGTCTTTTCTTTGGGGTAGAAACTCAACCTCTGACAGACGCTCATTCAGTGATTCTGCTGGACTCAAAGCCCTTGAGGATGGTGCATATTCTTCAGTTTCACTGTTTAAAGAGATCATTGATGCAGCACCGGTTGACATTCCATTCTTATAAAAATGAAAAGAGCTTTCAAGCATTGAACTTGAAGGAGAAATAGGAGGTAGTGACATTGTACTATATGGCTGTGGTTTCCCTGAAAAAAGACTACAAATAGCTTCACCATGTTCGGGAGTCCTTTGTGGGATATAGGTCAACAATGAGGGGTCCTTAAATGATCCTGTAGCTGCTAAACGATTCCAAGTGTCCTCTTCCAGTGAATTTCCAAGAGTAGCAATGTAACGTTTTGGTGAAAAGCCTGGTCTTACTGACTGGTCTTTGAAGCCACTCATCTGCTTCTCAAGAAGTGCAAGAAAAAGGGGATCACCCTAGATGACAGAAAAGCAAAAATCAGTGCTTGGGAAACTTTCAACAGTCACCAATAAAATTAGCCTATTACAACTCCCCCCTGCACAGTGGAGGGGGACAGGGGATGGGAGAGGATGGGAAGCGGGATCTATCTGAGGGCATGATATGGGTGCAAAACTTAAAAAGGCACTTATTAGTTGTTTATTACTGCTTATCATCCAGTCAAAAACTAGTACCCTGCAAAGTTATTTTTACTTCCATTAAACATCCACCCATGCGTAAGATTGAATTTGGTAAGCAGTATCATAACAGCATACCAGTGAAATTGGATACCTTTTGGACTCTGTTACATGATAGGTCATGAATGAATTGAAAGTTTTGTTGAGCTGAAACAGTTGAAATTCTCAAGTGAACAAAGTGACTCAGGTCAAAGGGCGAATCTTTTTCTGAGTGATAGCAGAAAAATGGCCTATGTTTAAGAACTTCAGAGACACTAAACAAGCAAGAAAACTTGCTTTGGATCTTTCTCATTTGGCTTATTCTTATGTTTCCTCATACCATCCCACAATAGATTACAACCAGGGTATCCTCAAAATCATCAATGACACTTCCAATTTTTGGCCCATTAAGGGTGATCCCACCCTATTGAGAGAAGGTCAACTGTAATGACTCCTCTGAATATTGAAGAAAAATGGTCATCTTGACAACGTTGTGCATGAAAACATCTACACCAAAGGCTCCCAGCCAGCAAGAATCTACGACCTTCCCAAAATGCATGTAAGGATCATAGACCTAACTCTATGCTGTTATTTTGCCCCATCATATCTTCTATTAGAATATACAATAATTATTACAACCTGGCCAAGTACCTATGTAGTCTCTTAATGCCTCACATTCCAGCTAATTACTGACTGCCACTGACACTTTTACTTTTGTGCAGGACATCCAATCTTTATCTATGTCTCATAAATGGTTTCTTTTGATGTTGAAAGTCTCTTTACTAACATACCCCTTGATGAGTGTATTGACTTAGCACTCAATTACATTTCCGAGGGCAATCCTGACATTCAATTAAGTAAACCTGAACTTAGAAGCCTCTTCACTACAGCTGCTGCCCAGACTCATTTCCAATTTAATGGTTCTTTCTATGATCAAATAGATGGCATAGCCATGGGGTTTCCCCTTCCTCCCGTCTTAGCTAATCTTTTTATGGAAAATCATGAAAAACTTTGGCTGAAAAAATTTTAATTGATATTCTAAAAAAGAATCTTTTCCCAGCCCATTGAATCGAAAAGGTTATAAACCGTTAAATAAAGGGGTAAGTTTTTAAAGAAACTGTGGTTCTGTGTCGGTGGGAGAGTATAGCAGGTAATTTAGTGTTAACAACTGGGTTGAAAACATAAATTAGCCACTGTAAAGGGTAAAAAAGCTGACATTTCGAGCATTAGCCCTTCACCATTGCTCTGACAAAGGGCTAACGAAACATCAGCTTTTTTACCCTTTACGATGGTTAATTTACATTTTCAACCCAGTTGTTAACACTAAATTACCTGTTATAAACCGTTACATCACTGGGACCCAAAGCAAGCATCATCCCCAGGGTTCCTTTCCCACCAATTCACCTATGTTTTACTTTAAGCTACCCTACATAGGTTATTTTTCTCCTATCACTAAGAAAAAGATTCACCACTTTATTAAGCACTATGGCAAAGACTTGGATATCAAGCTAGTTTTCTCTTCTTTCAAGATTGGCAACTTGTTTGGTGCGAAAGACCTTATACCTGACCAGCTCCATTCACGTGTGGTTTGTAAGTTTGTATGTACCGGCTGTAATGCCTGTTCTGTCAGCGAAACGTGCCGGCATTTTTCCACATGTGTTAGAGAGCACTTAGTCAGTGACAAGGCCAGTGACATTTCCAAACATTTGCAAGATTCTGAACATTGTCGCACTTTGTGTTCAGCAGATTAGCTTCCAATTTTTTGGATCATGCCTCTACTGGTTTTCAACTCAAGATAAAAGAAGCTACATGATATTCAAAGAGAACAGCCCTCTTTGAACCAACAGGTACACCATGTAAATCTAAAACTATCCTTTTAATTCTCACACTTTCATGCTTTGCCTCTTTCTTGTTGTCACCATTTATCATAAATAGCATTTTTCTACTTATTATAAATTCAACTTTCAATGCTTTGTACATTAATTAACTGAAGATTACATAAGTTTCTGTCAAAACATGTCTAACAAACTTAAAAGTTTTGTCTTTTACTTAAAATTCTTCAAATGCCTGCTACTATCAAGACCCTTTGGAAATTATCTATGCAGCGTTAATTCAAAATTCTATTTGATTGATGGCTAATATAGCCACTTATTTCTGAGCATTAATGATCAATTTGTCCATGATCTATCATCATATCACCAATTAGTATGAAAGTTTAATCTAACCAGGAACCCTCTAATTGGTGCTTGCCATCACATTAAAAAAAAAAAAAAAAAAAAAAAAAGAGTGGCATACCCCATTCCTGTAGTCCAATATGTAATTCCTTAAATCACCAATTGTTTTAAGCTTCATGGTTTGTTGCTTTTTATACTTCCGTCTGCGCTTTCTTGGTTTTGGAGATCCTGGTAGAAAGAAATCCTCAGCATAGAGAAGCAATGCCCCTTTTCTAGTGGTGTATGTTTTTGGAACATTTCTTATACTATGCTTCGTGTCTTCTACTTTTGGCAGTTTAAAAGGCTTGTTTTCATATCTTGGTCCTGAGTCATATTCACCAATATCTTTTTGTGCCAGGGCCTGGTAGTTAGATCTGATTGGTGGTAAATGAAGATCCTCCAGGGAGAAGTATTCCTTAAAGAGACAAACTCTGGATAAATTCCCACTCATTGTACTGCTATTTATTAGTTAGTAGAGAACTTCTTGCAATCAAAAGTGCAAAATCATCAATCAACGCAAGTTTCCTTGTAACACTTTTAAATAGTTGCAAATTTTTCAAAGCAAACTTTATTAAACAATTAGCTAACCACCATTGCATGCATCATTAACGTGCATGCATCATTCATGTGTACAGTCAAAAATTTCTCCAAACTCATTGGCAGGCTCAGAAACTAACAATCAATTCCAAAGAGTGCAGCTCATGGACAATAAAATTATTTTTTCATACCAACCAGCAATAACATAGTTAGCAGTGATAAACTTCACATATACTGTAAACTGCACTCATCCTGTTAGCTTGTTCAATTAATTTCAGTATCTTCAAATTTGCTCATGCTTTTTATTCCACAATTCCATGATTTTAATTGTTGCTTACATGAATAAACAATTATTATGGCATGTCTGATAAATATCCCTTAGAATGGGTAGAGCACAATCCTTTAACGTTTGTTTGTTACTAGGAGTGCTCATTAGATCTTTGTTATATCATGTTCTCATTGGCTGTTGAGATTACTTTTAATTACTTTTAAGACAATAGTTGAAACTGTTTTTCAACTTGTGCTCCAAAGAAAAATTTATGAAAATTCAACCCTTCTTGATTTCCTTTGGATGACCAGTTGTTGACAGAAAACATTGAATGCAACTAAAAACAGAGAAATACAGTAGTCTTATCAATAGCCCACATTTAATATGCTCAGCTTTACTTCTGTGAAGATACAGTATATAGTGAAGTTAGAATTTATATAAAAGACCTTTTTGATTGGTCATCTACATTCTGTAAGAGTCTTTTGACACAACTGAAAACCATTCAGGTGGGAACTTATGAAAAGAAAGTCATATAGAATACACAAATAAACCACAAAAGAAAACATTGTGTGGTTCATTTTTAGCCTGAAAGTCTTCCGTATAGTTTCTTGACTTTGACTTGATTGGATCCAAACAGAGAGAACTTGCCTTAATAGAATAATTACAGTCAAGAAAAACTGCAGATTTGTCAACAGCTTTGATAGTTTACTTATTTTGCTTTGTAACATTTATCTAAACTCCATGCTAATCCAAAAATCTTTTACTGTAAATCAAATCACAGTACAATTTGATGTCCAACAAGTAGGATAAGCAACCATTTATAATAGTGTGCGAGAGAAAGTGACATGATGAATTGAATCAAAGTTATGATTTTATTATTTCCTCTATTTATTTGATTAAGTGTCCAACCTCAAATAAGTGCTCACCTCAAATAAGCCACCACCCTGTAGATACGAAATAGAGAATTGAACATGGCGTGTGTAGGTATGGAATTTCTCTTCAAGTGTTTAACTGGATATTTCATGAGTGAGTGCAGCAAGGAGGTGAGATATAGAGAATAATACATGGTGCCCTTAGATATGGAATTTCTCTTCAAGTGTTCTACTCTATAACTCAGGAGTGAGCACAGCAAACAAGTGAGATATCTAGTTGAACACAAGAAGAGAAATTCCATATCTACAAGTGATCACTACTACAGGAATGCCATTACCACTGAGCCACTGAGTACGAAGCTTTTGGTTTTTCTTTGCTTATTTTGGTTTTCCTTTCCTTCATGGAAATTTTAAACATCACTGTCAATGAGTGATACCAATTTTTCAGTGTTTTAGTTGACAATATCCATGAAAATTGGATAGAGAATTGTAAGGCTTGATTTGCCATTCATTCATCCACACGACTGAGTGGTGCGAAAACGTGAAAAATAATTATATTTTTTCATGTGTTGTTATGGCTTTTCTCAGGGCTTGAAATCATTAATCCCAAGTTTGATTACAGCCAGGAATAGGATGATACAAGGTCCTGTTACCAATTAATCAAAACTATGACAAAATTTGAGAAATAAAACTAGACATGAGTTGAATGTTTTCATAAGCAAAACAACAGCTAACTCTGCAAAATGTGCCACAACAGGGCATGCAAATGATGTGCACTTTCCAATTACACAAACATGATGTAATACCTTTCTTATTACATTATCCAGTCACAAGCATGACCTGTGTACTGTCTTGTTAGTCCTCAAAAGAGGCTGGTGATAACCAATAAGGTTCGAGAATTTTGCTATAGTTTTGATTAGATTTGAAATCACAAGTAAGATCAATAACCACTTTATTACATCGATTTTTAAATCACTCAAAATACTGTTTTTTAAAGTCTGTACAAATATTTTATTGATCCAGTATTGAGCTGCTCTGTATTTGATTAGATTTGAAATTACAAGTAAGATTTTAGACCAAAATTGCATGATGCAAAGTTCAGTTACCACTTTATTACATTCATTTTGAAATCCCTCACAATAAAGTTTTTTTCTTAAGTCTGTACAAATATTTTATCAATCCAGTATTGATCAGGCATGAGCTGGTTTGTAAAAAGTTGGAAACGCAGTACTTTGGATCACTCTCTTTAAACAAGCCTTGAAATTTGATTGCTTGTGTTTAAGTAAAGCTGTCTTATAGGCAGGGAAAAAGATACAAATTGTGAAAAGAATTGCATCAATAAGTACCAATCAGATTGCAAAGATCACCAGTAATTTAAAATGAATGTAATAGATTTAACAATCACCCAGGGTGTACTGTAAATGTAAAATGAATGCATGCTTTGTGGTGAAAAGGATAAATGTCAGTGTAGTCTTTCCATACATCTAAGCACATAATTTTCAAAATGGTAGGAATTATACTAAATTGATTGAATTGATTTCGTAAATTATATCACTGTAATTGACAAACAAATGCATTTAATATTGGTGCACAAAGCACCAACATTAAATGCTTTTGTCGAAGACACATTTACTTCTGACCAAAACGTTCACGCTAGCAAGAAATTTCATCGCCCCTGTCTCAATCATCTTTCTTGAGTACTCTGACTCAGTATATGAGCCTACCATGTTACTCTTCTGCAGAACACATATTTTCGGCGCCTGTACATTTAACCCCGCAGAATCCCAAGCACGAGTGGAATCAGACATCGAGTGATTTGTTGTGGGTAAGGTGTCAACAAAAACAACAGCTTTGGGTATCAGTGAGATTTCTTCTATTCTGTAGTTCAGACAACTTTCTTCGGGGTGAATCAGAAAAAAATAAAACAAGCTTGCCAATAGTGACTCCAAGAGCCAGAAATGTTAACATCGTGATTAAGTTTTAGCTGAATATCACACTCAGCCTAACTTTGTTCGATCAATATTAATTGAGCGACACTAGCTGGAGGGATTAGTTTGCTGATCAAAATGCGGAAAAAGATAGCCTAGCTTTCACGCTTTAGAGCTGGATTATAACTACGACTTTTTAGGCCAGACAATTAAAAAGTTACTGATGTGTTATCAACTATAAAATAAAAACATAAAACACATTTGAGGCCCCGTATTAAAACGATGCGGCAGCCCGCGCGATGGAACAACACAAACTGCAAATGATCAGTGACTGAAAGGTTTACCTTGTGTTCCCGGGTTTCTTGAGTGTCTTTTTTAGCTTTACCATCATATGTGCCATATCCTCGACTAAGCAGAGAAAACATCCTGCCACCAAGCAATTCATACCATATTGCCGTTAGAAATCTAATTTAGCGAGAAATTTACACTGTTTCTTTCTGGAACGATTGTTGGGCAAGCGGTTGCCATAGTCTTGACCGTGGTGTTTCAAATTATTAACTTATTAATATATTCTCACCTTAGACAGCCATTGTTCTTTTTAACCTGCTCCACCAATTAACAGCTTTGAAAAAATGCATAAATCAACATCCGTATTTCCTCGAATAATCGCTCGGCGCAGTGCAAAAATTAAAAGAACAATTGCGTACGTAAAGGAACTCTGCAAGCACACGGAGGAAGAAATAACAGGAAGTAGGCTTCTGAGGGAAGTTACTCAACGGAAAGGAAACTATTGCAAGTCATACCGTAGATGATATTGGCGGAGATGCACGTAAAGTGATCAGTGATCTTGGTGGATCTCTTGGGTCCCAAAATTTTCTTTACATTATGGATGAAAGGACAAGTTTTGCATCGGTTGAAATGAACTTCGGACCAAAATGTTGCCTATATTTTTGTCACGTTTGAATGAAATTAGTGGAGATTGCTTCTCCTGATTGTTAGCAAAGTCTTAGAAGGCTGCATATTTAGTCGTTTGTTTGAGCACGTTAATGATTAAGTCACTCCTTTACAACACTGGTTCTTAAGGAATCACTCAGTTGTCACTCAGTTATTATTATCTGTACTACATACCATCGGACAAAACCTTGACAAAAACACCCAGACGGGCGTGGTTTATTTGGATTTTGCCAAGGCATTTGACGCCGTCGACCACCGCGTTTTCCTTTCCAAGTTAAGGTCATATAGGGTGTCAGGATAGTTGCTATCCTGGTTTGCTGACTCCTTTACTGGGCGGGTCCAACAAGTTGTTATTGATGGCGCAACTACGCAATGGGTCCCTGTCACCTCTTTATCGATGGCCTCCCAAATGTTGCGATAGGCGATGTTTTGACTTCCCTATATGCTGACGACACCAAACTATAACGCAAAATCAAGACCCTCGTAGAGTGCATGTCTATGCAGAACACCTCAACCTACATATATGAGTGGACTCGGCATAAAAACATTCGCTTTGATGCCTTAAAGTGTAAGGTGTTAACCATTACCCGCAAAAAAGAGCCCGCCGATCTTCCGTTATAAGCTTCACAATGAAGAGCTTGAGTGTGTGTCCACTGAGAAAGACGTTGGGGTTAAAGTCACCAGCTCCCTCACCTGGACCACACATTCAAGCAATTATCGCTAAAGCCAACAAGCTCCTTGGGCTATTGAAGCGCACATGCTTGCTGCTAGCTGATGTCTCAGTTAGGCGATCACTCTATATGACACTTATGAAATCTCAGTTGTCCTACGCCACCCAAGTTTCGTCCCCAGACCAGATATATCTCAAAACTCAATTGAAATAGTGTAAAGGAGGGCCAGAAAGTGAATCTTTAAACAACATATATAATAGTGAGACGTCATAAGGGGAACCTATGACCGTGAACTCAAAGGCCTCGTTGTCTTTTTCAACTGTCTGAATGGATCTACCGATCTCAATTTTCATGATTTTGTTCGCTTTGTTTCTCATAGCCGAACCAGACTAAGTACTTTTCATAACCATGAGGTAATTGGACAATAGTGCGATCCTGCCCTTCTCACCCGTAGTTTCTATTGTTTCCTCTTAAATATTTAACACTGTTCTTTTTTTATCCCACGGGCGGTGCATCGTACGGGTCCTTATGTCCTGTTCGCACAAGGCCTATTGGGTTCACGACCTTTTTTTCTGCGTTGCTCTCTCAGTAATTATTCTTGCTGTATCTTGCGTTTTCGATTTCTATCGTATATTGTAATAGTATTGTTATATGAGTCATGCCCAATAAAGCTGTTAAAAAAAGACGTTTCGCACGGCTATGCTGTCGATAACGGTAAAGCTTGTCGTTTCCGAGTTGAGTGATTATATTCTCTTACTTTTCTTAGCGCGTTGTTCAGTAGATCTTCCTGAATTTTTCAATGCGTCCCTGAAATAATGCCGCCGAGACTCTTCGGACGGCGTTTTCTCCCTGAATGCAAAGATTCAACATAACAACAGCTTTGTTTTGTTTTTAATTGACATATAAATACTACTTATGGCCACTCAACTTACACAACCCAAAATCCAACTTCTCACTAAAATAACGCCTGCTTGAATTTCACAAATAGTGTCATTAACAAATATCCACTCAAAATGGCCCGAAAATTTCCTGAGTTACACTGTTAATGATGCTTATATCCCGGGCAAGCAAGTGGAAATTTCACACCATAAAAGAACTTAACCTTTCCCGGACTGGCTCCTGTTAACTCAACAGAAAAATAGCCGAAGAAAACAAACGGTTGGCCTCTCCCTGACGCTTTTTGATTGTCACAAACAGCCTGTGCCGCTTGCGTGCTGCGTACAGAAAGAAACGCACAAATATAAACAAAAATATCTGAAGTATTTGAAAAGCGATAGTAAACATCCTTTCTTCAAACATTCTGGTTCTTTTATTTTTCAAACTCGATGAAACACCTTAATTCATTTAATATAATTAACAAAGCAGAGACCATACATTATTTTAAAAATTCTTAGAAATGTTAGAACTATTTACATTATACTCTTTTAATTCAAATAGATAAATATAGTACACCAACACTGATGCTCACACAACTGGAACATAATTTAATAAATATCTGGAAGATAAATTATCCTCGTTTGGTCTCTTGAGCTGAGCAGATAACGATCAACCATGTCACTGTCCTGTTCTGTTTCCAGGACTTAACGAGATGATGTGGCCACTGCAATAAACCACACGCAATCAACAGTCCTTTCAGTTCTAGTTGCAAACCAACCTGAACCATTAAGTAGTCGATTAAGAAATCGACTCAACTGTTCCCTCCCACAGAACATCAAATCACCACACGAAACCGTCCGACTCGGGTTCATGCTGTCCCTTACATGAGTCAGTACTCATCAACAATAGACTTCAGGGTACCCCTTGAAAAGCTTATTGACAAATCTCCACATCATACCTTTCCTCAGGAACAGTATGCACAGTAATATGGGACGAAATAAAGGATACGAGCATTCAGCCGGAATCAGAAATGGTGATCAGCTAGCTGGTGATGCAGCTGAAAACTAAGCAGAGCCAAGCGCTGAAGGCTTGCAACGGCCTTGCAATGGCGAGAGTTGTAAGTTTTTTATTTCAAACCGACGAAATTGATACCTGCCAAATAACTTTTCCAACCAAGAAATGAACTTTCCTTGATCAATACAACCAAGGGTGTTAACTGCAGAGCGCAATTATGAGTTAAAAGCAAAACCGAACAACCGGGTCTTCCGGAATCAAACAAATAAAACGAGCACACAAGTACTTGATACCTTATTATCACTTACCTTTTAGTCGTTATCCTTGTGCAGCTCAACACTTGTTATTGTGAATATCGACGACTCTGTGGGGAGCGAAAAACAAAGACTTTTCCCAAACTTCATTTTTACAAAGGGGTACTTCATCTCCTTTTTTTTTTTTTTATTAGAAACTTCACAGAACCTTAAACTCAGTCTTAGCTGAGCAGCAAGTTTCGCTTTGAACTTGTTAACAGAACTAACTTACCTAGGGCCAAAAACAGATGAAGTTTCATCCCCTTAGAGACCAGACTATTCAATATTCCATGGATCGTTTATCCATAGGTAGGAAGTGACACAGGGCATTTAAACATTTGTTGGAAATTTCCATATTAAGAAAAGAAGAAAACTAGGACGCCCTGCGTAGCAGTCTTTTCCTACGAGTCAGACGGGAGAAGAGCGAGCTGTGCGGTAGTCTTTCGAAGGCTTACGCCGTCGCGCGGCTTCTACTCCACTCACACTGCTCTTTCTTGAAAGGATCAGAAAAGGACTGCCACGCAGGCTAGGCCGAAGACGATTTTAATCACGAACATTAGAGAGCAATCATCTCTCAATTACAAGACACCTTAGACATGATTGAAGAAAGCAAAGCGAGAGATTGTGTTATGGCAGAGATAACAAACAATCGCTCTTGACCTTCAACTTTTCGTTGCAATAACAAACACACACGTTGAGACATATCTATTGTCTTGAATGTAGAAAGCAATTCATTACAAACATACAACCATTACCGTCGAGTAGAGAGTGGATTTCCTTTGGTAAATCACTGAAGTATACATGTTTCATGGCGTCACTGGCAGATATCCTGTTTCTTGGGTCACACTAATATCAAAACATGGCTTCTGATCACTGTCTCATCCAAATATTACCCTAAATGGTTAATATATGCAGTCTTGACCACACTGTTATTATTTGACGAGTGGTGTTGAATCACGTTGCGAAAAAAGTTTTGATACCTCAATTAATTCAAAGCTTCAATATTCCCCCCGGGTAACCACCCCGGGCACTCGAACTCTTAAAAATTGACGTGTCCAACCCCCCCCCTCCCACCCATCTGGAATTGTGTTCAAATGACCCACTTAAGCACAATTTTGTTTTGAACGATTCTTGTGTGGAATTTAGCCAAGTAACGTATTTTTTTTATCAGTGCCGCGGCTTGGCCTTTTGCTTGCAAGAATCATTCTACGATGTGAAATTTTTTTCTGTGTTCTTTGTTCACGAAAGGGGTCTATTCACCTGAAAACTACTTAACATCTAAAATTAAAACACGCACATTCCGCTGATTCAAATTCCCCACCTCACCCAGGCAAGGTTCAAATTCCCCACCCCCTGGCGCACAGAAGACAGTCAAATGCCCGTGAGTTGCCCAGGGGGAAGATGAAGCTTCGAACTGATCGGCGCATATCGAGTATTCTACCGATAAAGCCTCCTGGTGGAAAATTGGAGACGCACTTTGAGACTTGATTCCTGTAACAGAGCAACTACTCTTTTCCTTTCCTTGTTCGCTCACATCTTTTGCAACCTCATTGCATAAATTTCAGTTGAAACTTTGATGGCAATACTTGTAAGAAAATAAGGCACATAGTTGATATACACCATGTCATCACCCTCTATCCTTCATTCCACCGACAAAGACATACACAAATCTCATTACAAAGAAGTCGTTTAACGAGGATAAACGGCTAACTTAACGAGGAGCTTTCGAAACGAATTACTAAAATGAAATAAGAAGTCAGAACTTTCTGAAATCAATTCAGCCTACCTGTTGGTTCTATAACCACCTCCCTCTCATTTCCGAAGAGAACAGAACAAATTCGTTGTTATAATATCGTGTTGTTATGGAAGTGGAAGGACAGCTACACATGTATCACTGTGTTTGACCGTGATAGCGTCATGTTGCTAATGAATTTAAAAAGGGCAGCTACAAATGTATCACTGTCTTTAACCGTGTGTGCAGCCATTGTTCTGTTTAATGCTAGTATTACCTGAACCATTTCTGTGGCCAGAGATTCAGCGCCACTTAACAGCAACAACCTTTGGCGAGAAAAAAAAGAATCAAAGGAATAAAATCAACCAATCAATTAATAAATAAACTTAATTATATTAATCCTGGCTGACTGGAACTCGTTTAACTTGAATTTTCATTAAGTTACCGTAAAGCTTCAAGCCACTCCCCTGGTGGAAAATTATTTCATTCATTTATCGTCAGCTAACTCGATTCACCCGCTACCTCGAACTTTTTTTCGTTACCCTTAGCGTTTCGAGATGACGAAGCTCTCCTCCACATAGCTCAAGATCTGAGGAATACGACACAGTCTGTGAATCTGACTGACTGGCAGCTTCTCTGCATTCTTCCCTGAATGTTAGTAATATAATTAGGATTCTACAACTCACTTTGGGGCTACAAGTCCAAGTCGCTGAGGTTGAAAATCAACAAACAAATCTAAGTGGGAGGGAAAAAAAAAGATTACTTCAAGCCATGCATTTAAATAGCACAAATCAATATACTTTAAAGAAGTAAAATCTTAAGTGAACACCCTAGATATGAAAACGGAAAGAAGTTTGTGTTTACAAAAATAGAATTCAAACCACTGACCGACGAATTTACAGAAATATTGAAACGCATAAGAGCTGCACGATAGGGAGATATATCTATTACTGGGGCAACGTAAATAAATCTCAGTAGCGAGTTTAGAAAAGCTAATATTTCCAGCGCTAAAACTTTCTTAAGGCAAAAAGGAGGATTGTGAGTAACATAACTCCACACCCGAGTGCTGAGTAGGAGTGCTGACGTAACATAAACGTTTCTTTAGAAACTATTTACTTGGCTTAAAGATATTCCCATTAAAGGATGTACTGTGTAAATCTTTCAAAGTTGTCGTAACTGATCCACACATAGGACATAAGAATAAAGAAAAAAAAAGATGGAGACACCATGTTGTTAATTTTAGAGATCTTTGCTGAGTTGCGCGATAAATGTTCGAAACTGTAACAACCGAAAAAATTGTTCTGTTATAACATTAATCATGACCATTAGAATTTCTTCAAATGTGATTGGTGCAGTAGCTGTTTTATTTTTCACTAATAATTCTGTAGAATAGTAATCGGACAGTGTAATCGGACAGTGTAATCGGACAGTTGGCCGTAATCGGACACCTGTAATCGGACAGTTGAAGCAGCCAATCATACTAAGTCCTTTCAGTCACATCCACCAATCACAGACAGGCCTGAATCACAGAATTGATCACAATAACCATAGCAACAACCACTTATCCTAAAAAAGTTGTGGAACTCCCAAAGTTGAGGAATTTTTTACTTAGACTTTGTCTCTACTGCCCATATTTGTCCTTAATGTATTTTAATCACTCGTATTTGTAGAGTTTTAATCGGACAGTGTAATCGGACAACTGTACTTGGACAGTTGAAGCAGCCAATCGTACTTGATCCACTCAGCTAAATCCAAAAATAACAGAACTGATCACAATAACCATAGCAACAACCACTTATCCTTCCCAAAAGAACTGAGGAATATCTAAAGTGGAGGAATTCTTAATTTTGACATTGTCTCTACTAGAGATATTTGTTGTGGATGTATTTTTTTTTCGAAAATTGTAATGGTTATTATTAACTTGTGATTAGCAAATCGCATTCCTGCTTTGCAGTCGTCCGATTTTGTTAATCACTCGTATGATTACAGACCGAATTGGACTCCACTCAGTCCTATTACCATTATTAATAGAAGCCGCCATTGTGTTGCTGTGCGCGTGCTACTCGCGCAGGAAAAATTATACGAAATAAGGATGGGCAATGCAATAATAAGAAATTAGTGTTAAAAAATAATCCATATTAAGCGTATAGAAGTGACACTGCTACCGGAAAAGGCTTTTCAGCCAAGATTGCTATTTCTAATCCTCTTTCTGAAAGGCCTATTACCAAAAAGCAGCAATTTAACCGACTTAAAAGAGAGTATTGTCAGATCTAGAAGCTTTTGCACACCAACTCAAAACCTATGATTCAATCGACAAACACATTGCATGGACGAGTCCATGGACGTTTAACAGCTTCCTCGTTCTAATTATAAGGTTATGGGATATCGAATTTACCTTATTGTTTCAACATACATAACTTAAATATGACTTGGCATTAGATGTATTTTCCTATTTGAATCGTATATTTTTGTATTTTTATAAGTTAGATATTAGAAAAAAAAACTATAGGTATAATCCAGAGACAAACCTGCATCATATTCAGGTAATCGGGTAACTCCAGGCCAAGTTTCCTCAGTGGCTGTTCCAGATATCTAAAGGGATACGATACATAAAAGAAACACAATCAGATCTGCATGCTGATCACAAACTTTTTACCTACTGAGTTCTTATTAGACCATTTTCTGGGGAAATATACATCTCTGAGGCGACAAACGGTTTAAGGTGGCGGATAAAGTTTTCTTGAACTCTGACCTGCATCATGGCCACCAATAATCTGTAATTAATTTCATTGAAGTTAATTGCTGAAAAATATTGTATGACTGTTTCACATCAAAATTTGTCCAGCAACTAAACGTGATCAGCTTATCAGTACACAGGCAACACAACAAGTTTAAAGTTATTAAATATTTTAAATTCGAAATTTTTAACGAAATAATCAAGATAATCATAGTGACAATTTCAACTTGTCAAATTCAGTGTTTTTTATCTCACAATTTTAAAAGGAGTTTACAGAAATTCTTAACAATACCTGCCAGATTTTATTGAGTTGATCAATAGAATCTCTCATTCCAGGAAACAGCGCAATTCCTGTCATCATCTCTATAAAAATACAACCAGCACCCCTTGGAAAAACAAAATGCAAATATCAGAAAAACAAACTTCTGCAGGAATAAACCCTGCTATGAGATTCTGACGTCTATTTCTCATACTATATTAATAGTCATTAGTCTCACCAGATATCTAACGAGGTAGTATAATCTTTTGATCCAAGTAAAACATCAGGAGGTCGATACCTGCAAATTAGTTAATCAAATGTAAGTAATGTTTGATAGCTTGTAATTTGCCTCTGGTTGATTTTTCCACCTTTCTAACAAATCTTGCCAAATGTCAATTAATTTTTGTAGTAGCTCTAACAGTAAAACTGTTTGTAGCCTTGGTAATCATGATAAAGACGGCATTGATAATAGTAACTATAATTATGATAATAATTATAGTAATAGTAAAAATAACAATAACGATTATAATAGTACCTATTTGTTCACATTTGTACAAAGTACAACTCTTTCATTACATTTTGTGGAGTAAAGAATGTTTATATTGATAAACCTAGCATAGGTAAACAGAGAATGTAGTAAAATAGAAGTCAAAATATCAAAAATGGTACAAAAACATGTGAAACATGTATAGTAGAGTGTTAATTTCATCAAACTTTAGATCCCTTGTATAAAGGTTCTTACAGTAGCTTGGATTAAGTTTGAACAAGTGAAAGATTTAGTCCTGAAATTATTTAAAAAATCAAACAATCAAAAAGGGAAGCCTCTTTTTTTTTTTTTTTTTTTTGGGGAAAGAACATAACAAAGTTGCAATCCAATGTCTTAGGTTACTTTCTGACTGTTTTTGTTTAAAGTTTTTTTTCATTCATGCCATCTCTTTTTGTCTAGAACTCAAATGAAGTGGGCATGGTAAAGGATCTTCATACAACTATTTACTCAAGAGGTGGTGGCTAGTGGTGGATATTTACTGAACCAGGCAGGAAAATATCCTCTGCTACACCAATGCTACAGTGAATAGTTGTTTTAGTATGTACGAAAACATTGGGATAAGATTAAGCAAAAAATGATTTTAACTTGTTTATTCCTGGAATGATTACAACATTTTCAGGTGCAAATAGTGTGCAAGTTGCTCAGAGGTGAATGGCATAGGATACTAGCAGTTTGAGTAGCCAATGAGTACCTCCCTATATCACTGTCTACTGTTTTAATGTATACTAAATGACAATAGCATTATTTTAAACCAAAAATGATGCAAAAATGATGAAAACCATCCTTATGCTCAAGCACAATAATTTGAAATGCAAAGTAGTATTACTGGTGTCTTATGAAGTTTGATTTTGATGATTTGTTTATTCATTGAATAAATTAATTAATTACCATAGTGTGACCACTTCATGTGAATATGTGTGGCTGGGAACAGACTTGGCTCGTGCTAAACCTATGCAAACAGAATTGTTAAAAATAAGTCCCCTCCTTTCCTTAAAAACAAGCTCTAATATAAAAACAAATGGCAAATTGGTACATTATGTAATAATCTGCATAACTTAGTTAAAATATATATTAAAAAAAACAAACTGGGGGAGCTTTAACCCTGGTTCACATGAACACAGCCAGGCTTTATCTAATGTTTACAAACTCAGTTCTTTTTCACTTAAACTGTTTAAAAATTAGACATCAAGAAAATGGAATCATATTTCCCAGGTTATATCATAAAATATACACGACTCAGTTGTTCCTCACTGAAAAAACCCTTCCCTATTATTTCTTCCCCACAAACTTCATCAATAATACTTTATTTCCTTCAGTTTGCTTTGAAAACCAGGATTGATAAGAGAGATGATTCAAATATACATGTACATACAAACAATATTATCTAACTCACCAAAGTCAGCCAGCTTTAACTCTCCACTCTCATTTATCAACAGGTTCTGAGGTTTCAAGTCCCTATAAAACATCAACAGAATGTACCCTTCATTAAAGAAATAACAAAATCCTATGTCAAATGATTCCATTCAAATTACGAGGACATAAGAAATAACCTTTCATCTGGATAAGATAAGAAGCCACATCAGATTCTCTCCAATATCACAACATTCAGCATTCTTCTAACTTTCCCAATCATTTTCCAATCAAACTTTGGGAAATGAAAAGCTATCATCCTGATGCCAAACCATGGTAGTCAAAATGTAAGGGCATTCTATTTTCCTTTTTGTTTTCACCTCAAATATTGAGACTTTTCAGTAGTCAAGAGAAAAAAAATTGGGTTCCTCCTGCAACCACCCTGACTGGCAGCAGTTTTCTTTACTTTCTCTACTCTGTACCACTTTGGATGTAACTGTAAATACAATCAAACTCCTCATCTGCACCTCCTATGCTTGCTAATGAGGGTTCAGTATCACGGCGGAGCACATTCCACAAATTGCCCCTAATTAACATGGATTATGCACCGCACCCTTATCAGGATTCCTTAAGAGATAAACAATTTATGTTGTTATATACCTAGACTTTCACTCATCAAAATGAGCACTGTGATCGGTTGATTCTTGGTCACATGTACTTGATCAAATTCAAATGTATCCCGACCAGGATACAATAATTATTGTGCAGTTGTTACCCACGTGCCAAATACAACAGCATGTGATCAGTGCATGACTAAATTAAAAATGGCATGATCTTCAGCACATGCTCACAATTCTTTATTCATGATTGTGAATAAAGAAGTTGTGCCGTCTTTGTTTGTTTGTTTGTTTTTGCCTTATGATTTTTTAAGGGAAGGTCTAAACATATAACAAAGCACTTAAAGTATGGTCTCTTGGGAGACTAGATAGTTTTGTTTTCCTTCAAGTCCTGATGTATCCTGAGACAAGGGAAACATTAGGACTCTTGGGAAAACAAAACTTACTGTTTCCCTCAGGATAGTATGTTACATCCTAATCATGATCAAATAACTTTAAATTACACATGCAATGATCTTGTCAAATTTATGATCATTACTGCTCCTTGTAACTTTCCATCACCTGTGAAGAATTTTTCTTTTGTGAATATAAGCTAATCCTCGCAATAGTTGGAACAGAAACAGCTGCAAGCAAGAACAGAAAGATGATTGGCCTATTTTGTCTTCTTTCAAAACTAATAACTTAATCTTTAGAAACCATGCTATACAACAGAAGTGAAAAAAAACAAATATTAGCCATGATATGCACTGTTAGCTCATAAACAGACTTGGGGCTTCAAATATTCACAGGTTACAACACCTGTAAAATGAAATTTGTGACTATCTGTGAAAAAAAAATCTTTTGCAGTAAAACAAAGCAAAAATTGTTTAAGCCTAAACAAACATCATGGGAAATCAGTGAATTTCCAACTCATTAAAATAAAAAAGAAAACTATCTAAGATGGACTATGATACAGTTCTGGGTGGAAAAGTAATCTCAATAAACTTGGTGAGTTACATATCACGTAAAACAAAATGATTTATGTACACAAGGACTGATAAACAATTTTCCAGTTCAGCAAAACAAAATGGAAGCCTACAAGTGAGAAACCAAGAAAAATTGAATATTGTTTTCCTCAACACCATCTCATCATCATCACTTAAAATTTAGAGATGGTTCTTACACCTTAAGCATCACATTATGGATAAAAAATGAATTTGTACTAAAGAACAAAATGATTGTCAAGAGTTGTCTAGTTTGTGACTGGAAAAATTCTTACATGAATATTAGTCTCTACCAATATGAATCTAGACATTGATAACTGAGATGTCTAAACAGGGTACAGGCAGTTTACATATTGTTTCCTAGATTGAGGAATTTGTTGAGCATGCAAGTCATTAGTGTTACTTTGTCATTTATTCCTGATTACTATTAGGACCATTTTTTTAGTGTATCCGTTGAATACCTTTGATGTGAACAACTGCTTCACTTTATTTTTTAACTCATTATAACTATGTTACTTAGTTTCTTTTCCTTCCTGAATGTCAGAAATAATTTTTCTCTAGAACATGTCCTATGTCAACCATAACACTGTTAATGAGTGAAACAATAATCATAAATGGAATAGGACAACAAAGGTGTTAATCACAATACAATATTCAAATAATTATGTTTTTCACAAACCTTGACATTCTGTGGAGGGATGCCTCTTGGATACTTTTCAAGGTAAGTATTAAGATCTGTGTCCTAAAGCAAAGAACATTTTCAAAACAGTTAAAAAAATTGAAAATTTGTCACTATAAATCACTTTATTAGAAAATAGTTCTTACTGTGTAAGCATGTTTTTATTTTGCTGAGGAAGGTGGGGGTGGCCACAAGGCAAAGTCAAATGTAACGGAAACAACAACAGCAACATTCCATGTTAATACATAATGTTAAGTAGTTAAGTGCACATTTTTTATAATAAACCAAGTACTTTATATTTTGTGACTGGTCCTTTCCTTGCATAATTTCTGTTCAATACTCACACCTGTCCTGTGATTGCAAAATCGAGTAAGCCTGATTTTTTTTGAAATCATAAGACAATATGATTTGTTTCAAAAATTGAACGACAAGAAGTTCAGTGCTTTCAGAATGAATGTGTCTAAGTCCAAAATGGTACAAATTTTTTAAAATGCATTCAATGCATTGAGCAAGTGATTACCTGTTAATGCCAGCCAATTAAAGCATGCAAAATTTCACTGCAATTACATCTGTGACAACTCTCATTTTAAATAGTTACAAAATTAATACTTTTTTTTTTCTTCCAAAACTCAATATGTCCACAAATGAAAACAAGAAAGCACAGTTTAAAAGAGTGAGGGTAGACAAAAGTGATTAAACAATGTCAGCCGTAAACATCTTGCCTACCATCCATGAAAAAGAGGGCCATGAAACTCTTTTGAAGGGGATACCTGTGATAGGGGAGGTGGTGGATTTCAAAAACAAAAAAAAATTCATACACTGTAAGAAACACTGATGAGATACTTGTTTCTAACAAACATTAAAACTTACCAAAAACTCAAAGACAAACATAAGGGTGTCTTTGGTGTGTATAATGTCATGAAGTGTTACAATGTTGGCATGCTTCAGCTGCTTTAACAAAGAAGCTAAAAAATAACAATCAATCAAACAAATACAAACAATGACCATCGCTAATGGTAAATATCATTTAGTTCTCAAGATCATGATCATATTTCACCGGTAACAAAAAGGGAAAAATCCACTTTCACTGGCAACAGTTATTTTCTTTGAAAAAAAAAAAAGGTTTGTTATCATAATCCTTTTCACAAAGCCAGTGACCACATCATTTAAATTCCAAAGTTTTTAATGTCTACTGTCATTGCCAAGATGCTATTGCCAAGAAAGTACACACCTAGTTACAAACTAATAATTTCTTGTCATTCAAGATTGGCCAAACATACAGATACTTTGGAAACACTTATCTCTTACATGCACAATGGCTTCAGCAAGTCTATATATTCATGTCTCTTTATCTTATTTATGTTATTCACCAGCCAGGAGGTCAGAGTTGGGAAAAACTGTCCCTGAAGTCTTGAAGTATGGCCATCCTTGGCTATAGGCCAGGGGCGGCGCTCAAGCCAAAGGGCACATCTTTTCCTAATAGAGACTGACCTAAGCTGGTAAATAACATTTTTATCTATTTTTCTAAAACTTAGCAAAATTCTTTCCCTGTGTAATAAGAAGGGTGATTTAAATGGCTTCCAGGCAAACTTCAAAACATATTTGTTTCTAAGTATCTGTCACAATCTGACACCTGTCAATTAGAAAGCACATAAGAAAAAAAAAGAAGTCTGCACACACAAGACTGGTTTTGCAGGCAAACTCAAGTTAAATGACTATCACAATGACTTCTCTTCTTCTCTAATATTACCAAACATATTATTCTCTTCCAACAATGATTAATTTACAAAGAATGTTAAGGAAATTTAAATTGTAAGAAAATTCAAATGTATGTTTTGAAGTTGTGCGAGTGTAAATCTTGTCCCATTTCCACCAAAAAACAGAAGTCAAATGAGATGCTTTCTCTAGCATAACATATGGGGATTGATTGCAACTTTTAGTCAGCGAATTACTTCCCAAAATACAAGGCTGAAATGTCGAAATTCATGGAACTATTAAAGAACTAGGAAAAGTATTGCTCAACATTTCACAACCTACAAATTTTTTAGGAGAATTTTATCAGATATTAACTTTCATTGATTAATATTAATAGTTGTTAACTACAAATACCTCTCTCAGTTAACTTTCTGAGTTTCTTTTTGAGAAGGATTATTAAATTACAAAAGTCTTTAGGCTGCTTGTCAATCTATATAATTATAAAACACATTTGGTACCACAAATTCATAAATAGAAATCAATTCTTGCAGAAAAACTTGAAAGTGATTTGAGAGTGAGAGAAGAGAGAATTAATAGGTTATTTGTTAGCTAGAAGTTGTGGCCAAAGTCATTGCTTAAAAATGTTGTCCAGCTGTCATATTTATGAAAACTTTGCAACAAAGCTAGTACTACACAGGCAACACAACACACAGTGGATAGGATACCACCCTTCCTTAAAAACTATACATAATAAAGCTGTTACCTTCCCTGATTGCTGTAAAAGGTGCTCCCTCCTCTTCTTGCAATCTGATCTCTTTGAGGGCCACAATTTTATTATTTGCACTAGGATTAAAGATTTCTGTTGATCAGAGTTGGTTGTCAATGTCCTAGTCAGCAATAAAAATTTTTAATAATCACAGAAAGTATTCACTGCACAATCATATCATAGCACGCCACAATTTTATTATTTGCACTAGGATTAAAGATTTCTGTTGATCAGAGTTGGTTGTCAATGTCCTAGTCAGCAATAAAAATTTTTAATAATCACAGAAAGTATTCACTGCACAATCATATCATAGCACGTGCAATAAATCAAAGCCTGTTTGAAGTATGATTTGTAAGAGTTGATTGCTACCCTTCTGAACTTTTGCTGACACAAGGAATGATAAATAAATATCAAAATATAATACTGTATCATTGTGTCACTTTTGAAGGCCATGATTGGATAAAAACTAAAAAACTATAATTTAAAGAGCCCTCAAACCTCAACCTTGTTATGAAAATTTTTTTTATTAAATTGTTTTGCTTCCAGTTTAGCTTATTTCAACATTAAATGCTGCAATATTTTTAAACCACCCACCACTAACTTTCCATTTGTGATATTGTTGCCCTGGATACATTTGGCAAAAAGAAAGAATTTGAACTATGATCAGGCACTCAATGATGAATTGCTTTCTGAGTGTCACAAAACACCAACACTCCTGAGTTCACCATAATTGCCACACAAAATATTTTTGAAAGCCTTTTCATCTGATCTATGCTTTTCTTAAAAAACAAATTTATACTTAATTGCCTATTCATAAATAATCTGTCATAAAACAACTTAAAAGAATGAAATACTGCAAACTCAGTAATAAAAAAAGTTCTGTAGATAATGTGATCAGTACAAACCAATAGTAAAATAATGTAGAATTTTTTTCACCACAAGAACTGCACTGATTTTAAAAATAACCTTTAGATAGACAAAATCATTTGGGAATAATTTTATATTTACCTACAGATCCCCTTGAACACGGTTGCATATGAGCCCTCTCCAAGTTGTTCCAGTTTTTGATAAGCATCAAGGCAACCAAATGGAGGAGATAGGGGCTTCAAAACAAAGTAATCAACCAAAATGTTACCTTAAATTTAAAAATACACTTTTGCTTAGAATTCTTTAACATAGGTATGCATAGCATGTAAGAGTTATTTTTTTGCTGGATGGGTTGAGATGGGACAGTTTGTGTACTTAATGTTTTCATTTTTGTCACCAAAAAGAACTTAACTTTCACAAAACAAAAATATGGCACAAAGACAGAAAAAACCTATCTGTAATTCATCTGAACTCTCACAGATATATGTGATCTACTGTCTCTATTGTCTAAATATGTCTTAGTTAAAATGAAATGCATTGGTACCACGCTTATTGTTGTCTACTTTGCAGCTGTTGTTGGTCTCGTCACACAACACTCTCTTCTTCCCATTTGAGGGAGAGCGCATTGCACAACAAGATCAGAATACCTCAAATTACAGTTAGTTACCTCAAAAATATAATTCCATATAATTTACTACGAAAAGCAAACTGAAATGCTGCTGTACCTCTAATAGACCATAACCAAAGATATATTGTGATCTTGAATAAGTGAAGATACATTAAAAAGAGAAAAGGATAACATTTCAAAGAGGGCTCCTTGATTGGTTGTTGCCTATCTGGACTTTGCCCTCTTTGTGTGAAATATGTGATAAAATGGAGGTTGTTTTACAAGGAATTAACATGCAATTGGGTTAAGTCCAAGGTAGCTTAAAGTGACTTTAATTCATGGAAAAAGTCAAATGTGGGAGAATTGCTTGGAAAACTCAATAGCAGTAGCATTTAGTTCCATGTAAAGTTTTTTTTGGTGGGGTTGGACAATGCAGTTAAAATACATGATAAAATGCAGGTTGTTTACAAGGAAATGACAAATGATGGAGTGAAGTCCAATGTGGCAAAATGGAATTTGATTGGTGGCTGATACAATTCAAGCACATAAAAAATTACTTTAATGTTCATGTAGTGCAATGATTGCGTATGTTCTGATTGGACTTTGGAGGTTTTTTTCATGGTACATGACGGACTGTAAGTTGTTTGGCATATGCATTGTGCATAAAGGAGCTGAAAAAACATGTTCTAACTTAAAAGTTTAAATGCATAACTTTCCTATCCCGATAAATCTCAAACTTAATTGACAAAGCTCTCACGAAGGCAATAAACCATTACACTTATCAAATGAGCAAGAAAACATACCCAAACACTGTGATTGGGGCAAGATATTCAAAATTTACTATGGTATGATTGGTACTAGATGCATACCCTAATGCGGTAATCTGATTGGTGCAAGATAATACCCTTATGCAGCGATCTGATTGGTGTAAGAAACATACCACTCTGTATGCTAACATAAAGTTATCTCTTTTTACAAAAAAAATAACTAAAAAATGCTTAAGTATGAACTTCAAGTATGCAAATGCCAAGGACTCCTTTGATGTTTTTTTTAATGTTATACATTCAGGTTCTTCATTCATTTAATGTAAAAATCCTTTGATTTCTTTTGCTCTTGGTTTCCAAATACGCTGACATGCTGAAGGGAACTGAGTTTTCACAGGAAAATATTACAATAGAGGCAAGGCCTTGGTTGTTCAAAACTCATTGATAGTGATCATCATTACTATCAAACCATAATCACCATTATTATCAATGTACCTCTGGTAGGCCTTTTAATTCCCCAGGTGCTAATTCATCAGAATGCCTTCTACCATAACCAATCTCAAAGCTGATCTTTCTCAGTCGAGTGCCTATTGAGTCTGATGAAGTCCTTCTCACCACTGGTCTAACAACAGGATTGTTTGATCTCGCACAAGGGCTGGACTCCATGAAAACATCATCAGTCTGTTTGAAAGAGAGAAAGATCATAAATGAATACCACTTATGGGTGGATTCATGGAAGAACTGATTTTTTACTTCCTGTCACTGGTCTTAAATCACTAAATTGACAAACTTATTTGATTTCTTCCTGATAGTAGGGCTGAAAGGACACAGCCATAATAGGGCTTCAAAGGCAGAAATGTTAAAATTTTCTTCAAGATACAAAAATAATTGTCCCAATTCAAATTCCAGCCACGTTCATTTTCTCCCAATTTTGAGGCTCCACTTCACATCTCTAAAAATCAGACAAACGAAGCAAAAAAAATACTCCCATGTGTGAATGTGCTTATGTCTGCATTAGTGTTACAGTTAAGCTAAAAAGCTTATCATATTGTACCTTAGTATAGTTCATGAAGATATTACTGGGATACTACTATACTTAGTCAACAATAAATACAGGTTTTAACAAAGACTAAATGCTGAGAAGATCATACCTCTGCATGTCTGTTATTTTGTACAGCGACACCTGGTCCACCGCTCTCATCTTTTATGAATGCTAAAAGGTGAATTGAAATTACATATGCCAAATGATGTCTGTACCCGCAAAAAACAAATTGGAAACCTAAATTGAGTAAGTGAAAAGCCATTACAAGTAAGCCCATCTAGTAATCAGGCCTTTCTAGACAACCATAAGAGTATCCTGCAAAACTTTGAAAATGACCAGAAAAGTCTTCAAAAAAGACAACAAAACTAAGTTGTTATTTTGGCATTGTGTCTGGAGGACCCTTATTCAGTGTCTGCTTCCATTGTGAAGAAGTGACCATTATCAGGAGTGCCTCTAATAGCATGGAACCCTAACCCTTCATCACAAATTCATACAAAATTTTTTTTAAACGATTGAAACAAATCTTTACAAGAATGTTTAACATGTGGTAGTTAAGGCATTGTGTTGTGCTTTCTAATGAGAAACTTGACTCTCACAGTTCTATTCCATATTCTGGAGTGCAAAATTCATTTACTCGATATATGGCTATTAGCAACCTAACAAATTTCTAAGGGGTTACCCACCACAGAGAAAAGCAGAGCAGATAAATTTCAGTTATTCAGAGTAGCTCATTCAGTTAAGAAGCTGGTTTCCAAAGGGTCCTGGAGGGACCCTTGCTTCACCTAGAAGCATCCATTCCAGGTGTAACAATACTTCTAGTGATGTGAGAAAAGCTTAGCACCCATAAGACTTAACCTTTCCCCTTAAAGTTTAAAAAGGGAACCTCCCCCACTCTACCACCACAAGCTCCATTTCTCACTTACTAAAGCACTAGTTTAACATGATTATCAAAATGACTCTGGAGCACCATCTTTTTCGGTGTGCGGGAGAGAACCATACGATGTCTGCAAGGAGCCAGTGTTACCTACTGTGCACAGTTTGTCTGATATTTGGTCTTTGAGCTGATCATCTGATCATCAAACATCGATGTAAAAGCCCAAGCTGGAGTATTACGATCACGTATTCTAACAACATAGCCCTAATTGGTTCTAAGCAGTCTGTTTAAATTCAGATCAACGATAATGGGCAAGATCAAATGACGTTTAAGTGATAATTGTATTACTCACAAAGTCTTAGTCCTTGCGAAATTTTTCTTCGCAGTTTCTTGATCTTCGAGTCAGAAGACGACTTTTTTAACCCTACAATGAGAGAAGGAAACCAATTGCACATCTTAATTAACAGTCTTAGACAATTGCTCACAGACGTGGGGTAGATGAAAGTTGGTGTCACCTCTTTCGACGTATCACTATCACGAACACTTCAATATCACGGGTAAGAACCAACCTTCTTTCAAAGTTGCAGAACTGCCATCTTCATCGACCGTGTTTTCCTCTTCTTCACACACCTCGTCATCTTCTGCAGCAGAAGCCATATTTCTTAACTTCTCTCAGGAAAAGGCAAACAAATCCAAGTTGACTAAAAGCTCAGCATCAAATATCGATCTCTGCATATTTTTTACATCATTTGGTTGATCTCCCAGCAAACGCACGAAGATCATTCGTTTTTTCGTTTTTACCTTAAGCTCATAAGGCAATTAACCATCGTAGCTCTCTGAGAGGCCTTGTTACAAAAGAATAACTTAGTAAGGTAGCTTTTAAAACTAATAACTTGCTTTTGTTTTCAAACGCAATCTACTGGCAGCCAACATCAGCCAAAACAACACAGGCTACCCACAGTGCATTACACGTGTCGACAGTCTGGCTAACACCAAAAGAAATTAGTTGTGGGTAGTGGGGGGGTGGGAGGGTGATGGTTAGCATTTGGCCTGAGATACAGTTGGACGGTCTAGGAATCGGGCCATTCTGAAGTTGCTTCAGGCCATTCTTATCACTCAGTCATCACTTTCTGTTCCAAAGTGATGAATGAGATTAAGGTCAACTCGCCATAACACGCCGCCACCACTCAAATCGCCACCGGTGGTAAATTGACTCGTTGACGAATATAGTTAAATCTTTAACTCCCATTTAACTCCAATTCTCCTTACTGTCTATAGAACAATTTATATGATGTTAGTTTGAAGAATTTGGAATTGGATCAACCAGCAATCCCTAATTGATATTTTTCTTTATTCTCATTACTTATCTGCTCGATATCATACAGATAGTAGAAGGAGAAATTCTGTCTCGGTCACTAGTGGGACTTAAAGGGTTAAAGGCTTCCTCCCTGAGATTCACCATGTTTCTACGCAATTTTAGCTTTGCATCATTAAAACCAAACGAAATGAAATACAAGATGCAAGCTTTCATGTGATGTAAGCTTCATTAGATTTGGTTTCGAATCGCGTTCATAGAGCGAAACTCGCGTTAAAGGTCACTTCAGCGTCCGTTGTGCGTAATACAAAGAAAGGACGCCAAGCCCCTCTCTACAAACTATCGCCGTATATGCTCGCACCGTGTCGTGCAGTGTGCGCAGTGCAGTGCACCCAATTTCGCAACTTACTTCTCGATCTTAGTTTGTAAGTTTCATAAGATTTTATCAATATCGGCAAACTTCACTATGGTTTCGCGCACGCAAACTGGTCATAATCTTCAGGATATCAACATATTTTATCTAATTTCATGTAACATTGATACTTACCATTCTTCTTGCTTTTTACGGTTAACGTTCCATAATCGAGACACTACACATGACGTCAAAGTCAATTTGAATGAAATATGGCGGTCAGACAATAAGTTCGTCTAACTGGATACTGAGACGTGCCATTTCATTTAGGCCTCATGTCAGTCATAACAAAAGCAGCCAGAGCAACAGATCACACTTTCTCGCTTATTGGCCGAAAACTGGGTTATTCAATCTACCAGGAACAAGCAGTTGCTTGGTCGACATTTCGGATCACCTTCCAATGTTTTTTCAGTGGGGTTAGTGCGAACCCCATTAAATATAACGTAGAGTTCTTCAAGGTTGTACCGTTTGTAACCAAAATTCTCCCCGTCTGGCACAATGTCAAATCCAAATCCCGCTTTTCATAATCACCTTAACGAACAAAACACCGACATTCAGTTTACCAGGGAGATCGAAGAAGACGGCAAGCTTCCTTTTCTCGACTGTTTGGTGGGCCGAAACAACAACGAACTACGAACAACAATATACAGAAAACCGACGCATACCGATAGACTGCTTGACGAATCATCCTACAACCCGACTTCCCACAAAGCTACGACTATCAAGACATTGGCAAGACGAGCGCAACTTGTTTGCAACACACCGGACAGTTTATCTGACGAAAACAAGTACCTTGACCGTGTTTTTGACAAAAACAACTACAACACTGACTTCATCAGACGAAACACTCACAGGGCGACCGACACTACAGAAACTAACAGGGACTCCACATCTGTCACGACTACAGCTGCTATACCCTACATCAAAGGCACTTCTGAGGCTATCGCGCGGATCCTACAACCTTACAACATTCGCGTAGCTCACAGGCCTATTACTACTTTACGACATTTGCTGACCAACGTTAAGGACAAAGACGAACCCAACAGCAGACAGGGAGCGATTTATAAGATCGAATGCTCCGACTGCCAGGCCTCCTACATTGGTGAGACTGGTAGAAACCTTAACACGCGACTAACTGAACACAAACGAGTAACTAGAAATGGCGATGTAAACAATCACATTTCTGAACATCACCGACAAACTAATCACATCGACTGGGACTCTGCTAAATGCTTAACCTACAGTACAAACTATTTTCAACGACTGACTCTGGAAAGCTGGTTTACTAACTTAGAACAGACGCCTCTCAACAGATGCCAACAACTACCGGCACCTTACAAACGACTCATTAACGACGTGAACAAACCGACAAACAGACCGACAAACAACAGACGGATCGAAACCGACCAATGACTGTTAACAAACTCTACACGAGTCTTCCAGCCAATCACATCACGACTAAACAGACCAATCACGTTCAACAGACCAGACTTTATAACATCATTGACTGACAACTATTCTTCACTTGACTCTGAAGATGACTACCGCACAGGTAGTACAAACGTCAGTCAACAGTTCTTTTCAGAACTACACTCACCCGGACGATCACACTACACGAACTCCTGTAAATAATGATGATGTTGATGAAAGCACGCATGAAAGAGTTTACAACCAAAGTAAACTCACGAATCGTACTGCCCCCTTATGAAAGGCTTTGAGACAAAAGAACCAAAGGAAGCTTGGGTCTCATAACCTACTTCAGTATCTACTGAGCATTAAGAAAAGAAATTTGAAACTCACTCCTGGAGTAAAGACCTTCGCAAACAACGAGCAATCAAAACGTTTACTAATGAGCTAATTAAGTTATAAATGTTGAGGCAAAAACTCACCATCGTGAAACAGTTCGATTTGAATCGATAGCCGAGATACTATTCTCACCATCATTTGTTTGGTGACTAATTTTCCCTATAGCTTTCTACGAGCCCTAAATGGTCGTCTTGAATGTCTATCTTCCATTGTTTTTTTTCTTTTCCGGCTTCTTTTTATATGTACGTTTTACATATGTATAATCTCCTAATCTCTAATTACAATTTGTAGAGTTTAAATTCATATTAAAGATAATATACCAGAGACCCAGTCGTTCATCTTAAGAAATCTTTAAGATTGAAAGGTGCAGTTTTTGTTCGTGGAGGTCCCTTCTAATGTGACCGCTCTGGTTTTTCTGCCACAGGGACCGGTTAACTTCGCATTTTATTGAATAGTCACGACTTTTGCGAACCTCTGAGTGGTTGTATTAAACGAATCACGTAATAGGTAATTGAATTATTCTTGTCTATGACGTCACCTACCCGATTTTCCTCCGGCGAGCTCCGACCAATCCGATCGCCTACGTACAATTTCCGAAATCCAATTATACCGTTGCACGTAGAAGGGCGACATCTTTTGTGTTGAAATTGCTTTCACATCAACTTTGTCTTCGATTCCTTGCGAAGAAGGAGAAAAAATAACTAAAATCAAGATATGGATAGCTTGTTTGGAAGAAAACCGATTTCAATCGGCGCTTTGAAGGATTTTTCGAGGCTGTAAGTACAAATAGGTTGAGATAAATCGTCTGATTGGGACTTTGTCGAAGATCTGCTGTTTGAGTTGCATTAGCTTGTTGGGTGTTGAAGTATGAAAAATTCTGTCATGAAGAACCTAAGTTCTCCTTCAGAAAACACAATATTGATTGCTGAGTTTTTTCAGTGTATGGATATGAGGGGTTGAACAGGTGGCGTAAGCCTAAGTAAAACAAGTTAATAATATTCATTGCAGTCCTGAATTGTAACTCAAACTGAAAGTCTTCCGTGATCTAGGGAAGCCGTGGTTAACTCATTATAATAATCGCAAGAGCGGAATATCACAAAAAGGAGGCTTCGGCTTTTCCTGCACACCTAAAACCTGATTTGTACCACAATATAAACCCTTTAAAATTTGCACTCTCATCTAGGCTAGCCTAGCCTCTGATTCAAACAATCATCACACTTAATCATTTTAAGTCTTCTTAAATTCTTAAGCCATTTTAATATCTTCATGGCTTGCACTGTGGAATCATGAGAACCAATAGATACATTTGTCAGCGAAAAATAAAAAATAGGAAATTATCTAATTTTGTGTAAGGAAACAGAGGAATTTTTTCTTGTTTAATCACCTGCTTTATTCTGTGAGTGTCATCCAATGCCAGTCAAAGTACCAGGCTGATTATACAGTGGTAAAAAATGTGACTAAATATGGCATGAAGGAGCAGAGACACATGCAGTATCACAATGAACACTATCCTGTTATGTATCAGCAACTGTTTTGAAATGGTTGGACTTTTTATATTCTTTGCAGTGACCAGCCTACACGTCAGCACTTGAAGAAGGTGTATGGTTGCTTGTCTCTATCCATGCTTATTGCAGCTGTTGGAAGTGGAGTGCATCTGTTTACAGATGTATTGAAGGTACTCCACGTCAATGTCTTGAAGTAAAGAACTAAGAAGGAAAGAAAGCCATGCCAGCATTCTACAAGCCCTGTAAAATCTGTAACTTGCTAAGCATATCCCAGTTTCTGTAGCATGGAATGGTGAGGGGTATTACTTATCCTCTTGGATGGGTTGGTTGTTCTTTACAAATAATTACTAATTTTGTAATATGACCCACATGGCCCTGCGCACTCAATCCCATAGAAAACCACAGTGAATGCTGACGTGTGAAAGGCCTGATATGTGGATATAAACTGGTCTGAAAAAAGCAGTGTAGCATGACTTTGTTGTGGGAAAAAGAAGAAGTGGAATGAACAGCTGCATTTTCAATGGATTTTAAGTTTCTGGTTCTGACTGGAAGAAACAAAGGAAAATTTTCATTATTAGAACATTTTTTTGTTTGTGGTTGTTCCGCATCTTATTTAGGTTGAAACCCATTTTCAGAAGTGGTCATATGAAAAAATGCCTATGACCGAATCTGGTTAGGCTGGCCAGAAAAAATGTTTGGCTCCTTGTCATGAAGCACAGACCTCACTGTGTTTGGTCTGTACATCATGACCTCAAACAAAATATTTTCCCATCCTTCCCTTCGACTCTGTCAGTACATAGTTATGAACAGTTGTTTACTCTGTTACCTGTTTATCAGGGTGGATTTCTGTCAGCCATTGCTTCCATTGGCCTTCTGATTGCATTGGGCTTGACTCCATATGATGGAAAGAATCAGAATAAAAGAATGGGTGAGAAAAAGTCGTTTGCAAACTTTAATTATTGTTGTGCAGTAAAGCAAAGCAGCACACTTGTCAGAACATTTGATATGTACAGTATGGCTTGCCTTTACTGTAGCACCCCCAGGTGCATGTAATGTGTGGGAATTATGTAAACTTTCAGTGCATATAATTACATGCAGGCAGTAGAAAAATTATAGGCAAGTCAACAGATGCTTGTATTTTAGTTTGTTCTTTGTCAATTTCAATACATACAAATGTATGCACTCTTTCATATTAATGCATTTGCTGTGGGAATTTGTATTTCACTCAAACTAATGATTCTGAAGTGTATTCCTACTATGCAAAAATGCAAAGTTAATCATTCAAACAATATTCACTTCAAGAACTGTTTTTTGGTTAATTAGTACAGGTGGATTTGTTTAATGCAACATGTTAGAAAACTTAATAGTCAAAATGCACAAAGGTAGGGAAATAGTTTCACAAACAGATCTAAGTTGTGGCAGACATTCTGTTACTGTTAACATTTGTTTGTATTTGCAACATGAAGATGTAAAGAATGAATATATAGATGGTAGAGTGCAAATATTCTTGAGGTCACAACAAGTTTAATTTCATCTTCAACTAGAGAATTGTAAAAGACAATGATAAATCCATAAATTATTGGTTTCAACATGTTTTTCAACAGTAATCTAACCTTGCTTAATGACTGGAGGCTTTTCCTTCACAGGCAGTAACTTTGGGAATGACCTTTTAAAGATGGTCCATGTAATGTAAAACAGGACACTATTGCATGTTCTGCATATGACATTTAGTAAACAAAAAATTGGGCAGAATTTGGTCACCTGCCAGGCAATGAATCCCAGAAGCAGCATGTGGTACAGCTTAATTTTAATGGCCCATGGCCATAAGAAATCAAATCCAATCTCTGTCTCATATGCTCTTTTGTTTCAGAACATACATTTATAGCAGTTTAGTTGATTGATTCACATGAACATGCATGTATGCATGCATGTATGTTCATGTAATGACACAAAGTGTGCATGTCATGCAAGTGCATTGTATGAAAATGCCATTTACATTAAGTTCATGTAATGTTGCAGTGCACATGAGAAGTACTGTAGTGGTACCCACATTTAAAATTCAGAAGGCTAGAAGGTTGCAGGCCTTTGTTTTCTTTTGGGTGAAGATTTTCAGTTAACTTCAAAAGAGATTTTGAGAAAAATTTAGACAGACGCATCTAACTAACTTCATTAAGGGAATTTGAGGAACTATTGTGGTTTTTGTAGAACTGATGTAACCACTGTGTGCTGTGTCGTTATGTCTTGATTAATGATATTGAATGGTTAAGTTTAGAGAATATTACCATGACTGTGTCCTATGGGGGTGTGATTTGATATTCACTACTAAACAGCAAACAATATATTTTGGTACCTAGGAAGAAACTTCCTCTAGTTAGGGGATTAGTTTATCTTGAGGATTTCAAGGTTCTAAATATATTTTAGCAGAAAAGAGAGACAGTGCTTATGTCATTTTTCATTGTTCCTTAACTGATTTGTTTTTCAAAACCACACCATGTTCAATGGAGAATTCAAAGAGGAAGGTTTAACAAGAGTTCCCTTAAAAACACTGGCCACATTATTACAGTGTTACACTGTTGTTACACTCATATGAGGAGATGGCTATGCAACACAAATAAAAATCATGGTATAGGTTTCAAACAACACACTTTCTTTAGTTTATTAGTGTATTATTCTCAGCAGTCAAACTAGTTCTCCAATTTACAATTGGATCAGTTCCTCAGTTCCTCAATAGAGTTGTGTCAGTGTTGTCTTGTGGCCACCTTCATAAACCTTAGGACACCTTTCTTATTCAGACACCTTGATTGTCCCTTAGGTGTCCATATTAGAAAGATTTTACAGCAATTTATTGTTTTATCATGCTTTCATGCTGTAATTTCTTAATTTTTGTTTCAGGTATCCTGATGGGATTTGCATTTTGCACAGGTAAAGATTGTGGTAAAATTAAAGAATGAGAAAATTTAAAAACCAAATAGTATAGACCTTTCACAAGATGACTTTATCTAAACCCAAAACTTCTAGCCTAGAGCACAATTGTAGGGTTATGGAGAAAACAAACCTTTTGTAATCTTAGGTTACAACAGAACATGTTGCTGTTTGTCGTGGCATTCAACTGTACTACATTCAGGAACCTTTAAATATTTTCTGAAATAGACCTGCTTCATCCTTGAGTTAAAAATGAGTAATCAACTATGGTTTTATTTTGATAGTGCAACTAGCTAAGTATGTCTGTCTGTCTTTTTGTTTCAGGATTGGGTCTTGGACCTCTGATGGACAATGTGATACAGATTGATGCAAGGTTAGTTTTCCATCTTACTTTTTCATGTTGTTCTTCTGAAGGAACAATCACATTGTACTTAACTTTTCCATCCCTTCTTTCCTCTTTCCCCTCTTTTTAGTTTATTTTTGAAAACCCTAAAGTCAACTTTGAATACTACAAACCTGTGGTATTTATTTACTCCTCAAGGTTAAACTTTAATTTAAATTGCTATGGGTTGATTGGTAAATTATTTTATTATAATTTTTAGACCAAAGACACATTAATTTGTTTTAAAACTTCATGGTCCCTGGCATATTAGAGATTTTGACATAATTATTGGAATAATCATGACACAAAGTCCATAGCAAACATTTGTTCAATTTGTTTTGTTTTGTTTTATTTTCAGCATTATCCCTACTGCTTTCTTTGCCACCACACTGATCTTTGTCTGCTTCACTTTGAGTGCCCTGTGGGCAGAGGAACGAACTTTTCTCTATCTGGGAGGTGAGACTTTTTTGTTGTGTCTCTTCAGGGCTGTCACTGAAGTCAATTGAAAACAGTTACTAAGTTTTTTACTCCACAGTTACTGCAAATAACTACTTTTTGTGAAAAGACTAGTGTCTACTCTTCATCTTGGAAACCCTATGTTTATTAACTTATTGTATGAGGCATTGATTATTTTCCTGTAGGTACTCTCATGTCTTGCTTGAGCATGCTCTGTTTCCTGTCGTTGGCCAACCTGTTTCTTGGAGCACGTTTTTTTTTCCAGGTTTGTTTAATGATTAATTGAGTGTACTGTAAATTTAGGTGACTTGGTTGAGGTTTTTCAAGATCACAATGCAAATGGTTTTTTGGCAACTTGGTGGAAGGTCATTTGAAATCCAGATTTCAAGCTTTCAAAAAATAGGTGTTCATTATGACCTATGTGTAAAGAGAAGGCAAAGCAGGCAGCAATTTTGGTCACAGTGCGATGAAGAAATTTATCAAGATGATATAAATTTTTTTGATAATTGGTCCTCTTAGGCACTGAGCTTAGCTATTTTGATTTCTGACTTTTTGGCATTAAGAAACAATGTGGTAACATAATCTTGACATGTCTTACCACAGATTCAGTTGTATGGTGGCTTGGTGTTGTTCTGTGGCTTTGTGCTCTATGACACTCAGCTAATTGTGCATAAGCACAAACAAGGAGACAAGGACTTCTTGTGGTAAGCATATTTCCACTTCAAAATATGCTGCATTTCCTGGTCCTACTTCTAATTTAAAGAATTCACTTATTTGATGGACAACTTTTGAATTCAACTTGTTCTTTTATCCAGGCACTCCATTGACTTGTTTTTGGACTTCATAGAAATCTTCCGTAGGATCATGATAATCCTTGCTCAAAAGGAGGTAAGCTGGTTTGTTTATTTATGGCATGTGATGGAAATGCTTGAGTCTTGAGCAGTAGTGTATATTAGACAATAACCTTGGCCACTGAAAATGTTTATTACTGCTATTATGTATAGTTGATTTAGTATTCCTATGAAGCCTTGTGGATTTTTCCCTTTATAGCTGGGATATTATTGATAGAGTTTCATATGGATTAGGGGTGTGAGGTAGATACTCCAACCTTTTCTCAAACCCATGCCTCTGATTTTTTTCCTCTATTTTGAGGAAAAGGAACATTTTTGTGTAAGCTACCCCTTAATGTATCTTTTGTGAAACACCATTTTGATAACTATCTCATGATGACAAGTTTGGAAAGCTGACATGCTTTATCAACCTCTTTCTTGAGGGTTACCATGGGACCCTTTTAAAACTGTAAGAGTTTAGTTTTGAGGTAATTGAGTATACTTCAACCGTAATTGATGGTCCCATGTTCCCATTTTACAGGATTCAAAGAAGAAGAGGAACTGAGGAATCAATTTTAAATTTTTGAGAGTGTTAAGCTTTTCAGTACTTTCTTCAGGCTAATAGACTAGATGTACAAGAAGTTTATATTGCAGCAATATAAAGCTGCAGATTTCAGTTGTAATGTTAGTAAGCTTTCTGGATTCTAAATGTTAACTGAAGTCTGTTGTCATGTTAATCAAGTAATGTTATAACCGTTAAGATACTATGGGCAGCAGCAGTATTAGTAAAATAACTTAAGGATTACAAAGTAAGCCCCTTATTCACTCAACAGAAATAATGTACAGTGACGTGTTTGAAAAAAATGCAACTGTGGTATTCAGGCCTGTAGAAAACTTCTATTCTTTACTGGTTTTTTTTTTCATGTCTTATTTCAGGATACGTAACGTAGCACTTAATGAGTATGTCACAGTAAATGTAGGGTACAGATTTTTAATGTTATGCTGTAAACATGGAGTGATTTTTCATTGATTATCTAAAAAGCACAATCAGTGGCCATTTGAAATAAAGTAATACACCTAGCCAATCATTGGTGACCCAACATTGCTTGGTTTTTATTTGTGTGTAATTGGTTGATTGATAAGATTGTACAAGTTTCATAAATCATCAGTCAACATGCATATACTGAGTCCAGCTATGAATAATAAGTCGCTCTTACGCAACAAGGTTCGATTTTTTTTTTAAGATGGGAAAGTTGCAAGGTAATAATGAAGACCTAAAACAAGTCTTAAAGGAACTGAATTAAAAAGATATGGAGATTGGTATTCGGTCTATTCGCCACCACAAAAAACTCGCCACCACTAAGAATCAAATCGCCACCGGTGGCGATTTGACTTAAACTTTTTGTGTAGCTTCTCGTATGAACCTTGCATTAATTAAATGAAGGCTAAGATGTAGTAGTATATTGCGAAAAGGGGAAAGGACCCAGAAGTTATGTGTAGCCTCTCAATTATGCACGTTAACCGTTAACCGTTAAATCTAATAAAACGCATATCTTTTAAAAGGTTGGATCTCAAAGGTTAACTAAGTTTTGGTTTTAAAGATGCGAAACGAACACAGTGTATTAGAATAGTAAATAGCATGTTAGCAATGTTTCCTCTGATTGCCGCATTCGTTAAATAATTAATTTATCCGTAGATTTGGATCCGTCTTGGGTAATAAAGGGGCATGGTTTTTATCCTGAGATCGTTAAAAACACAACTCTTTCAAATCATCACTACTCAACGGAAATTTTGGAAAATCGTCTTTAGATATCTTTGCATCACATGTGACTTTGAGGTGCATCCGCGCTTAGAGGCTGTACAATGTGATGGATATTTCATGTCGCATTTAACAGTTAACATGCTACAATTGAGAGGCCACACATAATTTTTTAAGTCAGTTACGTGTGCGATGCTTTCGATTATAAGGACAGTAACTGGTCAAGTCGCTCGAAAGTCATCTCGCCCAAAGTCGGTTTCCGGCCAATTTACCACCATCAAAATCGCCACCACCAAACTCGCCACTACTGAGAGTCAAATTGCCATCGGTGGCGATGTAACTCAGGCGTTATGTTTAGCGGCATAAAGGGAGTGACAAAGCTGCAAGAAGATTAGGCAGTAACTACTGGGAACAACCATGCCGAAACCACGCCAAACCTCCAGCAGATCCGCTGTATTTGTGTGTAAAAACTAGAGGTGGCTAGAGCGGAATTCTGTAGATAGTCGCTCGATTTGACGCCGCTCTTGAAAAAACGTCAGAGATGGATGCAATCTGCCAATGAACGTCGCATCCATCATAAGAAGACGAAGAAAGCAGGGTTTCTTTTGATCTTGAGAAAGGAAAACGACAAGCGCAGCATAACTCAGTAATCTTTGTATTTCACAAAAAGTTTTGCAACAAATTTTTTACCATAGTTGATGACAAAGACTCGAGTATATGTCTCTGAAATAAATGCCGTCCTGTGGCCGTAATTGAACGTGGTTTAGACCTATCTCGGGAAGAGGTGAAGGTGAGGGTGAATAGACTCTCTGACCAACCCATAACACCTTGCGGTAAGTCAGTTCTGCTTGGCAGCCATCTTTGCCAGGGTTACCACTTGACCATGGTTAGTAAACCTCATATATTTATACTTGTGTATAGGTTGAGCTCGAAAGTATTTTATTGTTTTGTTTTGCAGATTCGGTTTATTCTTATCCAAAACAGGGCAGGTAAAACAAGGCTGGCGAAATGGTACATGAACTTTGACGATGATGAAAAACAGAAACTTATTGAAGAAGTTCACGCATTGGTGACTGTGAGAGATGCAAAGCACACGAACTTTGTAGAGGTACGCTATGAGAACCTGAGGACTTTTCCCTTTGCTGCTCGTTATGAGAAGTGTGCCTATTTGTTTGTCAGTGTCTTATGATGACTTCCACGCTGTTTGATCGAGGAACAAGTTACTAACTCTGGAGTGTGAGTCTTACACCTGTGGGCTGTAGAATGAAAACGCTGATCTGAGTTAAAAATCCTCGCTGCTCGTGCAAATTACCCGTTGTTTAGCTCATCTACGGATTTAATTCATTTCACTTTCAACAAATATTCGAAGAAATTTAAGTAATTAGGAAAAATTGAATATTTGAGTGCTCATTGAAACAGTCAAGGGCTGAACAGTCATTTGCTTGTTGGTGTTTGGGACTGAACACTGAACTGAGTGATTGCCAGAAAATATCAAGAAAAATTCGGAGCTCATTCTCACATGTCATCATAATGCTCGCATCATTTATGAAGTAGTCATGATACACATTCTTTGATGTTATTGATTGATTAAAATAGCTTAAATAAGACCCCCAGTGGAATTTGTGGAAAATTGTCTCTAGAATTACTAAATTTCGAGTATCAGTGTCCGTTAAAGCCTAAGATAATCAAGCTAAGATATATAACTGCAACACAATATCAATTTTTTTTCTTGTAGTTTCGTAACTTCAAAATTGTATATCGTCGTTATGCTGGGCTTTACTTCTGTTTCTGTGTGGATGTGCATGATAACAACTTGTATTATTTAGAGGCCATTCATAATTTTGTTGAGGTAAGATAAAAGTAATTTCTCCTTGTTTTGTTTGTGTGTATGTATATATGTATGTCCACTTAACTGACCTCTTCCCCAATAGGACTTTTCAAGGCTAATATGAATGAATGAATGAATGAATAAATAAATGAAAGAATAAATATAGAGTTTAAAAATCCCAACTGGCTGGAAGTAGACCAGTTGGCTATATACCAAGCACAGCCAAGGAGTTGAACTCAGGGCAGCCAGATTAAAAACCTATTGTCCTAACTACTTGGCCATGCTGCCTCAGTCTGTACTACCACTGTAATGTTCAACAGTTTCTGGTTTATAAGCAAAACTTGAAAATCAAAACTCCTTAATTAGTTGGGTGGTATAATAGTGAAGGTAGTGCTACAATTATATTTAGAAAAAGTCTATTTGGAAGGTTGCCACTTTTTCGTCTTGTTTGTGTCTCTCCCTAACCTTATGGTCAAGTTCAGCAACTGTCACTTAGTGGCAGATGTTAAAGTGATGTGCTTGTCATTGGGCGTATGGGGGTGTGCTTAAACTTCTCTTGTAACTTTCAATATACATGATACCATTCTGATTGCTGCAACAATAGGATCTTTAAGGACACACACAGTGTCCTTAAGTAAGTTCTACATGTGATAACCATAAACCACAAACATGACATTGTTCATCATTTTGCAGGTCTTAAATGAATTCTTCCATAATGTTTGTGAACTGGACTTGGTGTTTAACTTCTACAAGGTAAACCTGATTGGAAAAATGCTTTAATATCTTGCTGAAAATATTGTAGAACTGTAGAACTCTTTATGGCCAAAGTGTTTTTCATTTACTCCTGTATAGAGAAACTGGATTATTTTGACAGAATAAAGATGTAAACACTTTTATAAGCAGAATGCACAAATTGCTCTTTGCCTGAAATGGACAGGTGTAGAGTTTCATCGATTAAAGTGAAACCCAGATCGAATGCTTTCTTGAAGCATAAGATATTTTAAAATTAGTCACAACCTTTCAAGGGGGCAAGAGCCCATATGCCCATTTCACTCTCCCAATAGCCCAATGTACCAGCTGCTGGGAATACCTTGAAAAATGTGATTTTATACAAGACTTGTAATCATGTGGTTGGGCATGGGCAATTAAGACTATGATATCATGCTTAATAAGACAGTCCTGTTATATTGATGGAAATCTTCAAAGACTAAGTGTATAAAAATGCCATTTTTTTCCTGGGTTGTTAATCTGGTTATATTGTTTCAATCTTGGTATCAGGTATATTCTGTTGTTGACGAGATGTTTTTAGCTGGGGAGATCAGAGAGACCAGTCAAAGCAAAGTTCTAAAGCAACTTCAGATGCTCCAGCAGTTAGAATAGTATTTGTGAATTAAAGACTTCACTTTCTATATAATGCACAAGAAAATTATTAAAAATTTGTAGCTGGTCATTTTTTCAGAAAATCAGAGTTCTAATTTTACTATGTGATGACATGTAACAGACCAAACACCATTACACCTTGTAAATGTCCTTAGAAGAAAGCACAATAAATGCAGAAAAAAGAAAATAAAAATGGCTTTGTGAATGTGTATTCAAGTATAGCTTTCTCTTGTTGCTGTCCCTTGTTTGCAAAATCAACTGTGTTGACAGTTGAACAGTCTACTGTATTTGTACAGGGAAACCTCTGTGAAGTGAAAACTAGTGGGACTCTGGCCAGTGTCCACTTGATTTAAGGTATCTTCCCCATGCAGTTCTAATAAGTTATGGTAAACTAAACTGAGTGGAGTTCAATTTGAAAGCATACTCATCATTTTCCTGCAATAAGATTGATTACTTAAAACAAGCCTTGAAGTCTGACTGTTCATTTTGTTTCAATGTTCCTTATTTATTACTGAGGGAGAAGATGAGATTTAGAGCAAAAGAGGTACAATTTAAAGGTAAATTACTCATCTGAGAGCCAATCAGATTGCAATGATCAGTGATTTCAAAATGGATGAATAAATCAAAGAAAGTAAAGGATTTGAAGGGAAATTGAAGGGTTGCAGCAGAATGTTAGAGTTGCCATAATTCCTTTATTTTTGGCACAGTGTCTAGTTAAGTGGCAAGACTGTTGTTGATGATGCTAATGCTTAGGATTGTCGGTTAATTTTCTAAAATATAAGAATTTCTTTTTGTCTAGAGAAATATGGTTAGAGATTGTGTAATTTCATTTTTTATAGCATTTTTTTGGTTGTTGTTGTTTTCTTTTTTTTTTTTTGGGGGGCTGGTTTTCTGGGCTCTCTGACAAAATTAAGAAAGGTTTGCCATGATTTTGGAATTACAAAACCTTTTTGTTTTGTTTTTTAATCACTTTTGTCTTAGTTTTAAAAGTTTTTACATGTAAGAGGCTTTTCTATTAGGCTTCAGATGCTCAGTATCTTCAATTGGTCTCTGATGTATTTTCAGTAAGCAGTTCAAAGTTCAGACTAACTCACTTTTCTGGTACTTCCTGCCTGAGGGAAATGCCAATTTTTTCTAAAATGAGAATGATGAACCACTAGACCATGTATATTATATAATTTTATATGTATTTTTAGGGGTATGTTATAAAGGACACCAACAGGTGTGGAGGAGGTAACTGAAGAGACTGAGAAGTTTCCAAAGTGAAAATTAAAAAAAGTTGAAATTTTTTGTTTGCCTTGTACTTATGGGGTATACCACTAAATTATAGCCTAAAGTGCTGCTCTCAGAGCATTGATTGTGGTGAGATATCACCTGAACTACAGCACAAAGACAAAAAGTTCCAAAAGTTGTAGGTGTAGTAAACCAAGTCTTATAATTGAGGGGGCCATAGTTTTATGCCTTTGATGTGCAGATCTTTCCTTTTGGTTGCAAAAATTTCAGAACAAATGATTAATTGTTAAGCATGTAATGGCATTCTGTGCCATATAGCACTCTTGGGCTGGAGAGGGTCAATTAAGTTGAAGAGGGAGGAGTTAAGTTTGTAAAGAAACTGTGGTGCTGCATCAATAGAGGGAGGGGGGTATCCCAAGATAATTTTGTTTTATCAACTGAGTTCATAATGTAGATTGACCAAGTGCAGACTACCAAGGGGATGTAAAACTGATTGCATACCATAAACCTGGGTATCAGTAGTGGTATTAGATGCAAATTTTAAGTTACTTTTCCTGCCTCTCCATAGCTTCCAAACAACACACTGCTGTGGTTACTGCTCTCACCAGAAAAAGAAGTGAGCATCCCGTTTTACTTTTCTTTCACAAGATTTTTATAAAAGATATCAGTTAGAAAAAACAATTACTTTTTTGAGAAGGGAAAGAAATCAACAAATAATGTCCCTAGATCTTTTCTGTCTCTTCATGTAAATGCCAATATTGATTTTTTTTTTCACATTAGGTCATTCATTATAGATGCATCTTTCTTTAGATCCCCAGGAAAAATCCATGTTTTGGGCAAAAGAACCGGAGGCCTTCAATATATTGATCTTTAAACAGTTTATTTTACATACAGCAGAATGTTTGTTATCAAAGCCTCAATCCCATGAATGTTGGAACAGCAAGTGCACAATAAGTGATGACTTCTTTATTAAGAAAATTGAACATTTGAAGTTCTGATATACATTTAAATCTACTGACATTAATTTTAAAAAAATGTACTTTAAACAGTTTGACAATTACTAATTATACAATTTTACAGTTATTATCTGGATAACTACTTGATATGAACTTCCACAACCAATGATTTGTGATATTTATCATCTCTTACAGCCCTGTGGCTGTGGCTTAATCTCTGGTTTGTTGGAGTGAAAGAGATACTCCAATCAAACCAATCAAGAAATTACCTCATCTTTCAGTAGAAGCAGCACTTCCACAATATTCAATCCTTACTTGCATTTGATTTGTTATTTCTACCCTTAATCAAAACTCCGCTGTATGTTTCAATGACTTTAATTGTTTTTGTGAGTAACTAGAACAAGGAAAATGGTAAATTTTGAGATCAGTTGTGTACTAAAGAAAGATATAATTCATTTTGTTATTAACATGGGACAGAGAAAAAAAGTGAGTCCCTAATTAGGAATCAAACACCTCATCTCAGGTCTGAGGTTTTATTTCTTGTGAAGGGATCATATTTTTTCCTGGTCCCTGTTTTTCAATGAAATGAAGAACACCTTTCATTGCTCTTCACATTCCCTGCCTCTGAGATGAGAATAAGAGTAATAGAAACCTGTGATCAAACATGTACAGGCAGAGTAATGTTCAACAAATCTTCAGGATGTTCTTCACTGGTTGTAGTCATAAACTTCACTTTTTCAAATGAAACCCTCTCAAAGACTATTCAAATATTGCAGGTAAATGGATTTTTTTGTGGACAAAATTTTGAAGTCATTAAGTACAACAATATAAGCCATGGGTTTATGAGATTATTTGACACTCATAGTTTAAACAAGATTATTTGACACATCTTTTAAATCCTTTGAGACAGCACTTCTCGAAGCTCACTATTATTGACTGGCATGGGAGGGGTTCCACGGTGGAATTTACAGGGTGTTAGATTAGTATTTTCTTTAAGCAAAGCTGTTCCTGAGTAAAGAACACGAGTCTTAGGAGTGTTTTCTTTGACTGGCTCCACAGTAGCAGCAACTGAAATGTGACTGATATCCATTCCATCTGTTGGCAATGAGGTAGGGCTGAGTAAAGAATGCTTGCCATGTGCTAACTCTTTTGCTTCCTAGCAAAAATTTTAGTAATTCAATGACAATAACATTGATAAAGCCTAAAGAATATGTCACTAATACTGATAACATTACATGTAATTGTAATAAATTTAAAATACCCCTAACCATCTACGTTTCATCAAAGTTATCAATGGAAGCTAAAATTGTTGCGCATGGTTTGGCAAACTTAAGATTGATTACCAAGATTGGAAACTCACAGTCTTCCAATGACTGAGCTGAAGGGTAAAAAAAAAATTCTGCTTAACCATGGTACCAGTCAGTCAGTAATCTGGCCACCCCTTGTGCTGACAGGATCACTTAAAAATGGGGAGGGAGATGGAAATTCTTAAAAAATGAGCTGGCTTGGTCCACCACAATCATATGGAAAAAACCATCCCCATAACTTCTGTAATTAATACCTTTATGAGTAACTCACAGAATTCTTAGAGCTTGCTTGATATCTGTTCCTTGGAGAGGATGAGAAGCAAGTTGTTGCACCTGATGAATGCCTTAAAAATTGTTAAGAGAGAATTAATAATATTATTGGAAATGGGCAGCCTTAATAACATATGAATTATATCAAGGTAGCCCACACTAGTTTATTTTTCTTTAATTTTGAGTACAATAGTCCATTTTACATTTGTGCACTTCGTTGCCAAGCCTTTGAACAGGAGTGAGGCTAAGGTTGACCTTATTATAATACAAACCTTGCTGCATTTCATATGCAAATTACTTTGTTATTATGCTAACTAGATAAATTTATTGAGAAACAACATGTAAGCAAACAACAACATCAGAACTTTATTCATCATGATAGTTTCTTACAATATGGGTCATGCAACTTAGAAATAACATGAAATTCTTTTCCGTTGTTGGATATTCAAATTGTTTCTAATAATGTTTCGGGAGATAAATTTGTCTTCTCTACAGTGTGGTATGTAAACTATATACTTTCTTTCCCTAGCACAATAGCTTGTATGAATGACCCAAGTTGCTGGGAGATTCTGATGGTTGTTACTTAATTATGAATGGCCAATAACTGGTAGTGTATTTAAAATTCATAATGATACATACAAGGAAAACAATTGACAGAGTAAAGTCTTACCGTCTTCTGACCCTTCTACGTGGTGATGCAAACTGTTTGTACTTGTCAGCTGCAGCTGTAGAGGATTCAAACACTTCACCATGCCTTGTTGACATGTCAGTTGAACCCATACTTATACCAGGTGATGCAAGACAATGAGTTCCAAGATACTTATCATTTGGAGAGGGCACATAGGACATAGCATCAACAACTTTCACATGCTCTGTCTCATTTGATGGCAATATCCTACTGTGACCAGGTTTTACTGGAGAAAAAAAAAACTTCTACTTTAGCTTTACTAAAAGTGTTACAATAACCTTATCATTAGGATTTTAAGTGTCATGTTCTGTGCTATGCAGGAAACTTTGCTCTATAAGTGCCTGAGCTGACAGTAATGGGTTAAGTTACTGTAGTCGTCTTCCATGATTTGACTGATTTTACTAAATGTGTTGCTTCATGTACTTGTCACTAGCTTCTTGTTTTTGAAGTGCTGTCCACCTATATTATGCTAAACAGCTCAAAACCTGTCTTGATCTGATGTAAATTTTAATCTTTGCTTGCTTATTTCCCTATTACTGGTTAATTGACAGATAAAGTGTATACTAGAAAGTTTCAGTTCATTCTCAATGATTGTTGTTGCATACAGGTCATTTTAAAGGAGAAATAATGAATATCATGGTGCTCTAAGTACCACTAACATTCTAACAATATTCTGGACAAAACTCCTACCCATGTCACTAAGAGGCTTTAAAGAAGCCTGGAGTGGTTTAATAGGTGTGGTGAACATCTGGGTGGAGGCTGATACAAGACGTGGGTTGCTGATTCCCTGAATATTGCTCACATCATTCATCATTCGTCTGCATCCAAAACACAGATCAATTGAAAAGCTAACTGCGAGTCATCAAGTGCATCTTCCAACAACTCACAAAGTTAGAAGTTGGAGATGGTTCATAGACAATTCTATTGACACTGCTATCATTCATGTTACTGATCTTTTGGGAAAAAAGGTGCATCATTTGAAAGGTTTTCAAAAAGATGCATTTCTCTCTGCTTCTAGAAGTCTGTTATGAGAATTACACTACATTTTAATAGTTGTTAGCAACATGAAAAGCAGATTGCAAAGTCTGCACCTGAGAGTGTGCATGTTATTGAAGGGAACAGAAAGAAAATGAAAAAGTGCAAAAATGTCATCATGTGAATTGCAACACCCTGTGGTCATGAAATACATATCAAATTCCACAACCCTACAATACCACTGCTGTTTAATGACTGAGTGTTTATTGTTTATTGGTTTATTGCATTTTATTTTTCTAATAGTGCCTAATAAAGTTTGTAAACCAGTTGTAAATCAGCTACTAAGAAATTAACGGCAACAAGTCAACCACTACCCACAGTTTAAAAAAAATTGACTATCATTAAAATCCCAAACAATGCAATGTCAGTAGGTTTAACCTATTAGATTAACAAAAAAATAAAACATGTAGGTGGATTGTGAACATAAAGTAATGACCTCTTGACTGCAGGTGAAGCAGCACAGATATTTTGATCTGCTGGCCGTCGCTTGTTATAAAGCCTCAGGCTCATCCTTTGGTTGGTGTGAGCCACAAAATTCTCTAACTCCAGATCATCTATGGATCAAAAAAGAAAAACATCCTACAGTATGCTGATGGTTTAGGGCATCACCTCACACTTCATAAAATTTGTGAATTAATTATAAGAACACTAGATAATACACATAATTTTACATTTTAAGTACACCTGAATTTACTGACAAGCAGACAATAAACAGTTTTAAGTTGCAGCTTTGGACTTTCCATAATGAAAAGAAATAGTAAAGGAGTTTAGTGATTTTGTGTTCAACTTGACATCTCACTTGTTTGCTGCATCACTCTTGTGGTGTCAAGTTGAACACTTCAAGAGATATTCCATAACTTTGCACACCTGTGTATTATTCTTTATGTCTATAGTATGGCATTACCTCTGAAGGTTTAAATAAATGTAGAGACAGTTTTAGTGGGGCTGCTTTTCTTTATACAAGCTGGTTTGTGTATGAACGCAATTATTTAACAGCCTTTGTACCAAGTATAGAGCTCAGTCAGTAGGTAGGTAAGTCAAACAAATAATATCAGGTTACCTGATTTCTTATCCAAAACATTTTCCTCAAGGTTATATTTCACCTTGTTTCTCATTAGTTCTGCTTTCATGCTCCTTGAACGCCTGTGTGTATGCACTGGTGTTTTAGCAGATGACGAATTCTTGAACTTGCTAAGACTTTGGCCCAGACCAGAAACAAAGCCTACATATAATTATAAAAATTGAACCATTAAAAGATATGGAGACAAAAAAAGAAAAATGGTACAGTGTACTGGTAAACCTTCCAAAATGATGGATGGGTCTAAAGATCTCCCAGGGTCTTTCATACTATGGTTGCTATAAAAATATTTTTCTCCAGTACACAAAAACTAGGCATAGCTAAGCTGCATACCTGAGAGTGAACCAGTTCTAGTTCTTGCCCTTGATTGCCTTTTGTTGCCTCGTTTCCAGTTATCGTCAACATCAAGCTCATCGCCTGATGATGTCATGCCATCAACAAACTCATCTCCAATCATCTTTGCACGTTCATAGATATATTCGCTAACTAAACCAATTTCTTCAGCATTTTTCAGAATAATATCGATGACTGCTGTCTGCTCCTTTAGTTGCTTTTCTGAGGCACTGTTGCCTTCTTTCTTTGTGTTGTGTATTAGGTTGGGAGTAAGAACAATGGCAAGGTTTGAGGTTCCCATCTTACTGTGATGTGAACACTTTGCTACTTTGGCCAAGAACTTCATTGTAAACTGCAATGTATTGAGATGTGCAATGGGAAGCAAAAGACAAAGTAGCAAGATAGCCTTTTTTTGGTCATCATGATCCTCCTTTCGCTGTGCCTTTATGAAGCAGTCGTGGAGCTGATTGGTCAATAATGGTTCTGGTAACTGCCTGAAGAATTGCTTCACCAAACTTGCAACATCGTGAGGTTGGACATTTTGAAATTCTTCCCCATTTTCTGCCTTTAGCTGTTTCAAGTAAATCAATGTCAATATACAAGCGCCAAGCAAAAAAAATCCCCCAAATACATAAAGTTTACATAAAGTTTACAAAAATCATAAGCACCTTCACTGTGATGTAGTTTTTTAATAGGAACAATGCACAAGTAGACTAACCTTGAGCAGCTTTTGTCGTTGAATGGATCCAGACTTTCTAAAGAGTCCTTCTGTCTCTAGATGTTGCTGAAGAAAATTTGCAGAATCTACCACGAATCTGAGGGAAAAAATTCTGATGTTACAACGTTGATAATTTATAGATACAATAAATGCAAAATCTAAAATGTGTGTAAGCATAGTTTTTTTTAACTATGACATGACTAGTATTGCCTCATATCAATTTAAGCGGGGATAACATTTTCTACATTTAAATGCTTTATTTACATGTACACAGTATATTTTCTCTTGTTTTATCATAAGCCTTTTGGTTTGTAAATTAATGGTTAAATCCTGAATTTATTGATCAAAAATACATATATCCATGAATTTTGGTTTGAAAATACAAGTGTATATTATCCCCTGAGTGTTCTGATTAGAAAAAATATCATCTAGTTACTTTGGAACACTGCAGTAAAAATCCTTCCCAACGTTGACAGAAGTCACTTTCTCCAGGCACACTCCGAATACGCCGCTTCTATTCTGCTTGTCAACCGGCTGGTTTAAGGAAAATAAATATTATACAGTTAAGCTTTGTAAACTTTAGCTGAAGAGGAAAGGTATCAATGACATAAATGAATCAATAAAAACATTTCCAAAGCTGATTGAGCCATATAGAAGAAGAACTAAACGGAAATTTCAAACTCGGCTGTAAAACAGACTTACTTGAACTTTACAGTTTTTCTGCTTCGGTACTTTGATGCCTATGTCCTTCAGATCCTTTCTCACGATGAATCGCACATTGTCCTTGAAATCGATAGACGATAAATGCTTCATTTTAAAAGAATATCCAAAGTTTACAAATGCCCCTTCATCAAACAGTGGTCAACAAAATTCGAATACTACGCTTAACCGTTTTGGATTCTGATTGGTTAACGCTAGATTGCTCTACGAAGGTAAGCAAGGACCTACGACGAGTGACGAAGATTTCCCGACAAGTTCATTTTTTCGCGCCTCTATTCTGTGAAAGTCAAGAGATTATTTACCTGTCTTAAAATAGATGTTTGTGTTTATACTCGCGAATAAAAAGCTATCGTGGGATACGGAGACCTTAACAAGTCAAGCATCATGATTATTTAAAATTCGTGCGCTAAACGAAATCCTCGAATGATCGAATCTCATTAAGAAATTAGCAGCAGTCTGGGCGAAGCTCAGTTATGACGCCCTTCGTGGCTTAGGTAAGGTAAAGTAAAGTCAACTTTATTTTACCAGGGTGGCCCAATCAGCCGTAAGGCTGGTATCCAAGGGGCCCTGAACTAAAAAGTATAATAATTGAAAAATACAATAGATAGTAATTTAAAAATACAGGATGCAACAACTTAAAAGTACAAAATATTAAAAATCGTGAATATTCATTAAAAATTCAAAGGAAGAAATTGACTCCGTGTTCTAAATGTGCTGAGCCCGAATATTTAAAAGTTCGTTTCCCAAGGCTTAGCTTCGGTTTGAGCAGATGCAAATCTTCTTTTGGTTCTTCTGCGAGTGTCATAGCTACGTACATCGTAGTTTCTAATAAAGTAAGTAGTTTCATAATTACTGGGGTTAAAAAAAACCTGTGTCTTTTCTGTTTCATTTCTAATAAAGCCCACTCTAAAACACCAAAAGTGTCTTAAGAGGAGTCAAGCTTTAAAACGATGCGGGCAGCACGATTTTGTAACCGTTGAAGGATTCTGCTGGAGGTGGCTGACCGTTTACCCCATGCAGTGTCGGTGTAACACAGGAGTGGCTCACGATAGGGGGTATTATAGACACATGAATAAAGGGGGTAGGTTTCTAAAGAAACTGTGGTGCTGCGTCGGTGGGAGAGCATCGCAGGTAATTTAGTGTTAACAACTGAGTTGAAAACGTAAATTGGCCACCGTAAAAGGTAAAAAAGCTGACGTTTCGAGCGTTAGCCCCTCGTCAGAGCGTTTTCAACTCAGTTGTTAACACTAAATTACTTACGTATTAGAGACACACTTTGCTGCCTTAAGAGTAAGGCAAGATCTTCAGGAAAATAAGTTAAAAGTAAACGAATGGTGGACAGTTCGCTTTGATCCCTTATGATTTTAACTGATGGATGTTCCTTGAACAAGAACCAAAGAAAAACTCTGTCGACTGGTTGTTTAATAGCGAACGGAAGCGCTTCCGTTTCACCTGGGGGGAGGGTACAACTATACGTAGGCTAGTAGTTTAAGTGTAAGGGATTGAAATTAAGTGGTAAAGCTAAGATCTTATGAAACGCGTGAGTGATTGTATATTATCAGGGAATCACCACACGCACAACCTGAGCATTGACAATGGAAAAGTGGTTCGCCACAAAGGTTTTTAACGAAAGTTCGAAGTTAAAGGACAATGCAAGCGTGATTTTACTTCCATTTATTCCGTCTACCAGCTGATGTGCCTTTCCATAACAAACATTCCTTCCTTGTCTGCTGACTATTGACCTTTAACAACGTGCCTTATTCTGAATTCTCCCAACCCTCCCGGTGTTCATACGCGGCTACGTAACACGGGAAAAGTCCTCTATTGCCTAACTGGAGACTATCATAAATGATTCCAGTCTTATTAATCTAAAAAGAAAAAAAGAATGAAAAAATGTATTTGCCATATGCATATGCCCTTCTTCAAAGCGTTCGTATTTGTTGCTATGGATTAACCACAGCTGAGTACGTTGATGTTCCTCCCCCAGCGATTGATTATTATTTTCACTGACCTCTATGGGTGTTGGTATACCTCTATGGGTGTTGGTATACCTCTATGGGTGTTGGTATACCTCTATGGGTGTTGGTATTGCATTGCATTGCATTGTATATCCATTGCATTGTACTACTAAAGTAGTAGATCTTTATTTAAACTCGGTTAAGAATCTTCAGTTATACTAATAGTATTTTAATTACAATCATTTGTAAAAAAAATTAAAATAACTATAAAAACTGATTTACAAGATTGCCCAGTGGGAATCGAATGTTTCAAGTGCGCGGTTGATTTCCTTCTTAAACTACCCAATTGATCTAATCACCCTAATAATCTCAGGAAGAGAATTCCACAGTAAGGCACCGCTAGTCAGTACGAATACAAATAATCAGTACGCGGCTTGGGTAAGTTTAACTCACGGAAAGAATCACGCAAGTCATAGTCTGTGTGTTGCTCACTTAATAAATCATGCAAGTACACTGGGGCTAACCCGTTGAGGGATTTAAAAATCATTATAGCTTTCTGCTTTCTTCTTCTTAATGATAGCTGGTTCCACTTCAAAGCCTCAAGAAGCAGGCTTGAGTTTACCTCACAGTTGGCTTACAGAATAACCCTAGCTGCTCGGTTTTGCAATTTTTGTAGTTTTTCTCACATAGATAAGAACTCAATCCATCCCAAACGGGAGCACAGTAATCGAAATGAGGTTGGATTAAAGCGTTATATATTTGTACTGCAGTGGACTGAGAAATGAGGGACCTAATGCGCCTCAGAGCACCTATTGCCGAGGATATCTTTCTGCATGGTTCTTTGATGTGATTAGACCATGAAAGTCGGTCATCAATAATTAAACCAAATGATTTGGCATGTTCAACCCTGCAAATTGGATGGCCACCTAATTGGATATTAATCTCACTACAATTTTCTGCAAGAAACTTTTGACGAGTATTAATCACTATAAACTCAGTTTTCGCGATGTTTAGACTAAACTTATTGGCTTTTAGCCAGCTGCAAAGATTGTTAAGTTCAGAATTTGTTGCTTGTTCGAGTTCGGCAAAAGTGCAACCAAAGACGGTGATGTTAGTATCGTTGGCAAACATTTTTGCGCAGGAAATATCGAGGCAATTAGGAAGATTATTTATATATATTAAAAAGAGCAAGGGTCCCAGTATACTTCCCCGGGGAACCTCGCAGATTAACGCTCCATTGACACTGCATTTTTGGGATCTATTACATAGGTAGGACGCAAAATATCGTAGAGCACTTTGATCAACCCCATAGTTCGCGAGTTTCCGCAAAATTATTTCGTAATCGATTGTATCAAAGGCCTTTTTAAGATCAATAAATAGCACGCCATTTAAGAGACCGTTGTCAATATTAATTGACCAGTTATTCGTTGTCTCAAGCAGCGCTGTTAGCGTGCTGTGCATTGATCGAAAGCCAGATTGGCACGTATTCAAGAGGCTATTATCCTGAAGGTAATCATAAAGTTGACGATAAATAATTTTTTCGTAAATTTTTGAGACGAGTGGCAATACTGGTATTGGTCGATAGTTCCCTAGTTCACGCTTGGATCCTTTCTTAAACATTAACTCATTCAAACATTCATTGTCATGCGCGCCATAATGGTTACCACGTTTTTAGGTCTCCGCAATTTTCTTAGTTTTTTGCTCTTGACTATGTGTCTTTCGAGCTCCGTTGCAACGGTTTTTCATCCCAACGTTTTTTGTGTATCAGACAATTAGCTTACACCGACGAAACGATGTTTTTCTTGCTACAACGGGCGCTCATGTTTCATTCCTCATCGACCTATCACTACTCGGAACAAACATGGCTGTACGTGTTTGCTGTTGCCCTCGAGAGATTTAACCATCTGTATGGATATCGAGAGAAATCCTGGACCATCTTGTTCCCTGCTGGATGTCCATTCCTCTGCTGTGAGTTTTGACTCTATGCCTGCTCGACACTCCTTTTCCACAATCCCAATTGGACGGGTAAACGGGTGTCAGGTTGTGTCGCCCCATTGCCTTGTCGCCCCAGGTTACGTCGCCCCAATCGAAGTTACGTCGCCCCAACATCGGAGTTGTGTCGCCCCAACATCAAAGTTGCGTCGCCCAAACGCGCAACTTCGCTTATCAAGTAAAAGTTTGTAAGATTCTCCGATCGATTTACGCGAACGATCGACTTATAACATAAACATAACACTGCTGTAAGATTTATCGATCGATCGAAGGAAAAGTTAGTAAGTCGATGTACTCGATGTAACTCGAGCGAGCGGCTTGTAAAAAGTAACTTCACGCGAACGATCGACTTATAACATAAACATAACACTGCTGTAAGATTTATCGATCGATCGAAGGAAAAGTTTGTAAGATTATTACGATGTAACTCGATGTAACTTATTTCGAAAACCACCCGTTTTTTATTGTTTTTACAATTTCACAACCCAAAATCTTTATGGAATCTGTTTGCTGAATAGATTAATTTACTTATTAAATCCTAAAACCATCCTTTTAATTTTAAACCGTTTACAGTTTCACAACAAAGATCTTTTAAACGGACTGGAGCAGTGTTGTAATCATTATGCGGCAGTTTACAGTAGGTTTATTATGGCATTCGTTTTCTAACTAGGTTGGTGGACGCCGTCATTTGATTTTCGCGACACGACACCAACTCGACCTACTCAACAGAGCAAAAAGCTGGTACGTGGATGCGACCTTCAAGCTGTACCGTCAGCCGTTTACCCAGCTGTTAACAGTCAACGCCTTCGTAAAGGCAGTTGACTACGTCAAGCAGGTGCCGTTGGTGTTTGTCCTTATGTCGGGCAAACGGAAGCGTGATTACAGAGCTGTTTTCCGAGAGCTACTAGAGCTGTTACCATCCCCAGCGCTACGACAAGTCACGCTAGACTTCGAGTGTGCAGTATGGAAGGTACTTCGACAACTGCTCCCAGACGTCAAACTACTGGGGTGCGTCTTCCATTGGACTCAAGCCCTGTGGAGGAAGGTTAGTGTCACTTACCATTATTTAGTATATTCTTGTTTTCTCTAGAAAAAAAGTCATTATTTGTTTTTGAAGGCCACAATTCAATTTATTATTTATTATTTGTTAATGCCGTATAAAGTTTAAAAATATCGCCGTTTGTTGAGGCCACAATTTAATTGACTCTGAGTGTGTTTGTTGGTTGTGTACTTTCAAATAAATTTAAAGGAGCTGCGTCTCAATATTTTGAGTCATTTATTCGATAGCCTAAATCATGACAATTTTTTTTTCAAAATCAATGAACGGCGACGTAGCTCCTTTAAAACAAGTCCTCTTCCTTTAATTTTTCTAGGTGCAAGAGCTTGGCCTCCAGGTTTCGTACAGGGAGGATCGGGGCACCCATGCTTTCATACGAAAGGTCATGGCTCTACCCTTCCTCTCTTTCCTTAAGCGGAGTTACTACTCTTCTGACCTACTACGAAATTTAGTACCGCGGTGTCAATTTTCAAGACAATATGCCCTTAGGGTAGGAAAAACTGTGTCTGTACCTACCTCCTCAAGATCTGTTAGATTTGGAAATTTTTGTACTATTAAATATCAGAATCATGTGTAATATACTTAACTGCAATTTATCTTATTACTTATAGTATTTAATGTTTACACAATATGTAATATTTATATTTAATTGATATCTAAAATAGTTCTATGTATGCATAATGTAGAAGTATTTGTAAATTATGACCCGCCTTGTAATTCAGTTTCTACTACAAGAAGGCTGAATAAACGATCATCATCATCAAGAAGAAGACATCAGGCCGCAGTTCCAGCGCCTCCAGCAAACAGCAAACTCAGCACCTCTTCGCCACTTCACCGACTACGTATCGAGAACCTGGATCGAAAGCAACACCTGGCCGCCATTCTCTTGGTCAGTCTTTATGCAGTCGGTCAGGACCAACAATGATGTGGAAGGTTGGCAGCTCGGTCTGCACACCAGAGCCCAGGGCAAGAGCCAGCTACCCATGTACTTACTTATCGACCTGCTCTACAAAGAAGCCAAACTAACTTCCCTGAACGTGCGTATGGTCTCAGAAAAGAAACTTCGACGAGTTCAGCGGCGCAGATATCGTCAAATCCAGGCTAAGGTATTTTCACTGTGGGGACAATATGAAGAGGGCGACAAGACGGCGAGAGAACTTCTCAAGGCTTGTTCATTACTTGTTGGGCCGAGAGGCGCTTAAAACAATTCGTTAAGTTAGTTATAGAAAGTGAGTCGAGACACTCCAACTTTACGCTTGTTTTGTGAAGTTTTTTGATTGCCCTTTCCTCTACTAAAGCACCTTTTGATATAAAAACACGAATGAAAGGTTAGTTAATGTTAAATGACTTCATTTTAAGCATGCTTTACATCAAACTATTGAAATAAAATCCTGAAGTAAGCCGAAATGTTCGAAGTAGATTTATCATCTTCGCAGTACACAGGTGCATTTTGAAATGACGGCAAGCGAGTCAGCTAAACTTAATACTTTACTTCGATGGGGCGACATAATTTTGATGATGGGGCGACACAACTAATATGTTGGGGCGACACAATTAATATGTTGGGGCGACACAACTCCGATGTTGGGGCGACGTAACTTCGGTTGGGACGACATAACCTGGGGCGACAAGGCAATGGGGCGACACATCCTTCATTCGGTAAACGTTGTCGCTCGCAAGGTTTACAACCGAGAAGAGCTATTTGTTATTCGCGCTCAGAACTACCGGTGGTCTAACAATTCTCTCTACTACCGCCTGAAATCTCTGGGTATTTTTAAATATCGCGGCAGACGCTCTGGTTTTTCTTCAAAGCTTTGCCTACAGACAAATAATCAAGCTATCCCTGCCATTTGTTCACGGCGTTGTAGGGATGATTTGTGTGCCTCATATAATTTTCGACAAACGTTTGGTTCTGCTCGACTTGCCAGGAAGCCTAGCTATAATTTGATCACCATTGAAAGTCAAGCTACGGTTCCTAAAATATCTACTGTTAAACCAGCTGCGTCCTCGCAGTATGTAGTGCGTAAACTCTTAGATTACGATATTCCAAACCACATATTATGCTGGATTTTTTACTTTTTATCGGATAGAAGACAGAGAGTTAAACTGGCCGAGGATTGCTTCTCCGAATGGCGTTACATTCCAGCTGGTGTCCCACAGGGGACCAAGCTTGGGCCATAGTTATTTTTTAATAATGATTAATGATCTGAATGTAGGAGAAGCAGAGATGTGGAAATATGTGGATGATGCCACAATTTCAGAGGTGATAGCTAAAGGCCAAGAGAGCTGTATTCAGCAAATGGTAGACGATCTCGCAATACAAGCAAGAGATGAAGGTTTTCAGTTAAACGAAAGGAAATGTAAAGGGCTTAGGATTAGCTTCGCAAAACGCGAACCAGAATTTGATCCTATCTGGGTTAACCGTCAGACCCTTGAGACTGTGAAAAGTATAAAATTATTAGGACTCAATATGAGTAGTGATTTAAAATGGAATGCTCATGTGTTAGAGCTAGTTAGGAAGGTTTCTACAAGACTATATTTTCTAAGACAGTTGAAGAGATCGCATGTCGCCACAAAAGAGCTTCTTCTATTTTACATTACATGCATTCGGTCTACTCTGGAGTACGGCAGCCCAGTTTTCCATCGCGCTTTACCAAGTTATTTAAGCGAAGACCTAGAAAGACTTCAAAAACGTGCTATGAAGATTATTTATCCCGAGCTTTCGTATGCCAAGGCTCTGGAAATATCTGGACTTTTAACGCTGTATGATAGAAGAGAGGCAATCGCAGCAAAGTTGTTCAATGAAATATGTGTAAATCAATCCCACAGTCTTCATAAACTACTTCTAAGCAAATACCAACCTGGCTACTATCTGAGAGAACAAAGAACATTTATTCGTCCGAGGTGTAAAACTGAAAGATGCAAGAATAGCTTTCTCTTAAGTTTCTTTTATCGTTGGTGATAATTAGATATTAATTTGTCTCTTATTTTACATAGGAATTCGACGCATGCTTGTAATTTTGTCATTCTGTAACAGTTTTTAATTAGGAAATTAATTAATTAGTTGTAATTTAGTAAGCTGGAAATTTCGCTTTTGTAAACCTTATCGCAATTCAGCTTTTGGCTGCAAGTTCTTAAGATGAATAAACTATCTATCTATCTATTTTCCACTCGTTTGGAAAGATTTCAGTATCTAAACAGCTCTTAAAAATGTATGCTAAGGACGACCCGACAATACTGCTAGAAAGTTTTAAGAGTTTACAGGGAATTCTATCTAACCCAGTGGCTTTTTTTGTGTCTAGCTGGTTCAAAAGCCTGCATACAGCGCTAGCGCTTGGGGATTTAAGAGAAAATATTGTGTCCGTGGATTGTCGATAGAATTCTGGCTCAATGGTTGACGGTTGTATTTCACTTGCCAAATTTGATCCAATAGTTGCAAAAAAATCGTTAAAGACTTCTGCCATTTCAGCCACAGAAGAAATAGGTTCGTTGTTTACCTTAATTTCGGAAATATTTCGTACTCTGCCATATTTGCGTGAACTTAGGTCGTCAATCAGCTTCCATGTTTTTCGAGGATTCATTTTGTTCACTTCCAAGTTATGCGTAAAATACTGTTTCTTTGCCGATTTAATGGCATTGTTTACTTCCTTTCGAGCTTGCTTTATATCGCTCCCAAGCCGTCGCACTATTTTCTTGAATAGCAATTTTCTTCATATAATTCCGTTTAAAATTTTGCGAGTCAGTTCGTATGTAATCCACGGGGAGTGTTTACTGGAGACCCGTTTATTTTGAAGTGGGGCATGCTTATCAACTACTTCCATAAATAAATTTTTCCAAACATCCCATATCACTTCCGAATTTGTCTCTGAAAAAATTTTATGCCATGGCTGTTCTGCAACATCGTCGAGGAAATGGTGGTGGTTGAAATTTTTAAAAGCGCGTGTCTCAATCGTGCGATGTTCGCCCGTAGCGGATTTTAAGAGTCATGAAGACCAGAGAATGATCGCTGATACCGAGATGAACTACACCAGCTTTTGATATTTTTTCGGGCGAACTAGTTATACAGAGGTCAATCAACGTACTCGAAGTGGGTGTAATTCTTAATTCTTTGAATTAAGACTTGGTTCGAATTATTCATGAATTTACGAAGACCATTTTAACAAATAGCAGCTAACTAGGCCACCAAAACTGCCCGTCTGCAAAAAATGAAAAGCTAAGCATGCTAGGTCAAAACAATTTTTTTTTCAAGAAGAATCAGTTTTACTGCAATTTTCAAAATAATGGCATCGTGAATGCTGCACTTGTAGGTATATCAGACGGTAAAAAACCGAAATTAAATCCTATAGAAGACGCAGTGAGCTGGTGTCTAGCGCACTGAACGCTGGATGAACCGGTCTGAGCGTCTACCTGGGAAAAAACTTTACTCTCACAATGCCCTCTGTACTGAAAAGGATAGATAGGTCATAACAATGCAAGGGAAACCTGAAAAAACCCTGGGGGTCACTTTCGATGGAGTTGTGTTCCGCAAGGAGTAAACAACTGCTCTTCGCCCCATGCTCCAGTTTATGGTTTCTCTCGGCCTTCTTAGAAGTTCTTCTGCTCTGAAGTTTATTACTACTACTGAGCACTCAAAACCATACCAACGCCAAAATAAATAAATAAATAAATAAAATAAATAAAAATAACCAGGAAATTCCTCATAAAAACCGTATTAACATAAAAGAAACGTGCGATTGTGAGTTACAACTGAAGCTTGATTATTGTTTATTGAAATTACATTAAAAGATACACTCCTTTAAAATATTACAATTCATTTTATAACATAGCTAGTAAATTTGTCTAATCAAATTCGATTGCGCGAGCGTGCTTCATATTCCTATTGTGCACGCTCATGACGTCAGCAAACAAATCCCTCGAGCAAAAAAAATTTTCCATCGGGTTGAAAATGTTATAAAACAATTGGTTCACATCTCGATGAACGCACGCTGACGTATGAACCAATTGTTAAATATTAATCTATTGGCACATTTATATTGTTTTTATAGCATTTAGAGAAAATATGAATTTTTACATTTTAAAACACATTGCATGTCAGGTGAGTTAGTACAGTGGGAGATTTTCATTTACAAAATTTTCATTTGAAAATAGTTTTTTTTCCAGGTATACTCGGCATGAAAAGAGGTATATCTCACGTTATAATACAGATGGATAGAGTAAAAATTTCCACCGAGGTATACTTGATAGGATTTATACATAAAAAGATTCATTACATAAAATATGTTTTTTGCCGTAAAATTTGCATTGAAAATAGTATTTTAATATTTATATTTATATACGTGCTGTTGTTGAATACAAAGAAGATAACGTATACCGTATATTCAGCGAATAACCATGAAACTGGTAGATAGGACAATTCGTTTAAGTATCATACATTAATACTGCGACGATGCCTTTATAATATGTCATGCAAAAACGCACTGTTCTGGGCGGTCACTTATGCCACGACATCTTAAAAAACCCTAAGTCCATTTTTCTGATGCCTGTTCTTTTGTTGAAAAAAATTGCCGTTTACGGGCCCAGAAGTTGAGGGTGAGTATTTTGGTGTTCCTGACACCAGCTGAAGTCTGTCTGTATGCCACCGCTGACTGACTCTTCATCTACCTTGCCAAGTTTATATCAGTCTGCTATTTTTGAGGAAGTGTATAAGTACGGTGTAAACAAACCGATATTGACCGAAGTTTGCCACTAACAGCATCCTTTGGCTTCGGAGATGGATCAGTGACTTAAGAATGTTAACTCTCTGCAAGAAAAGAAGCAAACATAATATGATTTGGGCTAGGCTTATACGTTATGGGTGTTTGACCGTTGATGTAAGTCTATCAGACTCTTATAAACTACCATTCCGACTGCCGAGTCGTTCGACAGGACGAGATTTGACAAGATGTTCCAGACTGTTCGCACCAATTATTCTCCATATCAGAAAAACAAGACAGGCAGCCCTAAGTTGAAACCTAGAACAGGAAAAGACCAATCCTGTTTTAAGGACGGGGAGAGTAAAGGCGCGTGCATTGGAGGGGGGAGGGTAAAATTTAAGATAATGTTAAAAAAAAAAGGATAGGGTGTCGCAGTCTTCTCGACAAGCACTGTTCTTCTGTAAGGTCCATATCTACTTAATGGCTTAGTTTCTGATTCAAGTTCACGTCCATTTGCGACATGATTTGTATTTCTTTAGAAACAAAATAAATCTGCTAATTATGCAATTTGATTAGGAATTTATATGGGATTGAGGTAACGGTGTACCAACCTGATTACTCTGTAAGCAGCCAATCATAAGGTCGGTAAGTATAATGACCCCAGTTCTCCCAACACCGGCCGTACAATGAACTAACACTGGTTGAACTTCCTGCGCATGACCATGGTTTGAGCTGACCTGTTGCCTTGCAGACTCTAATTCATCCAGAAATTCTGTTCCCCACACAAAGTAAAAACAAACTAGCGATGAACGAATAGACAAATGTATGTGCCACATAATATAAACTTGGGAAACACTTAGTTTCGTTTTCCCGAAAGTCAAAATTGTATCCCAGGAAGGATACATTTTAATTTATGCAAGGACACGTGATTAGTGGAAAATCAAAATCGTCTTTGGAACATGGGAGACAGAAATGGTCCTAAATTTGTAACATTATAGGGGAAATTCGAACAAAGACAATTCTCGACATTGCTTTAAAATGCGACATTTAACAGTGATGTAATTACCACAAACTCTCTCCCGTTCGGGATCAACAAGGTTTATACGGAAAGCCTATCAATACTGAAATGTCATATGGCTTATCGCTCTTGAGAAGTATATTTATCCAAGCGCCTTATCTGACCAATATGTACAAATCTAATGCACCCACAGTCTTAATTTCAGCCCATTTTTCATCCTTCAGTAAAATTTGCTGTTCTTAGATCTCAGCTATTAGTTAAATACGCCTTGTTTCTCAGCAGACTGTCAAAATTTTGACCAATTCTCAGCCATCAGTTGAGCCTCACGCAAGAACTGAACATGCAAAAGCCTTATGCACTAGTCAGCAGACTTATCGAAGAGTTAACAGGAATGGAAGGAAGGGGTGACAGAGTTATTGAATGATGGATAGGAGGAGGGAATTTTCGCTCACAATCACAACTCAGAAATGGCCTCAGACATTTTTCGAGTTAAATGGCTGGACCTAATTCTTGTATAATCCTGTGTGTGGGAAAAAAATAACCCCGTCATGTAAACATCCTCCTCTTGACTCGGAAAATTGAATATTACTATAGTCTACTTTGAGCAGTCATAGTTCATGTACACCAGATTTATCATCACTAATATATCTACACATTCAGGTATTACTGTATTGGTCGTAGGGCTGATTTGCTCATTTTCCCGACCAGTTCTATATTAATGGCAAGAATAAAAAAGCCATTTCGTTTAGTTTTTCATATGCAAGAGGAGTGTACTTACCAAGAAAATGTTTAGGATCTTGTGGTACTCCATGATCAGGCCAATCAGTAAAGTGCAAATGACAAATCGTTTTCTTTTCCTTTGAAGAAGCCATATGTAGCGATAGTTTACGCACCTTGAATGACGATGTAATCCGGATAGAAACTGTTTCCACTTCAAAACTTCGAAATTTTTTTCTGCTCCCATCCAAGTCCTCTGGCCAGTAAGGATAGCACGTATTCTTGCTGCTAACCTGTTGAAAGAAACTGAACTGATTCAGTACACTACACCATGGTCCTAGAAACAGAATGTTTCATTTATAGTGCCGGTGTATATATATTCCAACTGTAATTAGGCAGTCACTTCAGATGAAGAGCTACGTGGTGGACATGATGAAGTAAATTCATTTCATTATTTTTATTTTTTTTAACATTTACCGTTCAGCGTCAGCATATCTTAAGTATTACTTTACCCAGAAAATATACACTCATTAAATCGACGGAGTGGACGGTCGAGAAAACCTTTAAAAGAAACTTTGTTTACAAGAACTACAATTAAAAAAACGGTTCAGACAACAATTTACGCTCCACACGCATTCATTTATCCACAATTACCCTTTTCAGGTGTCATGAAGAAATCCTTTGCTAACCTCACTTTTTGGGTCGTTTGTTCTAACAGAAAATTCGGATAAACCCTAAGCACAGGCTTACGTTGCTGTGCACTGAAGTCAACAGACAGAATGTATACCCTACTTTGTCGTCTGTTGCAGCCACTATAATTGTAACATTCTGCTCCCACACCATCTGCCAGAAATCAGCCACTGTGTTCTCCATGGGGCCCTGGGCGGCAATGTAACGGTAGGTCTTAGTCCCCACGTCCTCCTGCAATGAGATTACAACACGAACAGAGAGGTTAGATATGGCCTTATGACGAACACCACACACGAGGCAGATTTTCTACGAGGTAAATAACGAGATGTTGCTCTATAGAATAAAATGTGCTTAACGAGAACCAATCCATTACTACCATTACAACCATTACCGCGTGTGAAATTCATTCGTCAAAATAAAATGAATAATGTATCGTTGTTGACGCGCGCATGGCGTCCTCACCGGCCTTCACAGTTTGAGATTGCACTCTAGTTCAACTCATAAGCTACTGCTCCTGCTTTAATGCCTTCACAGCGCAAACAATACGAAAAACACGTCTTGAGGTGCTGGCACACTCAAAAAGTTCTTACCTTGACATAGTCTGCATTGATGTAATCGCTGCCACTTGAATTGTTGCGAGGATTTAAACGGACTCGAGATTCCTTTTAGATAAGACAGAAACAATCAATCGAGCAGAAAATAACTGGAGAGTTCAATCTGTAAAACGCCAGCACCCTCTATTCTCAGAAAAATTATTTCCATCAAAGAAAACCTTGCACGTTCCGAACACAGCTCGTCTTACCTCGTAGGGAATGACGTCTTTATATCTGTTTTTCTCTGCATTCCCACCGCACTGGGCACTGGCAGATGTTAGCTTCTGCAATATTAAGGCTTATTCACCATACTTCACAGCGAGCTTTAACATACATAGTAAAGGCCACAACAAAAAGTAAATCTTTCATCTTGTGATTTCAAATAGGGGTTATAGTAATAGCGATAGAGAAGCGATCTTAGCACAAATATGATGGGGTACCCACCAAAACCCACACAGACCAGAAGGCAATAAATTACTCCAACGACGAGATTCATTCAGAATCCGCGCATGGCATACACCTAATTATGAGCAAAACTACGCGATTGTTGATCACGCCCAAACACCGGAAGAAAAGTACAGATGTTGCTTCACCTACTTATTAGGATAATTATAAGGAGAGGAAGGCTAGTCCTTGTGTTAGCGGAACGGTTGTATTGTTGTATTTATAAAGTGATGATTGATTAGTGAGGCCACTCAAATCAGACAATAACCGATCGATTGCATATGGCATCAATCAGTTGATAGCGTTCTTACCTCACTTCTCCGTTCGACCTTTTGAAATTCTGTGAATACTTGTCCTTCGTTGAAGATTTTTTCTAATTCCTCGAGCTGCAATTAAATTAAACAATTCTGTGAAATCATAAATAAGTTATTGTTTTTCTTAGTTCGATTTCAATTTTCCATTCTTTCACCTTATTAAAATGTGATTCAAAAAGCCTCGCGCTGTGATACTCAACAGAAATACTGAATAAGTACATTAATGGTGTGCTTAATCGCATCTTTACCTGTGCTTCCCGAGAAAAAGGTAACTCATTGCCACATTCATATTCCATATCCCTGCCTTCCTCTAGGTCTGAGTCATTTGATGTACTGTATCCACTGGTTCGGCCAGTCACTTCACTTGCATTGTCTGCCACTAACTGTTCCAAACTAAGAGAAACTGGACGGGCTGGTCTGGAATATAACACACTCACTTACAACTCACTCGAAGTTATACCGAGATTACATATCAAGATTATAAATCTCTTCAGTTTGAACTCCAAAGTAAAACAGTTTATATCAAAGGTTCGTGACCAAGATTCAGGTTGTAAATTTCAAGCTTCGCTGAGAAGTAGTGTCTATTATCACCATAAATTCTTCTAAACCGGCGTATGCAGAGGGTGAAAAATTTTGATGCTCAAAACATTTTTATGTTTTTACATAACTATTATACCCAAAAATTAAGTCAGTGTACATTAATCAAATCAAAAGGGTGAAAAATACTCTAAAAGACCAGAAAATGCAAGAAATAAAATAAGGACAATTAAAATAACCATTTATACCAAGGTCTTGCTATTCAAGCACCTAGGGACAATTCTAAGTCTTTCTTGCACTAGATTTGAATTGAATTGAATTCTTGCACTATATTTGATTCAAATGGCCTTTCAGTCTATCAAAGATGAGAACCATTAACAACGGAGACATGGACGCTCCTACACTGACACGTCTGCTGTAGCTTTAGAAATCCATCTGTTTCTTCTGTCTGTTTACTGGTTGAATGGATTTTGTTTTAGTTGTTGTAGTTTTTTCTTATGTCAATAACTACAGTATAACATAACTTTCCAGCCACACACCTTGACACACGAACGCTTGGAGAGCAGGCTTGGTCCGATGAAGCGTTAGAAGGCGGGGTGTTGTGACTTCTGTCATTTAAGCTCTCAAGTGACTGTGTCCCAAGGGGATTCCCTGAGTCCATAGACAGTGAGCTTCCCACCTCATTAGTCACTGTTGCACCGTTTAACAATCCATGGCTATAAAGGCTTCGATTGTGATCAAGAGAGTTTTGTGAGGTACAAAAGTCATCACGAAGTAAAAACTCATGTCCACTGTTCACTGAAGACAAGTTTAGAGAATGAGGTCTGGGCAACGTGCTGCGATTGGTTGAATTTGAGGAGTCACGTGATACACAGTCAGTGTTATCCTTGTGTTGTATGCCGCTGTATCTTGTATCAGTGTCAGAGCCTGTACCACTGCGTTCAGTGAAAACAGGATTATCTAAGCCTGTCACTGAGCCTGAAATAAAACCAAGAATGCCTTCAGACTTAACTTATCAAAAACCATGTGCTCTTTGTGTTTACAATATATGGTTCCATTTGTCCAGATTGCAGGCAGCCAAGATAAAGATCTTTTTTTCTAATTCATCGCTACTGAAAATGGAGTCCTTCTCTGGCCAAATTCATGAAGCATTAAATCAACTGAACGGCACAGGCAAATGAACTTTCTTCAAAATGGCAAAAACGATTAAAACATAAATACAGTAAATGGTTTGAACCCGGGGGTAACATGTAATAGTGTAGTTTGATCGTCCGGGTGAGTGTAGTCCTGTGAAGGACTGTTGTCGGTAGTGGTGACTGACGTTTCGACGACCTGAGCGGAAGTCATCATCAGAGTCAAGTGAAAGGTTGTTGTCAGTCGAATGTACTTAGTCCGGTTTGTGTACACTAATTGGTCAGTTTTGCCGTAATGTTATTGGCTGTAAGACTCAAGTGGCGTAGGTCGGTCGTGATTGGTCGGTTTGGATCCGTTAGTAAAGTTAGGTCGTTCTGTTCGGTTCGTTTGTAATGTTAATGTCGTGGATGAGTCGTTTGTATGGTGCCAGTAGTGGTTAACACCTGTTGAGGGGAGTCTGTTCCAAGTTAGTAAACCAGCTTTCCAGGGTCAATCGTTGAAAGTAGTTGGTGCTGTAGGTTAGGCATTGCGCAGAGTCCCAGTCAATAGTGTGGTTCGTTAGTCGGTGATGTTCAGCAATGTGATTGTTGACATCGCCTTTCCTCGTCGCTCGTTTGTGTTCAGTCAGTCTAGTTGCGAGGTTTCTGCCAGTCTCACCGATGTAGGAGGCGTGGCAGTCGGAGCAATTGATCTTATATACTGCTCCTTGTCTGTTCCTCGGTTCGTCTCTGTCTTTGATGTTAGTCAGTAACTGACGTAGTGTGGTAATAGGTTTGTGAGCGACGCGGATATCGAATGGTTGTAGGATGCGTGAGATGTTCTCAGATATGCCCTTTATGTATGGTATAGTGGCTGTGGTCGTATGAATTGCGTTGACGTTAGCTTCGGTTGTAGTAGTAGGTCTGTGAGTGTTACGTTGGATAGTCTTCGTTGTAGTTGTTCTTTGAAAAAACATGGTTAAGGTACTTGTTCTCGTCGGATAAGCTGTCTGTCGTATTACATACTAATTGCGCTCGTCGGGTAAGCAGTCACCACTACCGACAACAGTCCTTCTCAGGACTACACTCACCCGGACGGTCAAACTACACTATTACATAAAAATAAATAATTGGAAAAATAATCCTCACAGGGAAAACAATACATGATACATAAAGTGCACTTTTAAAGCTTGACGTCGAAGTAGCTCATATCATCCAAGAAATGATTAAGTAAAATTGTCTGTTTCTACAGACAGTCTGGTATGTTTAAAATGAAACTTTTAAACTTGAATTAAACAAAAGCTGACTAAATGAAACATTGGAAGATGACAAAGGAAAGTTGGGTGCTGGTATGAATTTCCTAGGTAGTTTAATATCAAGTGCTTGACCTTTTCAGTTATCATTTTTGAGAAGTGAATTTAAGAGTAAGCAACATGATCCTTCTCGAAGGTAATAACTTAGTAAACATCTTCAGACTGGCGGCGCAAGGTAATACTTCTTCGTTAAATAGACAAAGGAGTTAGTCTAAAATCTTCTCATCTCTTGGTCTGACATGCCAACACAAACACAAACACATTTTTAAAAATTTTGTGAATATCACTTACTAAATGAGCTTAGTGATCCACTTCCATCACTGCTAGCAACAACCTGCAAAGAAGGAACAAAAACTAATAGTATAAGAATCCCTGCGAACGTACCAGTACTTCATCTACTTTTTCGGTAGGATGAACTCAATACATAGGGAATATAAATTATTTTGCAAACACAGAAATTTAAACACGCAGAAGAATAAATATACAGAAAAATGTACTAACAGATCCTGTAAGAAGCCCCGTAAAATTACTTACTCCAGTTTTCTTCTTGAATTCATGTTTGCCCAGTCTACTGAAAAAACAAACAGACAGACAAACATAAACCAACAAAAACCAATAAAACGGATTGCACTACTAGGTCTACTGGGACCTGTCAAATGTAACGCTGGCTGAAATAGATAAACTCACAAGTTGTTACAGTATAGAGGAAAATAACTTTAGCATGGCTGGCTATTTCGGTTTTCCACTTCTGGTCATTTTTTGGGAAAAGTTTCGGTTTTTGAAATCAAAATCTGTGGTTTTTGGTTTTGTTCTTCATTACAGTTGTCGGTTTAGCCGTGCTTAAGACATTCGAATTTATGGATTAAATTTTTAAAAAGAAACGGTTTAGCGCATTGCGCTCTTTGCTTGGCTAGTTCCTAATGCATATCATTTCACTTTAGCTATTCCATTTCGGTCACGTTATTGGGGCCTTTGCTCAATTTACGAACTGTTTGTGTCGACAATAGATTCACTATCAGTTTGGGGATCAACTATCGACACACACTCTCGTTTCCTCCTTCTTCAGGGCCAGGTTGTCCGACGATATTCTAAATTTTTGTTTCGGTTGTATAGTATTGCGGAGCGATTTACAGTTTACATTTTTACTTTTATCTTATTCGTATCAATCTAAGGTAAATGTCGCAAACTATTTTTCTCCAAACATGTGCTTTCACACGAGGGATGCTAAAAATAAGTTTAATTTTTAATTCTGAATTAGCGCCACCCTCTTTCTAACTTCAGGGAGGCTAGGTCAAGGCCAGGGTGATCCAATATGACTGTCCACAGCGATATCAGGACGCCAGCTTGTCGTGAAAGGAAGGAACAGGCGGCAAACAATATAAAAAAAAAACGTACTCATTTAGGCGCCGCATAGAAATGGCAGAGAGAAGCCTTCAAAGCTGAAGCTAAGTATTCGTTGCAAATGATAGTAGCAAAAAATTTACACAGTGACCCAGATTCGTATCTAGACTTGAGACAGAGATGCTTTCACAAATTGTTGAGAGGGAATTAACCATGTTCATAGCTTAAGGGTAAAGCTTCAGATAACGATGAAAGGAGAGTTTGCTTCTGTTGAATGTTCCAAAAAAGATCTTTTTCAGGATAAAGCAAACAAATGTTACAACAGAAGCAAAGGATGATTTCTAAGGCCCGACACGATGATGACGACAGCGAAGACGATGGTGTCAACAATAATTTAGCTCAATCCATTTCAGGAAAAGGGGCCCACATAGACGGGGAAATTAACGAAAAAGTAAGGTGGCTCTGGCCTACAACACAGATAAAAACCGCTTTTTAAAAATATGAACCTGGACTTGCTGATTGCAATTTGATGTTAAAAAAGGGGGTTGTCGATCTCGTTCTTGAATAATAAGCGCTTAAAGTTACAATTACGGGAGTTCTAACAGGCAATGAAATAGCTATGGCAACCCATTACGTGACAAAAATGATGGTCAAGGAAACGAACGAGAAATGTAGGAGCATCTGTCAGTCAAAGAGTTATTTCTTAGAAAAAAAGAAACAATAGTGTTTAGAGCCACACCAGTTAGCATATTAGAAAAAGATAAGTTTCCTTGTCCTTTAAAATCTCACGTGAGCACAGAGAGAATATGCAGCTTATTTAGAGCCTCTATTTCGCTGTTTAGTGGGTTGGACAGTCGGCGACTTCAGAGACACAACTTTGCATTTAAAAATCACTAATTGAATATTTATTCTTCTGCCTCAGAAAATTGTAATTTCGTAAAAAGTATCCTGAAAAATAAGACAATTAAACATTCTCGGTTCAAGAATAAGCCGATTTTTCTAATTGCTGGCAAAGATAGAAAGAAAGAAAGTACTAAAAAAACACTGTAAAGCCCTCAAAGACCAGAAAAACTGATTCTTCTCAAAAAAAATTCCCTTAAAGTAAACAACGGGTTCACTGTTTGCACGGACACTGTACTGGGTAAAAATTTTTTTGCTTTATTTCCTTATCATGTTTTTGTATGTGTTAATTCTGTTTGCTCTATTTGTAAGGTACGTAGAAAAAAAAACCAACGGCATCTCTGAGGAAATAAAGTGAACTCTGGAAAAGCTTACTTACTTCTGCACCTCAGCAGAAAAAGTAACTCTACTTTGTCAAATATGAGAACATTTCGTGGACATGGTCAATTTTTGTTTCAATACAGTAATGGATTTGCTATTAAAGGTTGGTTAGTATATTACACGACCTAACAACCGACATAAGATATTGAACAATTTTCTTATTTAAGCCTGAGACAATTTGTCTATTGACGGAATGATTCACATGGATAAAAACCAGAGACGTTCACATCAAAAAATCAACATGGCTCGCGCAGTTCAACAGAAAGAGTAAATCTTGTAAATACCGCCGACTAAGTGTGTTTGTTCCTCTGCTATCGCCCCGTTATCTATTTTGTCTTTCCTTCTACTTTTCACAGTTCGTCGTACACGTTCTAATCGGTATCATCGCTATGATTTTCGAAATCTTTAAAGCTGTCTTATCGCGACCAGTGACAAAAAAAATGTCTCCGTTGGATTTGGAAACCAATCATTCTTTGCCCTAAAAAGTGTAATCTACGCGTGTTACAAAAAGTTTCCTCGATTTTCTCTAAATTCTCTGTATCTGTTTCATTCAGTCTAACAAACTTTGCATTTGCGAAATGGTATAATTACTTAAGCCATCCAGTTGTACCCTAATGATTACTTTACTTTTGCAAAAATAAACAGCTCTGTCAAGTTATTACAGCAAAGCTGATAGTAAGAGCCAGCCAGCCTACTCAGAGCGCATTTCTAATAAAGGCGGTCGCTTCTGAACTCTATTTTTAAGGCGACTGATAAGGGCAATTCAGCGCACGCACTTGGCACGCGTTTTGCTCCGCGAAGATAAAAAAAAACCTTTCAAGTTGGCGCTTGATTGTGTGCTGCAAGACCCCATACTCGGTTTCACTAGAAAACGAGCTCTATTTCCGAGTTATCAAGGCCTTCAAGAGTGTTCCGTTTAAAAGAAACGCGAGGTAGAAGTCCTGTTCCCTCTTATAAACAGATCGAGTCGCTGTGTCTGTAGCTCGAAGCTGTGGGCCTGTACCGCCACGCGAGAATAAATTTACCGCTTCTCTTCCCTTGTCTCAAAATTGCACCTAAGAGGTACTCGACAACTGTGAAATAAATTTTTTTCCACATGAACAAAACTTGTGATTTGCCTCCGGCAAGATTTCAAGACATTTTTTGTTAGATCGAGCAGCTTTGTTAGAACTTTGCAATACTTTGAGCGATATTAAAATTAGCGAAATATTAATGATTTTGCGTTTTCAGTGTGATGGATTACTGTACTACTCGAGACCAATGTGTAACTTCACCTTAATGCAAGGCATTTCTTTCCGTGAAGAAAAGAAACGATTATTCCCTGTTTAGGACACCTTTTACACCTCCATAGTCGTCACAGTAGCTTTGTTATACGTGTTGTTGATGAACATCATGTTTTAACATCACTTAGTAACCTTTCATGAAACGTTAACGTGGACTCTTAGGCATAAACATATTTATGGGGAAAAAGGCTTTGCTTGTTGAAAAATTTATGATAAGGCTCTACAAAGCGCTTTAGCAGAATCGCATTAAATAGCTGCTATCTCCCAAAAATGTTGGTTGGTCGGGCAACTATTGTTTCAAAAAGTGATTCTGTCATGTGTTTTCTTATTTCCTCAATTCCAATCCCTAGCACTTTTAAAAGGCGATATAGTGGTCTTTAAATCGTAAACCTTAACATGAACTGGATGCCGATGTTTTTCTAAAAAAAAAAAAAATTTAGTTTTTGTCAAGTTCTATGCGAGAGGCTTATAGCTCATCTCCAAATTGCACGTGTAAATTAGCCGTAGAAAGAGACAATTTGAAGCATTTTCTAAAAACAAATGTCAATTTTGAAGTCGAGTCTGGATGTCTTCTTGTGTCTGGAAACGTTTATATGAGGTGTGGTAATTCAATAAACCAACGCGAACAACAAGAGGAAAACTATCAAAATGTAGTGTTTTCTGTGAATTTATTCGGGTTTCACCAAGAGATTAACGTCGAATGCAAACTGAAATATTCTTTAAAACACACTGTTAATTAAATTTCAAAATGTGGCCATTCTTTGGATTTATTGTCTGTTTAGAATGCAGTTTTACAGATATTTAACCTTTATTTACACTAATTATTCACAAGAAAAATGAGCATAATAAAGATGTTTTTTAGACTTTCAGCCTGTTTAGTTTATCTCAGATTTGACATCCTTTGTAAAAAAAAAAAGGGGTTCTCAAAAAAAGGGAGTATGCTTTTGTCACTTATTGAGAAAATTATCTTTAACTTTTATTAACAGTCTGAAAATAAACAAACTTCACAAGCGACCACCATAAAGCATGCTCAGCCAGGAGGAATTTCAGAGTCAGTTCCTAATTTATATATTTCTGAACTGTATATGTGAGGGTTATTTTATCATTCATTTACAGGATTGTAAGATCACTGGGAACCTTTGATGATTACAAAAACATTAACAGAGAAGAGTTTGAACTTGAGGGTAACAGATGATCATCCAGGTGAGGGTGGGCCTCAAAAGGACTCTTGACAGATAATGACAGTGATTGACATTTTGACATTCTGAAAGGAAACCAAAGCTACTTATAGAAGTCCATAAAAAAGAGAGGTAAGAGTAAAAAGTGCCCATTTATAAGGAGTCAAGTGGAGCAAGAACAAAAGATAAACACAGTCGCTCTATGTTAGCATGAAGGTGTCTCCTTTATTGGGGCATTAAAGGAAGACACAGAAGGCAGGTGCTTCTAGTTTATGATAGACCAGAGTTTTGTTAGAGTCACACAGAGATTGTAATAGAAGTACAGCTTAGAAGTTAATAAAAGATCCAACAATGGAAATAACAACAAAAGCAACATGGTACAGGACTGGAAAAAACAGAAATCCAGAAAACTTGTGAGCTGCAAAGCCAGACCAAGCCAAACTTTATACCTGTACCCCTGGCACTCTGAGAAGTGATTAACATATGACTTCTCCTTCAAATGTCAATACATTATTTGGTTCACAAGTGATAAGAAATGATAAATACATCAGCTGGAAGGTGTTATATTGATAATAGCAGTAAATCCTCAATAGTAATTTAAAAGGAAATATACAGCAGTGAGAAGGTATAATTACATAAGATATCTTGGAAGTTATAGTGAGGTCCATGGCTAATTTATGACTAGTATATGGAGAATAAGAGAGAAAAGATTACAACAACACCAAGAAGAGAGTCCCAGGGAGAGAGTCAAATGCAGAGTGCAACAGAGACAATATTCCAAGCTATTCAAGACCTATAAGGCAAACATAATCAGACATGACCATTTGACACTGTAAAGAACTGTTTGATGTTACTTTACCTATGACCAACAACAACAATAGCCATCACAAAAAGCAAAAAAAGAAACACAGATTCAGAGTAGCATACACATTCTATGCAACTATGAGGTTAGTTTACAACTGAGAGCTTGTAGGCCTGAGAAAGGTCTTAAAAGGCAGCTCTGTTATTCAGTGCTAAATTCTAAAAACTCTGTGACTTCTAAAAGCTATAACTATTCTTCACTCTTAAAAGGTTACTGCAAAAGTTGTCAAACTACAGTGTACAGTCACTAAGAAGTTGGTAGTACTAGTAATAATAATTTTAATGAATTACAAATCAATAGCACAATCACAAAACTCCCAAGTGTTAACACTCTGTGCACAGCACAGACCCTATCTTTTCAAGAAAAAACCTAAATGCACCTCACTGCAAGGAACTTAGGAAATTTGCACCTGGTACAAATAGTGCACCTACAGTATGTCACTGTGATTTAACATGCATAACATTGACGAGCAAATGGTAAATGTGATCTACAATGTACTGCATATCCAGTATAAAGTTATACATGGTAATACCCCTTATCAAGCCACTATCACTTTTAATATTAGGGATATAGTTACGTACAATTTCAGAGGGCCAAGGAATCCAATCTCACAGTACTGATCTGCTGATCCCTCATAGCATTTTAGCTCTCTTGATCAATCTAAGTTTTCCACTAACACCAAAAGTGTATATAAAGATTGCTTTTCTTTTCCTAAATGGCATTCAGATTAAACCAGAGATTTCTGTCTTCACTGGTCTTTGAGGAGGTGGATGAGTCAGGAAAGCATTTCAGAATTTCTCTTAAGGTTAATGAAACAGCTACAAAATAACCCCCTCCCAGAGACTGATGAAATAACACAATTCAAGCTTTCAAACAGACAGAATGCAGAATTTTGAAACTTTCAGCTGCTCTGCCATCTAACTTATTAATCATAAAGGGGTAAGTTTCTAAAGAAACTGTGGTGCTGCGTCGGTGGGAGAGTATAGCAGGTAATTTAGTGTTAACAACTGGGTTGAAAATGTAAATTAGCCACTGTAAAGGGTAAAAAAGCTGACGTTTCGAGCGTTAGCCCTTTGTCAGAGCAATTCAGATTCAATAGCTCTGATGAAGGGCTAATGCTCGAAACATCAGCTTTTTTACCCTTTACGGTAACTTATTAATCAACTAATTCAGAAAAAAAAATCTGCACCAGTGTGTGTTTCTTAAGGCAAAATCTAGAAATCCTCCAATCTTTTCACTTCCCTATGATAATGATACTTTTTCCCAATGACACATTCCCTTTTCCTTTAGTATTTTTTAGTGAACATGAAAGCATGCCTGTTCTTTAATGTTTCACTTGATCATACTTACATGTTATGTGGTTGGTGCTTTGCTGTAGATGCTCGTGTGCTGGACCTGGATAAATTCAGACGGCAAAACTGATGATGTGCTACAAACATCCGCCACACGTACTTAGCTGTTGGTGCATCATCCTGTAGAAGATAAAACATTGGGCATAAGACAGAGTCATGCTTGTGGCTATTAGAGGATATCCCTTGGTGTCCATTGTATGACAGTTAAACCTGCAGTAATTGCCTTTATCACAATACATGACATTGGCCCCTTCTTACCTCTACAAAAGGATAATTAACCTGGTTATAACTCTCAAGATCTGATTGTTAATTCTCCCCTCTCACTGCTACACATTTCCTTACACAGATCAGTTACAAGAATTTGGTGCTAGATCAAGATAACAACTTCAGGGCAAGTTTCAAGGACTTTCAGGGACTTTTCCAGGAATCAGATTGATTTTTCTAGGACTCCAAAATTCACCTTAATTCCTTTCATTCCCAATATTTCAAAATCAATTCTCCTTTCTTTCTACACACATCTTTTAAAAATTTAAATTCAGAAAACTTTATTGTGCTTGGGTTAAACAGATTTCCGAGACTTTCTGTGACCTGTAGTCTTTTTCCAGGAATTTGCAGATTTTCCAGGACCAGTGCAAACCCTGCAACTTATACCTGATAAATTTGAGTATTTTAATTAGCTGCTTGTTGGATATTGTTTAAATATTATAGGGAGAAATTACATGTTAAGAACTTCTTGAGTTAAAGAATTTGGCCAAAGTAGGATGTAACCGGTACGATGCAACAAGATTGGTGTCAGAGAAAACCAAATGTCAAAAGTTAAGTCACATCTTACTCAATTTATCTAAAGTATGTATATAAAAATATGTTACCACTGTACCATTTCAAATTGGATGATATCAAATGATTTGGTACTTTCAATACAAAAGTACTTCTTGTTGTGAGTAATGCGAACAATATCAGGCCATCTGAAATTGAATGAGGGAGAAAGACAGTGTCAGTCATGCACGGCTTCCAAATAGGGGAAAGGGTCTGAGAGAAAATGGTTACCTTGATATAGGAAAATTCTATAACTTGTAGTAAATGTTGTGCAAAGCTCTCATGTGTGGAATGAGAAATATACCAGACATAGGGTACCACAATGAAACAAGTTCCAATATGTACGTGAACTACAATGTAGCTTAATTTAAGTATGACTAGTAAACGGAGCAAATCACTGAGAGTATGTCTCAGTTTCCATTGCTTCTCCTCCTAGACAGGATACCAGTCCATCACAGGAAATCTCTCAGAAAAATAATGGTCAAGGTAACCAAGCAGTTTGTAAGTACCTTTCAACCCACCTACAAGTGTAGAAGGGAGGCACTGTTGAAGTGAAATTTCTTGCTTAGAGACACAAAGCAATGGGGCTCAAATCTACAGGTTATAACTAGGTTACCATATCTCTCAAAACTTGAAATTGAATTCTACTAGCAATTCATTACTGTTAAATTTGAAGATACCACAACCATGACATAGTGATTTCAGTTACATCAAACCTGAAATATGCTGGAGGCAACCCATGAGGATGTCTAACTACAATGCCAAGAAATGATGCACCAACTAGAATGATAGAACCATCATTACCCTACAAACAAATATAAAATTTGTACATGTTACTATATCATATTTAAAAAAATTTATGCTTTAATTTTTTGATGCAGTCATTCCATGCTCCTATACAGGAATTGCTATCACTTCACACGGTGATTTTCTTGGGGAATTAAAAAACTACCAGTTGGCTTTAAGTTAGTTCCTCAGCTGGGAAGAGCAACACACCAGTATCAAGGGTTTCAATAACTTTTTTCACAATAGGCTGCCAATGTTGTTATAGCCAGTTGTGTGCAGAAAGAGGTACAAGGCAAAACCCAAACGCAAGAGACTGGTCGCAAGCTAACAGAGGGCGGTAAGAGGTCTCATAAGTGGCCATAGGTAAACAGCATTTAACTATTTAGTTATTTACCCGTAAGTATTTAGTACAGTACAAGGTACAGGGTACAGGGTACTAGGCTAAAAAATTGTGCTTGGGTTCCTTTTCATGAAACCCCTATAGTACTGGCAAATGATTGTGTGGTATCATAATTTTTCAAGGTTAACCATAACTTTTTTAGTTCATGTTAAAAAAATCTTAAAATTTAAAAAGTCAATATTCTTATTATAATTTAGTTAGCAGACCAGACAGTGATGCTGATACATCCCTGAGAATGTTTCACTCAGCTCACCTGTTTTGACTAGATACTGTTTTTAAATCAAATCATATCAGTTTCATTGGCTGTGTCCACAGAGGCTTCAATTCCGCAAAAAAATCAACCATATCATACCTGTAACATGAAGGAACTTATTGAAGCTTCAAGCTTCATTACATGGCTAATGGCTGCTCACCTTTGCAGGGTAATACTCATCACCATATCCCTCCAGTTGTTGAGCAATCAAAATGTACTCAAGCTGTGCTTCTTCACGTGTCAAACCCCTAATTCAGAAAAAAAAAAATTTTAATGAACAAATTAATAAAAGACATTCTAAATATGCAATTAAATCACAATACACTGTAACTGTAATAGGTAGTTTAATTAGTTATAAGCAATTATTGGATGATGTTCAGCATGATATCATGAGTTATCAAAATTCAGGTCTGAGTTATCTGTTAAAGCTGAAGGCTGAGGTGGATAACATGGGCCGAAGGTTTGATAATTTATGATATCATACCAAAACCAAATTAAATAATTGTTTTATTTTACATTCTTTAAACAATTTTCAAAGAAGACACTTCTCTAAGTTTGCAAATGTTTGAGAACACAACACAGACAAGGGGCTTGGATACTATGCAGACTTTGAACACAACATAATAGTTGAAAATATCAGCTGCAGATGATACATTATCATGTAAACTCTATAAGCTATTGTATTTTGCTTGTATGCTCTTGATCAATCAGATTTTTCATGGTAGGTCTCATGTATGATAACCATGGTTAGTGGGCAATCATTAGTTGGATCAGCTGTGATATCATTAGCCATAAGTTGATATTGGTCAGTTTTAATCAGACAAAGTTGGTCCTTTATTAAATATTTGATAATTAAGCTGAATAAATATCACAGACTAAAATCATTTGTAGCTTAATTGACATGTGTTGAGGGGAGTCTATTCTCTGTTTAACAGTAAACCAGCTTTCCAGAGTCAGTGGCTGATACAAGTTTTAACAGAAGGATCAAAACTCAGCATATTCCAACAAAAAAGTGAGGTCTGCAAGTCACTGATAATCTGAGTAAAATTGTTGAAATGTTAAGGCCTTTCCTCAGCCAGACCATCACAATACACAATAAGAAAAATTAAAAGTCGTTCCAAAAAAGAATGTTGAGGGGCAGTAATTCACAAATGGATAACATTAGGCTAGACACAATTTTTAACAAGTGATACAAGAAAGAACCTCATTGAAAACTACATATTAACTGAGCATATAAGCCACAGATAAACATTCCATACTTTCTGTGTCTGAGGATTGTACAAATTAAAAGAAAATTACATTGATATAAAATGCAAACATACCTGTGATGGCTATAAAATTTTATCACCTAAAAGCAAAATAGACAATTTCTTAATGCTTATTCAAGTAATTCTCCTCTACACACATCTCCACAGGTCAAGGGAATCTAACTAGCCATCATGAGACCTGCGGCAGTGGGACCATGGAGGACTCAAATGTTTTTCTACATATCATTAATGTGACAATTATGAAATGAAATGCAGTCTTAAATAATACTCTTTCTTAAGCACAATATTTGTCACCACATATCAATGCAAGCCAATGACCTTATCTTCCTAAAAATAAATTTCATGCATTCGCAATAGATAGACCAATAAACAGTGTCTTCAAATTAAAGTTTATGTCGAAGACTAGTCAGAACAATTCTTCCAGAAAGAGCTCACCAGACTTTTTCTCTGGGAAGGAGTTATTCACTCAAGATCTCATCTGCTCAGTGAATGAAAGTATACTTTATTGGATAGAAAACAAAACATATTTACCATGTATACTGTGCTAAATTTGATGCATAACTTTCCTTGCAATATCTTAGTTTGTATATATCAGTATGTATAATTCAAAATTGTAAACAAAATCATTAGTGTGTTAAAAAATTCTGTACCTGCTGATCAAGGATTTCCTTTGCATGAGAAGCAGCAACACTCTGCAAAGCAATCAGAGTGAACCTTGTTAAGCAGACAGCCACCTGACTCACTTTAGTGTCCACTTAATACAGGGAGCTTTTCAGTAAATTGTGCAATCATTTGTGAGCCACTTCAGAAATACAAATTCAACAGTATGGTAAAGCGAGGAGACCTCCAGGAAACCACAGGCCTATAGAACAGTACATCATTGGCTATGTACTTTCCTGGCAAATTGCTGAAAAGAAATTTAATGCCAGAAATATCTGGTGACAAAGTTAGGCCTTTAACTGATGTTAATTTGTCCAGAAACAAGCCTGATACATGCACTGTTTTGTTAGTACTGAAAATTGAGCAGTTAATAACCAATGAAGTTCAAGATTTTTTTGTTACAGTATTCACTGTCCTGGATAAACTCTTACACTTCCAGTAAATACAGTGTTAACCTCCCTTGTGCAATGACCATTCGTTAATTTGTTGGCTGATCTCCAAATAATATCCCTAGTTTTTATTACCTGTCTGCTTCATGGATAATTCTATGGTATTGTAAGGAGCATTTTAATACAAATGACTCCTGCTGGACATAGGAGGGGGGCTTGCAGGCCTCCAAGCTCAATTTTTTTAAAAGTCACATTTTGGCAACTTAAAGCCATGAAATGATTGCTGAAGCAAAAAGTTCTTAGCTGCCCGAAAAAGGAAAAGAAGAAAAGGAATTTTGTTATAGTTTCACACAATTTTGACCAATATCACAATGAAACAAAACTGCAGCAGCTTACTGAAAGACATTATTTCCAACAGTCAACTTGCAACTTCATGTGGGTATCTTATGTTAATAACAATGATTCATAATCATACATTTAAATGTTACATTACAACAAAAGACTTACAGAAGGGTAGAGGTTGTGGGTTTCTGCAAAGGTAACAAATGTTTCAGCATCATAATCACCCAGCTCAGCTGTTGAAAATAAATGAGAGAATTCTGAACATCAACTATTATTTAGGAACAGAAGCTTGAAGATAAAAACCAAGTGCAAAGCATTTGTTATGAATTCCACTTACAAATTTACTCCAATGGTGGCAAAACAATTTTTTCTTGCCTTCAGATTCAAACTACAATCAAACCTCCATCATTCAGACTTACATGGACTAGGCTGAATAGCCTGGATAATGGGAAGTCCAGATAATAATAAAAAATGAATATTAATGAGAAAAACATTTTTCAACAACAATGTTTTACAACAACGTTTTATGACCTCAGGCGTTGATTTAAATCAATTTATTCCAAGCTGCTAAAGCAGTAGTGTATCTTTATTTCTATCATTCTTTGAAGCAGCTCTAATGGAATAACGTCAATCAGCTTTGTTTGATGGGAAAAAATTGGACTAGAGAAGCAAGTCCAGGTAATTGAAAAATTCTGGTACTCGAGGTCCAGATAATAACAATTTGACTGTAGTTTGAATCAGATAATAATCATAATTATAATTTCATAATTGATAGAGCAAGCCTTTTCCCTTTGTATTAGTCACAGTCAATGTAGATTGGGTTGGTTTGAAGCCATTGGGTTAAAGTTTTCTGAAAGATGTTGTCCTTGAACTGATATAAACATTAAAGTTGAATAATTATATGAGAACCTTATGGTAACTGAAGCACGAATAAATTCAACATGACTAGCAGATCTAATCACCTTGTGCAGTGTATGAGGCCAGCAACACAGCAGAGTCTTTTTCACATGACAGACTCCCTTCAAGAATTTGATCTTTGAGTTGTAAATAGTAAAAGCTCCTAGAATTAAAAAAGACACAACATGATTGATGTATTTACATACTTGCAAAATTGGCAGTAAGAATTCTGTTTATTTGTTTCAACCCTCCTGTCAAGTCACTACCAAAACTATCCTCTAGATAGAAAAAAAGATAAAATCTCTCAATAAAGAATTTATCACTTCATCTGCCATATTTTCAAATTTGCACAGGATTTTAGTCTCATAAGAAAAAGATAATGAAGAAAGGGATTGGACAGGCTGAGAACATAACTTGAACACACAAACTATCTTGGGACTTTTCTGGTTAAAGATTTCTTTCTGTATTACCTTATCAGTTTGCCTTGAAGTTTTAACCAAGAGGAACCAGTCACAAAGAAATGAATCTTCAACTTAAGTCTGATGCTGCCAACAGAACTGAGAGTGTTCTGTTCTAACTGTTTCTTTATTGATTTCTCCAATACAATCCACCAATCATAGCCTTTCTTAGTCTTGTAACATAAACCAAAGTATCCAACCTGCAAATACATTGCCCAACATAAATACTATGGTTGTACATTACCACTTTCACTACCATGATCCAAATATCAATTCCTCTAGTGCACTCTTAACTCTGGGATTTTGAAAAACACAATATCCCTACTTCACTTACTTCTCAACACCTTTCTTCTTGGCAATATGTTGAAACTGTGAGGAGAAATCAATATCTCCTCACTTCTGAGAATAAATTGTTTGTGTTTTCTGTGAGATATCTCCCTTTGAAATCAAAATGTAAAGAAATGTGGAGAATTAGAACAACCCTTTTCTTCAATCTATTTCCTCAATGTCATTTTGCAAGGAGTCATCCTTAGGAAATAGCTGCCACTGAATTAAACCAAGAACCAAGTTGCAAATGCCAGCCAAATTAAGCCAGAGGTTAAACAAACAAAACAAATAAAGAGGCAACTACAATTAACACAACTGATGTCATTCAGTAATACTCTATAACAGCATATTGACCTGGAAAGTTGGTGACAGGAGGTAATTACATAACTGTCCAAGCAACAGAATAGTCACTGGAGAAATCTCATCTAGAGAGCTCTTATCTAGTTCATTTATATCTCTCTCTGCATTTCTTTTAGGACCATATTACACACACGTAGCTTAGTAGACCCACAAATATAAATCTGAAACAGTGGAAATGAATATGACATCTTGGTGTTAACCAGCTGAATGGAAGTCTCAACCAAAAAACCTGTGTAAGTCTTTTATGACTGAGATATTTGATCAATAATTTCAGGTCAGATAAAATGAAACCTCCCTTTTTATACCTCGGGGTATAAATGCGGCTTCATTTTTTTTTTTTTTCCATTCAATCACAAAATGCAGTTCCACTACAGCGCATGTGTGAAGTGTGAGTGCATGTGTAGAATGAACCTTAGAGCACATGGTTTAAAGCAATGGCTGCCCTTGTGGACAATTCCTGGCTTGATGTACATGAAGGAAATTTGATGGCTATTATGCCCAATATACATACAAAGTCACACACCGTTTGCGGTAGACCCACACTAAAACTTGTGGAGCGTTTTGGGAACAGATTGGTCCGCAAACTTTACGAGAGATCAATTTACGAGTGATCCTTTACAAGTGAACCTTTTATCGAGAAATATCAAGTGAAACCTGCTATATCAAATGAGTTATCTCATATTATGTTTACATGTAAACACAACCCTGTATTTAGACGTGATCAAGAACCCAGTAGAATACCAGAAGCTACTCTGAAACGTCTCAGAAGAAACGGCAGAAAACTGAAGGAGTTTGTTTATGAGCGTATTTGTCCAAGCATACCGAAGTCCTCCTGGCTACGTCATTATGTGAAGGTTAGAAGAGTTACAAAGAATGATTGTAAGCTTAATTCAAAGAGGGTAAGATTAAATAAAGTTACAAAACATGATAAGAAGTATTTGTTGAATTGTTCTGTAAGGGTATATCAAAGGATAATTAAATTGAAGTATAGAGCAAGTAGGTACTTATCAATGTTTTCTTGTAATAGACCCATGTGTCTTTATAAGAGTCAGACACATGCATCAAACTGTTGTAAATTTCAACTGAGTTCAGATAAAGAGGAAAACCTTGGTCCTACTCCAATGTACATTGACCCTAGAAAAACAATAATGGCACCACATAGCCAAGCTAATGAATTGGTATTTGGACAGAATTCAGGACAACAATGTGTCACAATGAGTTTATGCTCTTTGATTTACAATAACAAACAAGGAATCAATTCTGCTAATGATCTTGTGTCAATAATGACTATTGGAAATCAGTTGTATTAAAGTTTGTCTCAGTTAACCAGACAATCATTTTTAATGCAGACAGAATTACCCACACTTTTAAATGTGACTGACTATGAACTTCAATACAGTGAGAGCTACACTGGTACTATTCATCAAGAAGTTACAGTAGAAGGATATCAGTACTGTACCTCCTTGGATAGAGTCTTTCAATCACTTATATCCGAAAATTTCAACAATTTTGTCTTGAAAATAGGATGTACTGCAGTTGCTATCTATTGTAAAGGTAATGTGGGCTTGAATATATTTGATTCTCATGCAAGGGATATTTATGGTAGAAGCCATCCTCAAGGTACATGTGTGCTGCTTGAAGTATCATCACTGAATAACTTAGTACATTATTTTCAGAGTATAAATAACAATGATATATTTGAATTGAAAGGGGTTAACTTTAGTAAAGTTCAAAATAGTACCCTTTTTCAGAGTCATGCCTGTGAAACCAGAAAGTTCAATGTGAGTTGTGCTGTGGCTGTTTATTCACTCTGCTACTCTGTAATAAAATCATGTAGTTATTGGAATTAAAACACCTTATCTGATGTTATTCAATATGGCAAAAGATTATACAAAAATTCATCTTTGAACAAGTATTTACCGTTAGATGATATGCCAAAAACTGTTGATGTTTGTGGAACTGAAGTAAGTTTAGATCTTAAAAGTGATTACAGTGCAGTCTGATTCAGTTGACAGCAAATCACTTCTCGAAAATCTTGTAAGAAATAATAGAGAATGCACAGGGTTTTTGATGTGGTTTTCAGTTTTCTGTATGACATGTATTTTTAAACCCACAAAAAGGTCAAAATATGTCTATTCCCTCTTGCTATTTAATGAAAGTCAACTGGTATTGGCTTACATTGTAATACAAGTGCACAAGTAACAAATTGCCACCACTATCCATCCAGTAGGTACCCTGGCCCGATAGAGACCCACAGCAGAGAGATATTTTCCTTGCCTAAACTTGATTTACATATTGTGCGTGTAAATGATACATCGTCTTTCATTATTTCTGCATTTAGCGCACTACATACAATATTACTGCATACCACAAATTCTGTTGAGATTTAAATGATTTCCACCATAGTAAAGAATGGTGAAGAATTGACTTCTAAAGTTTTATTAAGGGCACCAAGATGGACTTGGCAGATGTTTATTCAGAAGGATAAGACAAAAGTAATTAAATTTTAGAAAATTGCCACAAAAATTGCCAATTTAAATGCACCCTAAGTAAGCCCGAGTTCATGCAGTTATGCGTCTAGTTTATCATACAATAGTCAATAAACAATACAATAAACAAAAAAAAAAAATTAGAACATGCACAGTATCTCAACCACACTGTCTTAGAAGCACTAAATTACTGAATAGGTATACAAAAATCATTTGTGATACAACTACATGTTACAATTAGCTCTGAACAAGTCTCTGAAGCTTTGAAGACAAAAGTCAGTGGTCTTCGTTCAAAAGGGGTTAAATTGATGAGTTGATGTAAAGTTAAAACTCCACGTAAAAAGTGAAGAGTCATTCAGTCATTCCCAAAGGGTTAGCAAAAACATCACATCTTTTTTTACCATCTGGAATTGCACAAGATGATATGTAACAAATCTTTATGTCTTTCCACTACTATACTCTAATTTCCCTGTTGCTTTTGGCTGTGATTAGATATTAATAGTCCATGTAACTAACTATCCTTCATTCCTCCTATGACCATTGATATATAACAATATGGCAATTACTTACAATGGCTGAACCTTTATCACCCTTTTTCAGTGAATACTAATTTTACAACCTTTCTACATCATAGCACAGTGCTAAGTAGGCTCAATTAGCATCAGTCTAGAGGTTCAATGAGGAAAAATTTACACACCCCTGTAAACAATTCAAGTTTTAGTCTTTAACAGGGCATGAAATTGTGCCTAATACAGGTGCCAATGCGACTAAATTTTTCACTTTGGCGACCAAATCTTGAGAATTAGTCGCCAAATTGGTGACTAGAATGTTTCATCACAACCATACCGAGAGACATAGTGAATCAAAAAGATTTGCAAAGATAAATCCGTGGCAAACTTCCTCGTTAAGTTTGTTTCCAAAACTCAGCACACGCATCTCAATCAATAACTAGACGCCATCTTGGATTTAGCTGAGCTTGAAAGTTGTATATCATCCATCCTAGTGTCTATTTTTCAGAACGTTAGATCTTTTCCCTAAATTAAATTTGGAGGGTCTATCTAGAATGTTGACAGCATATAAAAAGGTTTTGTTTGTCTTTGAAAATGGCAACCAACTTTTTTTGAATTGGCTACCACTTTGAAGAATTTAGGAGCCAAGTGGCTAACAGAAAAAAAAATTAATTTCACGCCCTGTTTAAGTTTATCATAATTTGTAAGCTACCTTGACCTTTTGTCCTTCACTTGGTAAAGCACAGTTCAATGAAATGTCCTTACTGAGTAACACCACTTACACTTCCAAACCGCTAAGAAAAATAAAGCAATAATTCGCGACAAGTACCACCTTTTCTTAATTAAACACTTTTTAAACTTATTTCAAACTTGACCCCACAGAACCTAATATCTACACAAGGCTGGCAATACACAAGTTTTCAGATCTATTTTTTATAAATGATCACCATTAGGACCCATGGGGATAACTGGATTATTAGTTTCATTTTTTTTTCTTTTCCTTCCATCATTTTAATGTATCAAATAAACAAATTGCATCTTAATTCAAATGCAAATAAAGGCTGCAACTTCTATCAATGCCAAGCCGTCAAATTAAAGCCATAGTGGTTATTTCAAACCCAGGGCTCAGGTTTACTCCAGCATTCATACAAGGCCAAGGTTAAGTCAGACAACCCTGCTGTGAAACCAAAAATATAATAAATCAGATTGCTCTTATTCAACATCATGAAAGCTGTTAGACTCATCAATTGCATCTTATAGTGTAAAAATTACTTTGCTTCCTGAAAATAAATTAAAAATCAATACTCAAAGCTCACCTACTGCAATTTTGAGCTAGCAACAGCACACCAAACTAGTAGACATTAGAAGCAGAGGGAAAAAGAAAACAAACCTAACTTGCACATGTACTAGTTATTTTCCTCCAAGAAGCCATTCAATTTCGAAATTTCAATTTGGTCAATGATAAGCTTTCATTAAAACTAAGAGTTATTATTGGTCTACTTTCATTTGTTGGTGCACTCTTAGCTCAACAGATTTACAGAATTCTGAAATTTTCCACTTGATGCATTATGTTATATTGATCCTTAATTCTAGATTCATTTCAAGTCCATTATTGAAATACTTTAACTCCCACAATTACCGCTTTAATGTCTTGTTTTATTTACTTGGCATCTTAAGCTGCAGGTGATCTCTTTATCAAGTGACCTCTCTTTCATTAATTTGTTGTCCGTCTAAACTAAGTATAGTTACAAATAAATGGTGGTAAACCCCACAAATAAAAGTAAGACAGGTCAACGTGGTGTAGAATGTTGACCTCGCTCTTTTTTCAAGTGCTTTCGCTTCCTTAATAATTGAGGTTTGATCGATGCAGCGCAAAATTTAACATACAGTAAAAATATCTCGACCGATGTTCGATAAATGCTTGATTAATCATCTGTTCAGTTAAATACATATAATGCAAAGTATCCCGCTTATATAGCAGTAAACGGAATAAAACCAGAAAATTCACTCAACACTTTCATCCACTACACAAGAGAAATCTTAAATCCAGGCACATGCAAAAGTACAACAACATGGAAATGCCTGAGTTGAAGATATTCTGAACACAAATCAAAATAATTTAAGTGTGCTCTAGCTACAGCAAAGTACCAAAGAGTGTTCAACTAACATCGAAGACACTCAGCCACAGCGGAACCGCCATAAGAGTGTAAATCTAAAGCTAGGACTTACCTCGTGTAGACCAAGTTCCTTCGTCACACTCTCCAAACACTCTAGCCCTATGGCGTCTTTCGACAGCGTCACTTCTATGCAAGATTTGTCTGGTATTTCGACAAGTATAGGAAGATACTTTGTCAAATCATCTTTTAAAGGTTTTGTACATATGCCAAACGGCATAGCTATCCTCAAACATGAACAACGATATAGTTCTTATCGTATTTTTCCCTAAAACGATAATAGTTTACGCGCTTTAGCTAACAAGCAATCGCTTTCGCGAAACGTAAACCTCACAAACCGCGTTAAGACTGGTACTGCGATACATTCCTCACATTTCCGGAGGATCGAATGTCTCCGCCGTCAAAATTTTTTGGAGTGCCTGTGTGTCATGCAACAGGAGGACATGACTAGACTTGTTGTTGAAGAGTGCCTCGACCATTACGAAAGATACAGAAGAAAAAAGAGCAACTCAATTTATAGCCATTAACTGAAAGGATGAAATGATAATTTGTTGAACAGGGAGTTCATATTGATGGACTCTGGAAAAACTGAAGAAATGTTTGCATGTGACGGGCGACGAATTCCCATAATTAATATGCCATGACAATTTTAGAATTGATTTATTCAACATTTCGAGGAGACCCTGCGAAATAATGTCCTTTCAACTTCGATCCCACTCCCATTTCCCAGTTCCCAGTTCCTACTTTTCACTATCCAATTCTGACTTCTGACTTCCGACTTCTGACTTAACATTAGTTACAAGAAAACGTTTTTTACAACTCATTCACCCACTTCATTCAGACTCCTTGTTCCATTTTGCCGTAGTTACGGAAGTGTAATCTTATTTTATTTGCAAATAACTCAGTTTTTTTTGCAATCAATTACTTTCCACAAATGCTTTGCTTTGGAGCTGAACAGGAGAATAAATGAATTTGAGCCACCCTTACCTTCGAAAAGAGATTCTTTCAGAACAATTTTCTTTTTCCTAATTTCCGGCGAGCACCACGTGATTTTTTAAGTGGGTATCCTCCGGGCTCCTTCCTCCATCTTTCTGGGACGTAGTTAGCGAATGCTACAAAGTATCGTCTTAGATTTTGCAGAGCTTAAATGCTGCAACAGATCTGAGGAAAAACGAGGGAAAGTACGTGATTATATATGTTCATTCTCATTATGTCACTGAACTTACTAACATTAGATTCACAAGATGTCATCGATGACGTCACTAGAAAAGACTCTAATCTTCGTTTGCAACTGACACACACGTGCGAGAAAACCTGCCGTCAACAAGCGTTACAACAATCTCTTTTAAGTTATAGCACTTGACATCAACGAAGGATTTTTCCAAGATTTTCCAACAGAAAGTAACGGAGTAACCGTAGACTTTGGTTCCTCCGACTCAAGAGTACGGGAACTTGATGCCCTCACAGTCTGCATTCTACTGAAGCTGTTTTTCTGAGAATAAGTAAATAGGGTGAGTAACACGTGGCTACGACACGAAACTACTTCTTTTACAAGGATAATCACTCGGTAATTGTGACATTCAAAATTCTGCCTGACTAAACAGCTGGTATTGTTATTATTTTATTTATTCAATTCGGAATGAAAGCCTTGTCCAAGATGCACGCACATCATATACAAACTTCCCTGCAAGATTTCCCAAATCTCAAAGCCGAACACATAGATCGGACTTCAGTTCGTGCCACCATTTTTCTTAAACTCTGTTTTGTAGGAGACTTAACTCGAGTAAATGTGGGGTAACTAATAAAGGAACCTTGTTAGGCCGCATACATAACATGCTTGGTATTACCTCTGTGGACATGAATAACTAAACCCCGACTGTGAAAATTGTATTCTTTTTGTTCTTTTAGACATAAACGAGCTAACATTGGAACAAACTCGGAGGGACAAATCAGAGCTAAACTAAGTGATCCATAAAATCAATCGCTTACTATAAACACGGGCAACTGTGAGTAGAAACTTTCATGTGTTTTCCCGAGAAAAAAAGAAAAAAACAAAATTATCATAAGAGAGAATTTTTTGTATTTATTCAAAGTGCCATATTTGGAAACATAATTGCATTTATACAGCCTCTCAGTGATATTTGTAAATGGAAAGATCGGATATAACGCTAGCCGGAGATCTAGTACGCACTCTAACTAAAGCTCAGACCCAAATGTCAAAGGTATTCAAACTTGGTCATGGAGATCGTTAGGAACGATATGCCAGTCTGGCATGACAACCTTGTTTCAGTTAAAGACAAGGAAAATATTAAGTTTAGGTCATCTCGTTCCTCTTACAGTCTTAAAATTACGTTTCAATCAAAATCCAACTGTCAAAGTAGTTTGACTTTTGGGGATTTTAAGAAAGGGGGATTAAAGAATCGGCCGTTTTCGATGAACTAATCAGAAAGCTGAAGATAAAAGAAAGCTTACTAAGCGAAACGGTTTAAACATGATTTGTCTCGCCCTATCTTACTAGAGTTCATTTCTCTTTGCTTCACCTCTCTCCAGTGGGAAGACAAGCAGAGCGATTTCATGATGGCCGGTTTGGTACACAGTTCTCTTGTCAGTACAAGTAGTGCTCGAGTGAACTCAATTTTCATCCGTTATTTGAGGAATATCTTAGAACTTCGTCATCTTTGAATGGCCGTAAATCAGATAACATTGCTTGGTTCACAATTTTTTTCGCATTTTCGATGGCAACACCAAACTAGCAGCCCTATTTCCTACATGAGATAAACGTGAAAACTGACCTGATGCCTTTACTTCATTAAAACACAGAAAATTATTCCTCGTCTTTCGAATGAGTCACAAAAACATCCAACAGCAGAACAGAGTGGTATCTCAGCTGGATGGAGATGCAGCCGAGCTGTGGGAGAATTCTAGAACCCCGTACTGTTGGACTTAGAGGATACACACTCAAATCACCTACCGCAATAGTCATCTACATCAGAGATCTGACCTCCAAAGTCAGAAAATCGTCACGAGCCGGGGCTTACACCTACTAGATGACTTCTCCGGTGAGTTATAGGCTATGTAAGCTGTCTTATGGATGTTAACAGAAGAGTTAATGCATAAGACGTCTGGTAATCCTTTACCGAAACTTGATTTCTGCATTTAGAGTCGCTAGACATCCTGAGTCGGTCCATAGCGATGGTTTTACGGCTTGAATTAGTTGTCTCTTCTACAAATGATTCATCACATGGTAGTCATCAGTGATCCTAAAATGTTAAGTTGCTTTATGAGATGATGTAATCATGTGCTAAATACTTTTTGCATGCGGCGGGTTATTTTTATCGTTTTCTCTGAACTTATCCCGCATTATAGTTCTGTAGGTCACGCTCTTACGCAACTACTGGAACTCGTAAGATCCTCTACCGCTTTAAGACATGAAATCAGTCTTTAAAACCACTTTGACCATTCTGTTCAAGTGCCAGTCGCACAAAGACAGATCAAGATACTCCACTTAGAAACCTACCAGTTTTGCCATCGTGTATTTTTAGCACGAGCTGCCCCGATTCCCGTATAACCTGACGACAGCTGGACTCTTGTCAACGTGCTAATTTCAACCAAGTTCCACCAACTGCGCGAGTAAAGTTTAGAGTGTTCAAATATTCGTGGAGCTTTACAGTTGCAAAGAAACAAAGGAATTACGAACAATGTGCCCCCTTACCAGCTAAACATGACCTAGCACAGAATCTTGGACACGCAAGTAGCTGGTTACCAAAATTAGAAAATTCGAGTTGTAAGAAAACGTCAAATTACATATACAGCAAAGATTTTTTGTTTCCTTGAGAGGTGACGACTAAGTCGTTGAACACAGGGAGCTTTATAGAAAAGAAAACAGAAAAATAGGAATAAGAGATGAAAAATGAGCAAGTCGCTCCTATGAATTTGAATTGGACCACACACTGATAGCATCTGGTAAACTTACCACGTTCATTCTGTTATATCCTGAACTTTCCTGCCTTGTTCATAGATTTTATTTCTAATCCGTTTTAAATAATGTTTCTTGCTGAAAAAGATATGGCAGCAAAATTACGCGCGGTGACCTTCTTGGGACTACGAGAAGTCTCCCATGTTGCCCAACCACGTAGGCTCTTTACTGAGTTTTTCAAGTAGCGTATAACAGCTGTTCTCGTACTTTTAGATTGTATTTTTAAATCTTTCTTCTTGTAAAGGTAAAAACGTTTAGGTCAGTGTTGAAAGTACACCTCGATTCAACCAGATACACAGATTGTAGGAAAATATTTTCAGTAGGGACGAAAGTTTGCTTCCTGAATGTAAGTGTTTTAAAACACAAATTCCATTGTCCACTTTAATACACAAACAAGGTTCAACTGCATTTTACATCTACTGCACGTCATTGTCCCCCCGGCCCTTCCCGCCCCCCCATATCGTTAACGTAGCAAATTTAAAGTCGTTTAAGATCTTTTATTGTTACTTTTTTATCATCATTATTTCCTTCGTCTATTTCTTCCTATTAATTTATTTATTTATCTAATGATCATTTCATCTTACGCTCCAAGTTAAGTATTTGTCCCTAAATTTCCTGACCCATCAATTCTTACAATCAGTTCTTGACATCAGACTGATATTGTGTGCTACACAAACAAGTCACGAATACAAATCTTGGACTACACTGTTTCGTTTTGTTTCATTTTGTTTCATTTTGCTTCACTTTTGCTCAGAGTTTGCATTTTGTTTTGTTTTGTCATGTCTTTTTCTTTTTGATGTCGTTCAGAGATACTAAGCATGGTCTTACCAGTCGATAGGTGTGTGAAGGTGTGTTAGGAGAAACTAAACGGAAGCGACGTTTTAGATTAACACATATTTTTGGGAAACCCTGTATGAAAGCAATTAAGGACTTTCTGTGTGCACATGTCCTCCTCTGAATGTGCACCAGGCCGATTGAGACAATTGACAGAATTTGTGAAAATACCAGACACAGTCGAGGGTTTGCACAAACTCGAATTAATTCAACCCCCTCGTGTTTAGACGAAGTTAAACACGCTAAATGACGACGGAAAAGTCCTCTATTGCTCAAACCATTTTTCCATTTCAGCTCCTCGTCTCCGTGTTAGTTCTTCGCTCATTAATTGCAACTACGAAGACACCTGTGAGGAGCACAATAAAACCATCGGTAACACAGAATGATTCGAGAACTCCAACAGTCCTTGCATCATCGCCAAAAGGTTTAGTTCCAGACGTCGGAAAGCCTTTATTATCTAAACCACCATCAACATGGGTGGACGTTCGCTTGGTGAACAAAAGAGGGTTTTATTTGATCATGTTTGAAAACGGAACAATAGCTGGCAGCTGGAAGAGGTTTTTAACAACGAGATATGGTATGGACAATCTGCAAATTAAGACAGGGCCCACAGATTGACTTTTACTGGGGGAGGGGAGGGGTGAGGCGAGGGGCGGAGCGAAGACCAAGGAATAAGCTAAATCAAAGCGGAAGAGTTAGCCTACTATGAGTGGGAAGCAGAGGAATCTGGTTATGACCTTCTTGGAAACTGGGGTGCTATCACTGGATAAGGCGTCCGTACCCGGCAGTTTTGGTGTTCCAGTAGAATACGTTTTTCAGCAAAGCCGAATTAGAACTTTCATGTGATAGAGATGAATATAAATAACGTTTGAATCAAGTACAAATATCACACCGCAGATTTTGGACAGTTGGTTATTTTTTGCTGTATAAACACCTGTTTAAATGCTCAGCTGCGCGTGCCTCGCTCCTCTATCTACTTCGCTTTCTCCGCCTAACAAGAAATAAGATAATGTATAAAATAGAGCAGTTAGATAACAAATAACTTATAAGACGTTTTGGTGTGTAGCATTGTTGAGTACTTTTACTCTATGTTCGTATTTTGACTCGCCTTACGGGTTCGTAAAAAATACGGCACAACTCGTAACAATACTCAGCGATACTACATACCAAAACGTCTTATAAGATATATATATATATATATATATGTATATTAGCGCGCGAAACTAGTCTAATCCATAGTTTTTATTGAGATCGAGAACCCTTTGTAATTTTTATTATGATAAATCAACTAACTGAGTGACTTGTCCTGACGACGGAAAATTTTCATGGATGTTCCTAGTTTGAATGTCAACCTAATCAGTACATTTGTAGATATTCTAACAGTAGACTTCTGTATTTTTATCTTAGGGCTGTTTCGCATTCAGTCTCACGGGACGGGCATTGTAAAGTTGAAAAGTTTGACAACAATGAAATACATCGCGATCGGCAATCTTGGGCAAATTTATTCCACGGTAAGTAGCTATTATTGAGAAACAGCTCATCACTATGAACACTGAAACAGGGTTTAATTAGTTCCCTCTGAACAGTGAAGGTTGTTTATCCTTAGGTGGGTTCACGTTCTTGTTATCGAACTAAAGGAAAGACCTGAATCGGTTACTAAAGTTTTTATTTTTAAACCATAGTTTTGGTCTGTATGTTATGATAAAAGCAGTACCTAGTTGAGAGCTGGGTGACACGCCCACGCCCAGTGCCTTTGTCAAAGGCATTGAAAACGTAAAATGTTTAAATCTTGTGATGCTCATCAGAGTACTTGTAGCATTAACACACAATGTTGTTCAAGTCTGCGTGGGTTATGTGTCTTCAGTTAGCAGATGCGATGCAAATGTCCTTTATTTTCCAGGCCAACTCGTCCAATGAAGACACTTTATTGAAGCACGCTCAGGAAGAGAATCACTTCTACTCTTTTAGCTCCTACCTGTATCCCACCACTCAAAACCACTCGAACAGGAAATGGCTGCTAGCGATTGGATCGAAAGGACGAATAAGAAACGCTTCAAGGGTGTCACCACTACACAAATCACATCAGTTCCAAATTAGTAACATACGAGAAAACAGCGGGAAAAGCGACGTAAAGGCTTTGGTACATCTTGTAGAGCATAGAGGAAAGTGAAGAAATCCATGGTCATGTTTGCATCAAAGAGAAGAGGAAAGTCAAGGAGAGATGACGCTTATCTCTAGGATTAATTGGGCACCACGAATCCGAAATTAGGGTTTGGTTATCAAGTTACTTCTAACAAGCGAACCATATTTTCTCGAACGGCTGCAGTTTGCTGCGTTGATATTTTATGGGAAAAAAGAATCGCAATCTTCGCAGGCATAAGTTTTAAAAAGAAAACAATGGTCGATAGTTAACCGAGTACGTATGGCGCTATTCTATCCTTGCATTTACAGGTTACAAAGAGGCAGTCTGATGGTGGTCTATCTGAAGACAAAAGAAGCAGCGAGACCAAAAACATCTAAAATATAGCGGAGTAGCCTTACCCAGCTTGCCAAACAATGAGAGAGATACCTCGGTCCACGTTTACCGATTTCTTAGGGGTCCAATTTTTTTTAACACTTGTCGCTGATTGGTCCATTCTGGTATCGTGGATCTAGCAGGATGGGTTATTCTAGGACCAATTCAACAAGCAATTCGAGATATTTGACCCGGAAGTGCCACGTACTAATATCAATTAATCCTGAGAGTTGTCGTTCCGTGTTAGCTCGCTTGACGGTTCGTATTTCATCGATATGGGAAAAAAAAGGAGTCTTTTTCCTTAAATTACATCATGAGTGAAATGTTTGGCAGTGGTGTGTCAAATACATTAATTTTTGTACATTGTTATCAAATAGATTCCATTTTTCCAGGGGTACGGTCAATAATAAATTATAAATGACGTCAAAATGCGACAAGAACCAAAAAGTGGGACACGAAGCGCAGCGGAGTGTATCAGATGATCCTACCACAGTTGACAATGATTTATTATTGTTAAGACACCCGGCACATCGAATCTATTTGTTGTTAGATACCTTACTCGTACTTCATTTCGCGATTCCCGTTAGACGTCTTGCGCGGGGTTATATTTTCGCAATTTCAATAGGCAAATTAGAAAATGGGGCATCAAATGTTGCGATTCAAGCGTTCTCGACTTTATTTTATTTTTCAGTAAGTTTCTTAAAAACTGGAACAAGTGTTGGAACGTTTCTAGGTACTTGTAAATGAGAACTACCACAACCCAGTTAACGAGGCCTTTTTGGAGAATTGCACGAAAGATATTCTCAGGAATTTGTACGAGTCTCGAGATTTAAATGAAGATGATTAGCAATACACGAGACATATACACAAGGCACACAATCGAACTTACCAGTAAAACCAGTTGATAAATTGTGTATTTGTCCATTCATATTCTGTCTGGGATTTGCATTTTCTATGTGGGTAAAAACTCTCGCGTTTATATTCTGCGTGCATTGGTATTCGGGGGTATAAAATTTTGCGGTTTTTTCATAATAGCAAAAAACGCGAAATTAAATATGAATAAGGTAACAAATGGGCAAAACGCAGGAATTGGTGGCGTCATGTAAGCGTCTGTCCTCAGATAAATCATAGGTACGAATAAATAAAAATGGGTAAATCACTGAACTTCCTATGCAATTGTTCATAATCCACGAATGGAATGATCAATGCAATTTGGAGTTCAGAAAATGAATGAGGGGTATAAGGGGACAAGGTGAGTAAAAATTATTTTTCTTATCTATAGAAACAGCACATCACAATAAGACAGGCTAACAGTTTAATGAAGTTTTTACTGATTACACTCTGACTCTGTTCACTGCAGTTTACACCCTTCAGTATCTCCCATGCCCCTTGCACGCGAAGTATTTGCTTTATTTACAACTATTCACAAGGTACAGTACAGCGTTCTAAAGAACGGATATCAAGGAAGATTTCGTGGATTCTAAAATTGTTTCTCTTCACATTTTTCTTTGGTGCATTACAGTACATTACATGTACTTACCTAATACCACCAGTTTACGAAGATAAAAATTTGTTTAAAAATACACTTTTTTTAAACGTGAGAACCACCTTAAACAATTGTATCGCAATTTGAATGCAATAAACACGCTTCATCTTGGAGTTAGTAACAGCAGAGCAGCTATCTTATGCATGGTATTCAATATTTTGAGGATTAGTTTGTGAAAGTTTAGCCCTCACAACAAAGTATCCACCCTTGAATAATTGGATATGGAATGTTAACGATTTAAAAACTATTCAGCTCTATTCTGAATTCCCATTTGAAACATCTAAAAACGACCAAGAAGGAGAACCTGTCCGTTACATAGTTGTACAGTTGTTATCAAAATGCAAGTCTTTTTCAACAGTTTTTCAATTCCAGCATATCTTTGTATTCAGATTCTTACATAAAAAGAAGTCAGGATCATTGTTTCTGATGAGTACCAACACTTTGTGCCACGGACGGTTAGACAATGCCAAGGACATAAATACAAGACAAAAATGGGAATACTTCTTGGTTACAAAGAAATCATACCTTATCTCTGTCATGTAGCATTGCTGTTTGAACTGCAAACTTTATGAAAGCCATGCCAATAGTGTGTTGGTAGACAAGTTGTGTGAGGGAGGACGTTTACATATGGTCGTGTGCTATCCCATTACAGGACCTACACATTGCCCCGGAGGATATCAGAGAGTTCCTCCTATTGTCAAAGTCCTCAAGTGATAAACACATCTAAGACTTGTGGTACAAGATTTTTCTTGATGGATCCCTCTACACCATAATATCAACATCATGTAACTGACACAGTGCTGTAAGAGTCTTTTTAACACGCAGAGCTGTAAGTCTTGCAGCACTATTGGCATACCAACATTCTTTCATCAACTTGGACATAGACTGTAGTGTCTAACAACAAAAAAAAATTAAAACATTACATTCTTGAGGTTACGTATCAATTTCCTTTCTGAATTTTGGAAATGCTGTATACTTGTAATGCAGTTTGACATTGTAACAGTGAATGAGGAAACCAGTGGTAGAATTTTGCTACCAAATCTGATTACTCAATTCTATTCACTTCAATAACCTTTTTAAATAGCAAAAATTGCTGGATGTAACTCAGCGGTCAAACACTGTACATGTGCAAGAGTCTTAAAACAATAAGTTGTACCTGTCTAGCCTATAGTGAGGAAGAAATGGTTAAGTTTCTAACTATTCCAATACTTAGGACACACGTAGAAAAATTGCTTTTTTTTATTGTGATTTATCCCAATAGTTTTGAACACAAATGATTTGTTACGGTGATGAAGTCAACAGACAAATGGCAGAACCCTTCTCCACCACTGCAGCTCTTATTTTTTACAGTCCACAATAAACATAGGCCTGCAATCATCATAAATATCTTGTTTGGCTTGGTTCCTCTCTTTTCACACATTTCCCTCTGTGTTTACTAGCAACTGTACCATGAATACAGAAAAAAAAACCAAAAAAAAAACAAACCACACACAAACTACTAACAGCACGGCAAAGATCAAGGGTGACTTCATCACATTACCATGCAATGTGCAAAAAAAAGTATCAGAGTGTAAATTACCCTAAAGAGGGGAAAGTGCAGAATAACTGTGTATATAAGTATTAGTCTGAAAAACTTGGAAACTTTCCTTAGAAACAAGAAAAAAAATTAAGTCACACATCAGTTCTCCACAAAAAAGGCTGTGTTTGCAATTTCAAATTATCTGTGCTGCTTGAATCTACCTTTGCATGCATCACCATTTGACTGCTGTGTTGTTGTGATTAAACTGTTTCACAGCACAGAAGTTGAAAGTAACTATTCAAAGTTAAGAAAACTGAGGAACAGAAACTACAAGTTTTAATGTTGTTATGCCTTTTACCTGATGGAAATACATGTACACAACTGAAGCTGGTATGACAGAAAATAATCAAACAACTGAGAGGAAGTGATAAAATACAAACCTGATCTTGTATCCACCTATTTGGAAAGGCAGGGCGGTACCTATCCACACAGACCACCTTTCTCATATCTTCAATGCTGGGATCACAAGGAACTCTGTCATAGTAGGGCAGCTGATATTCATCACATATTCCACCACACACACACTTCCTTGCAATTTCCCATAACACAAGACCAAATGCGTACATGTCACCTCGCTTGTATGCGTCAAAGTGCCGCACATGCATATTGTCATCTAAAAATTCAGGTGGCATGTAGCGCTTCGTTCCAACTCTGTTCCCAGGAGGAACATCAACTGTGTCAGTAACAGAACTATGGCGAACAGCAAGACCCAAATCACCTATGCAACATGTCCCTACAGAAAAGAACAATATAAAATTTATGCTTTAATACTGTCTAATGATGAAACAATACTTCGTGATTTTTGCAGTAGATTGCCTTATAACTGTAACTTAGGCTGCAGAAAAATCAAACCTATCCAAAGGTCATGAACATTTTGGTACAAACAATGAAATGCAAAAAAAAAAAAAAGAGAAAAGGCTAGGTAAACATGATACATGATAAAGCTCTGATTTTAGTGTACATTGTAGTATAAGTGCAAAACAACTTCAGGTACTTGTAACACTTTAAATTCTAAGTCACCAAGACAGTTACTGACACTTCTCCCACACAACACAAATTGTTCTAAAGATTTTCCCCTTACCATTTCTTTTAACCAGAATGTTTTTACTTTTTAAGTCACGATGTGCAATAGCTGGCTTTCCTTGGGTGCCAACAATCTCAATGTGGAGATGAGCAAGTCCACTGGCTATTGAAACTGCTAACATCAGCATAGATTCAACATCCAGAGTAACAAGTTGAAGATAGTCATACAAAGAGCCTTTTTCTAAATAATCTGTAACCAACCAAAGCTGTGTCCAGGCACCATTATCTTTGTTGTCAGCAGCTACAAAACCTGTGAAGGAAAAGTAACATTTCAGAGAAAAGCGAGATCATAAACAGACTGATCTAAATGTACAAAGAAATTGTTACAAAGAGAAGGTAATTCATAATATGTTAAATAAATAGGTGAATTCTAGTGGAGGAAAGACATTCATCAAGTCTCTCCAAATGACAATTTGCTCATGCTCCTAGGAGATAGGAGGTTCTGCATGTATCAATCAGTAGTGCAGTAAGCAGACCACCAGGCCACCATTATCTAACACGTATTGAGTCAAAATGAATAATGAAAGTCAGACACTAAGTTGGTCCATGGGAGGAAAAACAATGTAGAACTGTGAGTCATTAAAACAATCAATTGAGAAAGAAAGACAGGAAACAGAGCTTAAGACAGAAAGTCATGTTAACAGTGTAGTCAGATCAACAGACCTCATCTCCAAATGCTTTAAAACTTGAGCTACAATTTATTAGTGGCTCTTGCTTGACAACAAGTCCCCTTTGAAATGTTTACATGTACATGTATGTTCATACAAATATAATTGTACTTTTACACAGTACCTAAAAGGTTTTCATGTCGCAACATGGTTGTCTGATAGATCTCTGCTTCACGGAACCATGAGCACTCATCCCTAGATGAAAAGATTTTAACTGCAACACTCTGTCCTCTCCACACCCCTCGGTAAACCTCCCCAAAACGGCCTTTACCAATGAGTCCCACCAAATGGATTTGTCTTGCGATGGTACGCTGAACCAATAAAGGCAATCCAGAGCCACTTCCTGCAAAATCAACCCCAACAAGTTAGTCTTTTGGTTAATTTCTCAAGACTCCAAACTAGTTCTTTCACAAAGTTACTGTTAGAAAATGATGCAATAAGTAATCCAGTGGTAAATAACTCTCATTTCTCTTACACCCTTTGACTGGTTCTTTCCTTCATCATGGTGTGATCTAATCATTTACTTAGCAATATGACTAAGTTTAAAGCCAGATTAACATTTGGTAATTTTTGACTTGGAATGCACTAAACCCTTTAATTACAGTGATGTTTGAATTTTAAAAAGGTAACATTAAGTATAAGAACTTGTATTAAATTGGTGCCAGAGGCTAGTTGGCCATTTTTCGTTCAGTTCTACAGCATTGGAGCAGTTTAAGAATTTAGCCATAAGAACCTAAATTTGCAAACATAATACAGAATTCATCATAGATGATACTTGTGAAACTTGTGGAATGTAAGGAATTTAAGTGGGTTGCTGTGGCAATAGAGTTGAGAGGAATCAGTAACTGTCAAAAGGGAATTTAACCTTTTATAATGGACAAATGTTTCAGAAGATGTTACATACACTGTAAACATTATAAACCTGCTCTTCTTCACCTCATCATGTCCACATTCACCAGCAAAAATTGGCACACTCTAGTGAAAAGTTTTCTTTAGTTTCTTCACTCTAAATTTAGTTTTTATTGGATACATCTACTTGCCAGTTTTAACATAATTGTTTGGCTCAGCTAAGAAATATTGGTACACAAGCGATCAAATTTGGTACCAAATTTGGCTGCGTTGTCCATATTCATAACCTATTTTTCTTGCAACAATCAGAGGTTCCATTCCCAGGAATGTATGGATTTCACAGCAACAACACCTCAAGAAACCACAAATCAGTCTGAAGTTGTCATCCTGGGGTAGCACATTAATTTTTTTTATGATGGACTCTGAAGCCTGGTTTTCACCACCAATGCAAGCACAAGCAGAAACTCAAAGATTGGGATTTTCCTTTTTCTTGTGCTTGCCCCAAGGCTGATTTGACAGTGGAATAGGAGATGTTGTGGGTACATTTTTGCTTGTGTTGCTAGTAAAAACCAGGCTTGTTGGTGAGAGGACGAGAAAGGCATAGATGCTGCTAGAAATCTGAATGAAACATGTGGAACAGACCCTTTGTCCAGAATATTACTTTTCACAAGTTTCAATCTCATATGGAATGACTGAATAGAGTGTGTGGTTTATATTAGTTCACTTTAAGTTGTAAGGCACCCCAAAAGTTAATGAAAAAACTTTCATTTTTTTCATTGCTTGGAAAATATAAAAAACTTTTTTTTTTTCATTGCTTGCTAGAAAAATAAAAAGTGGAACAGACCCTTTGTCCAGAATATTACTTTTCACAAGTTTCAATCTCATATGGAATGACCCAAGTGCATATTAGTTCCATAAAAGTTAATGAAAAACTTTCATTTTTTTCATTGCTTGGAAAATATGTAGTCAGTAATTCATTATCCAAATGTAATTCATTATCAAATGGTCAATTATGAAATGGATGTGTTAGAAAGGTCAACTAAAGGAAATTACTGAAAACACTATTCAGAGCTCTGAGTTCACTCTTCAAAAAGTTGCCTTTTGGCAACCTTCATTGATAAAATGGTGGTTGTAGAAAAAAAGTTGGCTGCTTAAATTAAAATCTTTAATAGTTGAGAAAAAAGAGCACCTAAAAAGGGTCAAGTTAGCTTCTGGTGCCACCTTAATTGCATTAAGCTTTGTCATTTTTGTTTAAGTTGCTATCTCATATCTTCGCACATGGATGCTTCATCTTCTTTATGTTATGTTTAATATTTTTAATATTTCTTAACGATTGCAATACACACTTAATTGATTTATTGATTTGGGCTGTGTCATGAACATCATCATTATTTTTGATTATCATTAATTGTCCTCTGTTTGTGTTTTCTTTTTCTTATTATAACTTTTATTCTACAGATGATTATTGTCAAAAGAGCACAAATTATTTTATAGAAATATCAAAGTGCTTGCCAAGTTGATGCAAAACTGAACATTAAGAAGCTGTGAAGTACTGAATGGACATTGCATAATATTATACCTGTTGACATATCCATTAATTCTTTCAGAGTTTGCCCTGGAGGAATCAATGCTTCATCCTCCACCGGCTGAAGTGCTGCCTCTGCTTCCTGAAACTCTCCCTGTTTCTTCATTTGCCTTTTTTGGTGCCAGCAAATGAACAGCATGATTAGAGCACAAATCACACACATAGGGCCAGCAATGGCTGCTGCCACCCCTACTGTGCTCAGCTTACTGCCACTCTGATCATCTGAGTCTAAACAAATTTAAGTAAATATTGTAAAATAGCATAACTGAACAAAAGTAACAAGCAATCATGGTTTCACACCATTAAACTTCATCTGTATAAAGTGCTTTGGGGTGATTCCTCAACAAAAAAAAGCTGAGACAAAACACATCATGGCAAGTTACACAGTTAATCCCAACAACTGTACTTACTAGGGGCTTGTTTAGAAAATGTATATTTTACAGGAACAGAAAAACAGCTTTGAAGCAAGATGTAACAAAAGAGATAAATATAATAAACTTACCAAACAATATATTTTCTATCAGAACATTTTGAACGAGAAAATTCCTTATCTGAGAGACATATTAATGTCCACCACAGAAGACTAAAGATGCTTTAGTCACATCTTTTTCCTACCAACATTTTTCTTTTTCTAAATCCAATAACACAGCCAGGAAGACTGAAGGAATGCACCCATTCTTAGAAATTGATAGGCTGCTATGCCTTCAGGGATAAACACTCTTTTCATGCCTTTCAAAAGACTTAAAAACCAAGCCTTGTTTTTGGTTGACTAAGGATGTGCATAGTTTTTTGGCCTTTTGTATATAATATGAGACACAAATGCTATGTACTTTGCAATTTAGGAGAATCACTGCAAAAGTTCTATCTCTAACACAAATATATCTAAAATATATCAATTATGGGAAAATACCTTTTTGTTTGTAGACTGTGGAAGGTGTTAATGTTGGCAGAGTTATTGCTACAAAGTTGCACATATCTGTCCTACAGCAGTATACATTCTCATCTGGATCAACTGGTTCATCTTCCATAGGACATACAAAACGATGTTCGTCAGTACTACATCCTTTATAGTGCTCAATCACTCCTGTTGAATATCGAGTAGCAATCACCATACATGCCCCCCCAGTACTGCAGGTTTTGTTGTCACAATTTGTACAATGACAAGTAATAGTCGTGCTTCTAACTACAATGAAGATACAAACACAATCTGTTACTTCTGTGTTCTATAGATGTACATTTTTGAAGAATGAGCTTATATAACCTGAACTTAAATGGGAAGAGAAAATAAAGGCTGATGATTATAGCTTAAGGCTATTGCATGGGCCAAGGGGTAAAATAAGAAAAGGACCAAGGCAAAAAACACCAGAATTGTACACAATAGATTGTAGTTTGGCAACAGAGCTAGATAAATTTCCCCTAATATCAGAGGCATTGATCCTGATAGAGCAGTATGTTAATAAATAAGTGTTTTACTTATGTAAAACTTGAGAAGAATCAAACCCAGACATGGTATTTCAGTGCTGTGTTCACTTAACTTATTCATAAGTTGAGGTCTTGAATTAATGTCATGGCTTTCTGGCAGTTAAGTGGGTAATTCGAATGCTTATTTGCTTTCTAACGGAGCACCAGAGGATAGCCTCACCAATACTAGTGCACAATTTCCTAATGCGACTGGATGAGCACCTTTGAATAACCATTTCCTCAATGACATCTAAAGGAAATTTCACATAGCCAACTGAGGCAATTTGGGTTTCACCGCAGCTATATCGTCATTTGACATTACTGGGGGTAATACATCAGAAGATTTATGTTTACAGTCATTTTCTAAAAGTTAAAATTTCCGGAATCGGAACTGTCCAAGTTAACGAGAAGAAGAACCTCTGGCGCGCGGCGCAGATTAACCCGACAATTCTAAGCTTTTAAAATATTCAGTCGTAGCCCGTCGCCTTTTGCTGCGCTTTAGTTAAAGGAGTATTTGTTATCAAAATGCAAGTTTCAAAATATTAAGCTACCTTCTGTATCTTCTGAAGTCCAAAGAGAAAGAGAGACTTAATTTCCTTCCTAAACAAGAAAAGTCTCAACGTTTCCTAGCTAATATTCGCACAAGTCGTCCTATCAATAGGAACCTTGTATCACTGCATGTGCGTAAGAGATCTTATTAAAGCTGCGCTATATAAACACAAACATTTTGAGAGAAAATCAGAAAACGCCACCACAAACGCTACCCAGCGAAGATCAACAATGTTGTACAAACATATGTAACATTTGGCCCAATAACTTTAACATTTGAATATAATAGACAAGAGATGTATTCCTGTTGCTTTTTTCATCAGACAAACACTGTCTCGTCTTCTTTTCCGTTTTGCAAATTAAGCTAAATGCAAACGGTAAACCGAGTGAAAGGACAAAATCAACGGCTCTAGTTTCACTTACCATTTCCCAGGACTGTTATAAGAATTAAACAGGCGGATTGCAGAGCGATTTTGTCCATTTTATGGGTATACCTGCGTACGAAACACAACGACAGCCTCTCCAGTGCCAGACGGAGCAAACAGACACCACCATGATCACGTGATCTTAACACGAAACGACAATAGGAAGTGACGTAACAAGATCACCTCTGGGTGATACAATCAACATTGTTATAATTCAGGCGCGCTATATGGATAATATCTGAGTCATGGCACAGATGTTTATTCGTCTAATTTCAAATAATCGAAGAACTAATAGAGGATTACAGGCTGATCGTGCGTTTTACCTTAGTTTTACTAACGATTTACCTGTACGAACCTGTTACCTGTTCTGAACCTGGGGGGGGGAGGGAGAGGAAAGACTGAAAGCTACTGTAGGGCCCAGTCTACGCTCTCCCATGATTTTATTTGGAATTACATGTACCTTGCAACGTGGTTTGGGTGAATCATATTGCAAAATGTCCTTTATTCAAGTTTCTCATGATAACCATTTTCCCATTCAGAATATTCCTTATGGAGTATTTTCCACGTCAGATGATGTGAGGGAGTATAGATCGAGAGGTGTTTCCTCTACGGCCGCGCACTTTCATGTCAGATTTCATCTATGTTAATCTTATTATTTTCAGCCACGGCATCGTGTGGGTGTTGCCATAGGGGACTATGTGCTGGACCTCACCGAGATTGCCGATCTCTTTACTGGTCCTATAATGTCCCAGAAAAAATCGTCTCTTCAAGGGGTAAGAAATAACTCGCTTTTAAAGTCCAATTTATATTATGGGGAACACATCTCAGTTTACAGGTTCGCTGTTGGTTCAGTTAGACTCATTCTGGTGATTTTTACAGAATAGGCAGTATTTTTAAATAAGATAATGGACATGTAAGCCATTTGTTTCAAATTTTAGAAAACCTACAGCTGTAAATACATATTACACCAAGGCTCCCTTCGATTACAAAAAGAGGGCTTGGGATAGGGGGTGGGGCGTGGGAGGTGTCTCCTGCATAGTGGTCCTTTGCATAAGCCGTATTGGCTTCCTTAAGCTACCTTGCCCGCTGATATTTGCTAATGAATTATTCTTTTGTATATTTATGGAAATCTAATGAACTGACAAGGCAAAACAATCCACTAAATTAATTATAGTTATAGCTAAATGCTGTATGATTCACCCTCAGTTTGTCATATTTGCTCATATTTGCAGTCAGTTAAGAGAATTTTATTATTGGATCTGGGTAATTAAAGGGTTTAAACAAAAAGTCAAGATTTGTGGAGACTCCTTAATCAAACCAGAAAACAAATTTTAGTTGATGTGCAAGACAACTTGCATGTAATGTTGTCAAACTTGCAATGTTATCTGCAGCAAGTGCTGAATGGCTTCATGGGTCTTGGGAAAAAGGCATGGAAAGAAACAAGGGACACATTGCAACGTATTTTGTGCAGCAGTGAGGTAAGTACACAGCTTAGCAATCCTGTAACATACTTCTATTGTCAATAATAATTGCACCTTTTGCTTGGAAAGAGTGCATGATCAATTCATTGTACATGTCAGAAGTGCTTCCTCACACCATTTGTTATAAAATGATTGTAAATTATTGATCAATAAAATGTAAATACTTTTTACTGTGGATTAGTTTACTATGGTTATAGGTTAAACAATCTACAACCTTCATTAAAATAATGAAGCAAGATAAAGACTGGGCCAGAGAGGACCAACTCATTGGCAGCCAGTGAGGAATTAGGGATGACTCTACTGCGATTGAATGTGGTGTGAATAAGAAGCCATGCATTCTATGGCTTTATTGCTACAGTTACATTTATGAAAGAAGTTTTCTTGTTCAGTAATAAAAGTAGAAAGTGAGCTAGGTTGATAGGGGTGTTAGGTCCTATATTTTGGTTATGATTTAATTATTCTCAGCTTGAAATGGGAAGTAAATGATTCATGCTGTAACTCGTATTTTGTTAATAAGAATCCTAGGTCTTCATACCAGTTTTTCTAACTTTTTTATAGGGAGTTCTTAGAGATGACTCAAAGCGGCAATCCAGGTGACATGTAAATTTCAGTCATGAATTACTTAATTTTTTATGGACTATGTGGTACTTTTTGTCTAAGAACTCTAGATTATATCATCCAGTATGTAGATCACTGTGTGGTATTCATATAGTCATGTTAACGAGTATTGTCTGTTATGGACCATTTTGAACATTTGTCCTTCGTTAATTTATGTAGCAGGCTTGGAATAAATGTAGGGTTTGACTTAGGATTTGATCACTAGGGGACAATTTGTCCTCTTAGCAAAAGTTTTAGGGGTAATAGAGCATGACTGAAACACGACTTTAGAATGAACTTTAAACGGGTGATAAAATATACTTTTCATGTTCTGTTTTAGCTTGCAATTTCTGTATTGAAATAAAACTCTTTGTGTGTGCTTCCTTTTGAGTTTTTTCCATAAATTTTGAAGGGACAAATTGTCCCATTGGCCATTTCATTAAGGGACAATTTCAATTGCAGTGCGGGATTTGCACAATGGCGCAGCCTGGCTCAAACCCTGTAAATGGCACTAGTAATATTTCCTAACATTCTTTGATAATCCGTAGGTGCTTTTTTAAGCAAGACTGTGTTACCATGCATCTTCCTGCAAATATTGGTAAGTTTTAAAAAAGAGAGGAAGACACTTGAGACAAATTTAATCATAGTTAATCCTCTTACATTTATGATAATTGAAATCTTTTACTGTACTGTAGTTCCAGAAATATAGATAAACTACTCTCTCTTTGAATGGGTTTCACCAATCTCTCATCCCTCTTAAATCTGTAAAGTAAAAGGATAAACTTATTTTCATGCATTTAGGTGCCACTAACCTCAAAAAAGTTTTTTAGATAAAAGAAATGGCCTTGTTTCACCCACCAACACAGTGAAAGAAGTATTACAATCAAATAAAACCTTGCAATTCTACAAGCAGTCAAAGCTCAATTTTTTATGTTCATGACCATGTATCTTTGGACCTGGTTTGAGGAAGATTGTTGTTTCATTCACACTTCAAGGATGCAGTAAAAAACTTAAAGATGGGCTCCCTTTTTCTAAATATCAAGGACCTTCCATAAAGTACCAAAGAAAGCCATGTCATCTAGAGACTCAAACTCGGACAGTTTCTCAAACACAGACAGTGACTTTATCACTCTGAAACATCCAAAGCTTCTAATCTATTGGAATACGACACAGAGATAGGGGAAATCAAAGGCGTTCCGAAAGCAAAGCGTCAGTGAAATGGAGTCAAGAAATTCCTGACACTACGGAGAAAGAAGTCTATCCAATAAGCCTAAGTTATGATGCAAGGGCAGACATCATGATGGATGAAGATTTTAATTCAAATATCTAAACTTGATCAGAGAAAAAGCAGAGCACAACCTTGTAGGAGCACTGATGAAATTTCACCACAGAAGCATTGCAAGACTTACAACAAAGTTCAGGAAACTAGAGCAAGCAAAAACTAGAAAGATAAATGTAAATGTAAATGTACTTTGAAATCATGTATAATCACTGGCCATATATTCAATCAATTTAGATGCAGTTGATGTAAACAAATTAGCTGGAGAATTGAAATCTAAACTGAACTGGGGAGACAAGCTTCTTGTAACTTTGAGAGCACAAGCAGGCAATAGAGAAGTTGAATCTTGTTTGAGTGCATTCTCTGCCTCCTCAGAAATAAAAAACAAGGGTGAAACATAACCCAAATAAAAAAAGCTGGTACAAATCACAAAAGAAAACATAGACTAAAATAGACAGATAAAAGATTGATTCTCTTACCAAAGTAAAAGTATGGGTTTGACATAGTAAATAACAGCCCATATCTGGCCAGACCATGACATGGAACTGATATGGTGTCCAGTTTTGTGAAATGTAAGATATGGAAACTGTAATGGAAGCTGTATAGGTTTTTATGCTCAGGCTGAGTTTTGTATGGGAAAACTATGGGAATGGGGTGCCCTTATGTATTCCATACCAATGGGTATTTTACTTGCTTTTCTTCAGTATGGAAATAATGCAGGATTCTCACATTCCATGGAAAAACTATGGAAAAAACCTACCCATAGGTTTCCCAGAGGAGTGGCTGATGTATACTTGCCTTTCTTTTCGTATGCAGATGATATGAGGTAATATGCTACATAAGAAAACTGTGGGAATAAGGTGCCCATAGGTATCGCATAGCAATTGTAAATTTACTCATTGCAAAACTCAATCCTTTTGCATGGGAAATGCTGAGGTACTGCACTCAATCCACAGCAGTTATTTCCTGTACACATTTTTGTACACAAAATTCAATACTTCTTGCACACTTTTTTAAAGTACTAGTTTATTTTACAGACTCAAGGATATGAGTCATTTCTCCATTTCCAAATCTGAGAAAGTGATTGAATACTTGATTGATACAATTAAAGCTGGACAAAACATGAGAACCAAATGGTAACCTTGAGGCACTATGAACACACAATATCTGCATGACATGTGGACAGGCATGGGTAATGTCAGGAGGTGGTGTGGAGTTCTCCAGATCCTGTGATTGAACATTTTGCATTTTAAGCTCTGCTAAAAGTTGCATGGAATTTGACAAGGTGACAATGATTTCACTCAGCAATAAATGTTGCACCTTGGAAATAAAATACTTTTTTTCCAAACTTTTTTAGGTCTGCAAAACTACACATAGATTCCAATATCTTAATCTTTTTAAAAAAATTTCAGAATCTGTGTAAACCCTAGATTATGCGATATCACATCAGTACATGGTCTATATCTGTCCTATAGCACCCACCTTGGTAAGGGTTCACACAAGCAGTGCATCAAGAGCCCATCAAATGAAAAACTGACAGATGAAAAATTAACATCTAATAAATCTACCTCAGAAATAACATTTTTCCACACAAAAGTGTGCAAAGACTTAGAGACTATCAGAGAATCAACAGAGAATCAGAGAATCAACCCTGGACAAACAAACACATTACAAGCAGCACAGTGATGGAGAAATGGCGCTTTATTCAAAACCAATGGCACTCGGGAGCAATATTTAAGGAGCCACCCCAATCATGATATTGAAAACAAAAGTCATTAAAAGGTATCCTGGCCAGACTTACACATAAACTTTGAAGGCAGAGGATTTAAAATTGCTTGGGAATGGCAAGAGTTGCACTGGCCTGTCAACATGATTAAGAGAAGTTGACCTATTTTCTTCTGGGTTTTTTTGCTTCAAGGTGGTTGTCTTCAGAATACAGGAAGGTATGAAGAGTGAACTATCCTCTAAGGAAGCTGTATCACTGCAGTCTTCCACAACACACCCTTCATGCACAATTCTATGGTTCTTTCCTAGGTTAAAGTGTGACTGCTTTCTCACTAAATGGTATTATTAATGTTAAATTGGTCCCAGGTTGATGTCTTGAGCCAACCTGCCCTATTCCCCCCTATTTCTTGGTTGTGAACATGAAGGTGGCCAATTTTGGATCTTTGAATATTCATTTGAAAAATAAGGATAATAGATGTGACCTTAATATTTTGGACCTTGTTATCAGTATATAAGACAAGGAAATTTATAATGTGGAAAACAAATTTTGGGGGTTAGTGGCACATTAACACTTTTAAGTCCCACTATTAGTAAATTAAAAGGCAAAAATTCCAAAAATGGTTCAGGTTTTCTGTTTCAGATATAAATTTTACAAAAAGGGAGAAAAAGCTCTCTCAAATGCCTGGTTTCTTCATAGTATACTTCCTGTAGTATAGTATACTAAATCAGTATAGAAATTGTTTTCTAATAGGAATATTTTCATGTTTTAAATTTTTATGTCAATATAGGTGACTACACTGACTTTTATTCCTCTAAAAATCATGCAACAAATGTTGGTACAATGTTTAGAGGAAAGGATAATGCTCTGATGCCAAACTGGTTAGTATGTTATAGTTATAGAGCTTCTACTTAGAATTGAGCTTGTCAAAAGTAAGGTGCAAATTTTTTTTATCTTGCATAAGAAAGGATCTTTGGCTAACTGTTTGTATTTTTTGTTTCAAAACTGAAATGTAAAAACAACAAGAAAGGATACCTCCAAAAATGAAATATCCAACAGCTTTTTATCAGGTTTTAAATTGTATACATTTGAAAAAATGATATTCTATTTTCAATAAATGTTGTAAGAATTTGGGTGCGTTATAAGTTGTAATTTATTGATAATTTTCATAGATAATTAGAATGATGATGATGACCATGACTATGTCAATGATAATGGGCCCTGATAAAAATGTATGTCTGAAATACAATGAAAGTATTTGTACACTAGGAACAACTGAACCTGGATGAAAGTTGTCCTTATTAAGTTTATGAAAGAAGAGAAAGTGCTTTTTTTGGCTCTTAAATGTCAAACACTCTTCCATTAGAATTGAGATTGAGTTCGAGTGAAATTCTAAATAAATGTTTGAAGACTTAATGTGGCTTAATTTAGCTTGTGATGTACACTTTTGATTTCCAGCATATAGATACATCTTTTTCGGAAAGATATGAGCCTTAACTTAGTTCATGGAAGTGTTTTTAGGTCTAACTTTGAATAACAATTTTTGATCCAGGTTGAACCTAAGACTATAAACTTGTAGATGGTTTTTCAAAGTTTTATTGTATAACCAGCAAGCTGTCATGATTATAAATTAAACTCCATGCTACAATATTTTATTTAAATTAATTTTGTTGTTATTGATTGTTATTAGTTATGATTATACTCATTTATAAATTATTTGAAAGATATGGTAAAAATGATGTGGTGACATATTTATTCTCTTAAACTTTAAAACTAGCTACATGTATGCAATTGATAACTATTACAAGTGGTCAATATCACTCAATATAAAGTCAGATGAAAATTTTCCTAGAAAGTTATTTGTATCAATATAACATTACATACTACAATGTTTGGTGTCAATATCACAGGGTTCATCTGCCAGTTGGATATCATGGCAGAGCATCGTCAGTTGTAGTATCAGGTACTCCTGTGAGACGTCCTGTTGGTCAGACTAGGCCAGATGATAGTAAGTGAAGTATATGATGCTATATTTACTGAGTATTTACAAAAAAAACATTTTTTAAAATTCTTGCCAAAGCTCTGCTCCAAGGATTATTGACCACGAGAGGCCATTAAAATGTACACTAGGTAATGTTCAATGAACACACCTTTCATCTCCTCCTGGCCTTTGTAACAGAGGTCTTGTAGTAAGTGAGTCTAATGACCTGTCTGCAGCAATATTTCAGATTGGGTGGGTTGTTCAGAGGTTATTTCATGCTTCATATGGAAAAAATTTTTTGTCAGTTTGGTTGATCAATGTTGTGAGGTTGATCAAAATGGCTTAAAACAGTTTAAAAAGCTTGGGAAGTCACTATTGTCATTTAAAGAAAGACAAGTTGAGCAAGGTGTGCTTGTGTGATAGATGGCAACCCTAAATGCTGGAATGGTGGAATGGTGGAGTGGCAGAAAATGACTCCAAATCCTAAAACATGGAATGGATATCGTGTTGCACGAACTGTTTGTACAAAGACATGAAAGTGTTTGGCACATTCATCCCCATGACGATAATGGACATGACTAAAATTAAGAGTTATTAATTTTTTTCTTTTAGTGAGTGGTATGAATGATAATGAACCATTATGCATGAAAGAGGGCTGCCTTTTTGCATTAAAAAACCTGGTTAATTGCCTTTTATTATGCTAAATTTGCCAGAGTTTTAGTCACGGCATAAAAAGTTGCACAGCATGGGAAAACCAACTTGACATACCACATCACAATAAACAATTGTGACCTTGATACATTTCGTGGTCATGCCTGCATTGATTTAAAAATAGTAATGTACCATATGCTTGTAAATGTGTGAACACCACAGGAATGTTGTCAAGCTTCTCAAAATATAACAACATTCAGCTCCAGCTCCAAACTTAGACTAGCGTGTGAGCAAGCCCTTATTACAAGCCCTTCAATATGAACGTTTCTTCATCCATGAATAAGTTTTAGGGCTTGAGTAACACTAGGTGAAGAGAGGTTAGCAGGGGGTCATGTGCATGGGAATTTCTCATTGTGTGAAAAGACAAAAGAAAGTTAACAGGCAGTAGCCATCAAGAAGAATTTGAAGAATTTCTTCACAACTAGGTGCCCAAAACACCACTATCCTATTATGAAATTTACAGCGTACAGATCAGTGGTAGAAATAAACTTTCTGGATGAAAAAGAGGCTATTTCACCGATTTGTTTAATTTGCATAGTGGGAGTAGATCCTGATCAGCAGAACCCCACTAACTCAAACCTGATAAATTCAAAACCCCTGCTTACTTGAACAAGACCTGATTTCCCTTGGATTTTACCCCATTTTTTCAGTCATTTGCTAACAGGAAACTTGAGCTTGGGTAAAGTGAAAATGACAGTCAATAAACATCAAAGTGTCAGAAAATAACTGATTGGCACATCCCATTCTTTAATCATGCTAGAAATGAACATGGTAACATGATTAGTAACTTTAAAAGAAAAGCAATACAGGAAGCTCAATTTCCCAAACTGTACAATCTCATAAAAAAGGCCCTTATAAGACAAACAAATCTGCAAAAATGACTGTTTATTGTGCAAAAATAGTCATTTTCCACTGTTCCGTGTTTTAGGATTTGGGGTCATTTTCCATTGTTCCATGTTTTAGGATTTGGGGTCATTTTCCACCATTCCACTGTTCCACCATTTTGGCTTTTAGGGTTGCCCTGATACACTGGCTATGGACCACTTTTACAAATGGTGAGCATGATTATTACTCACATTATAAGCATGTACATCTGCCCTCTTGGCCTCTTTTTAAGTGAAAACTCTTATGAATCACTTACACGGATGTGGTCTTCTATTGAAGAAGTGGCTGAATTAAAAAGCCTGGACTTTGGCAAAAAACCTCTTGCATATCCATGAACACAAACAGAAGATGTTCTTTTATCTCTAAAAGGAGAGAAAATTTGATTTTCATCTCATTTATTTGCTATTTAACAATTGGTTCATAAATCAGCATGCGTTCATTGAGATATGAAGCATGCAGGAAGTTTGGAGAGCACAAAAGATGTGTAAGAGTTGCTCAAGGCGTAGCGGAGAGAAACTCTAGCTTCTTGAGTGCTCTCCAAACTTCCCAAGTGCTTCATATATTGATGAACACACAGCTGACATATGAACCAATTGTTTTATAACATTTTCAACCCAATGGAAAATTTTTTTTCTCAAGGGATTTGTTTGCTGACATCATGAGTGTGCACAATAAGAATATGAAGCATGCTTGCTTCAGTTATAATGTGTCTTGATTCATTATTCTAAGGGTTCAAAAGTGAGAATGGTGCAAAGAGAAGAAAACAAGCTACAGTAATAATATTGTCTCCTCTCATTTTTCTCAACATTTTGATGTGTTTGTGACAATTGAGTGGCAATTGAAAATAGCATTCTTTGATTAAAAACACATTAAACAGGTCATTTTGTTGAAGAGGATTCTGGATGACACAGAGTCATTCATTTGCTGATTTTGGATATCAGTATCCTGGCCACTGACATACAGTATCATTTTCTACCATTAACTGGCATTCTGGTTCTTTCTATGTTCACAGCCAAACCTCCTGTTTTTGGTCCATGTAAATTACTTGACTTTGAGCTGGAAATGGTTTGTATAATGTACTAATACATACAGTATACGGTCAAATATTTCATTGTATCAGTATCAAGCACAATTAAGGGTGAAAATTTTTTATAACAGGCATTCTTTTGTGGACCTGGAAACAATCTTGGTGAGCCTATTGCTATGGATAAGGTATTGTTTGTGAAAATGTTTTGTGGATGTCTTATTCACCATGTTTTATGGGCTAAAATGAAGAATCACCTGAACCCTTGTTTAGTGGTCTATAAGGGTATATAATGGTCAGTTTTCAAGCCTAACATTAAAAAAATTTGACTTTCAATCTAACTTGCTTGAAACTAAGAGCTAATGTTCAAACATTCAGCTGCACGATAATGGAGATTGCATTTTGGTGACATGTAGAGTAATCATATTGACAATCAAACTTTTTAAAGCTGCTTTAATTGATATGCAATAGTGCAGAGCCAATCACATGAAATGTTTTTAAATGTTACATAGGCTGAGGACCACATATTTGGAATGGTTGTGATGAACGACTGGAGTGGTATGTAAAGGCACACCAGACTTAATTTTTTTTATGAAACTTATGCATTTGTTGTCAGTGAGGAAAATAAACTAATACTGTAGCCATGTAGAGCCACTTGTGCTTTAAGGTCAAAGCATACCTCTTATAGTAAACAGTAGACCTGAGATGTAATTGTTTTGAGGGCTGACTGTTCTTATGTATGAGCTATGGCAAGATTCCCACCAATGACGGTGAACTTAATCTGTACCAAGTGTTGATTTATTCAGTCTTTCTAAACATAGAGAACACAAAAGAATAGAACATAGGTTAATTGTGTGTAGAATTGACAGTTGTTCCTGTATTGGTACAGTGACCTGCTCAGTTTTAATTAAAAAATCAAAGATGGGTATCAAGGAAGAAACTGTAAGTAATGACTTTCTAATGTAAATTATATTAGAACTCAGCACATCCTCAGCACTTCTTTAACCTGTTACACCCCAACATTAGTATTTATAGTGCAGCACTGTTCTCTTTATGTCTCCTATGGAACTGTCACGGGGAATAAGTTTGACACTCAGGAACCCTCGCATTGGTGATCTTGATTCAAGGGTGATGGTGTAAGGAAAAAGTAGAAGCTAAACTCAAAGTAGGTTTAACGTGCTAGATAGAGACAAATTGAAGCGTATCATCATCACTAATCTTCTATATGTTTTGTTATCATTTATCCATTGCAGCTCGTGACATACAGAAGTGGGAATATGTACCATTGGGTCCATTTTTAGCCAAGAATTTTGCAACAAGCATCTCACCTTGGGTGGTGACAATGGATGCTCTTCAAGAATTTGCTTTGGCCAATTCAATTCAGGTAGCTGACTCATGATACTTGTGATTTTCCTTGAAAAGAGAAGTGATAAGGGCTGAAATGCTTGTGATTTCCCTCGAAAAGAGAAGCTATAAGGGCTGAAGTGCTGCTTGAACTCTAATTTTTTTAATACAGAGTACAGATTCTAAAGGCAGTCTTCATGATGTTTAACTTTGTTTTTAGACCTCTTTTTTTTTTACTTTATTATGATGGCCCCTAAACATTTGATATATTCACATCAGAAATAAAATTCAGACGACTTGAAACAGAAATGTTAGAATATAATATTTTGGTCACAATAGGAAGGAGAGTATAATACATACACAATGTATATTCCCAAATTAGCAAGAAAAGGTGAAGAGTGATTTCTTGTTAGGTTTTATAGCTGAGAACCTTGTTTTGAGGAAGGAACTGTTGGTGCTTCTCAATGTTATTTTACTGGTTTTCGTTTTTAGGATCCAGCTCCTCTACCTTATCTTCAGCACACAGACCCTTACACTTTTGACATCAATTTGCAAGTTGCTTTACAATGTATGTAGAACTATTCAATAATAATAAGATCATTTGGAGTTAACAACGTACTAGTTGACAATGTAAATTGGCCACCTTAAAGAGTCTCTTAAAATGACGTTTTAAGATACCACATCAAAATATGAGTAGTGACTCTTAACTGTGAACCTCTACCCTTGGGCTATTCTTAATGGCACAGAAGGCCCATTCATGGAAAAATTATAGTTATATTTTAGATTCATTATTACATGATTGGCTATATTTGTAATGGGAATATCTTGACAATTCCTCAAAAGCCTGGATGCGCTTTTGTTTTCAAGGTGAAAACGCTAAAGCACCTGTGACAATCTGTTCCTCGAATTTCAAGGTTAGTTTTTAACTTTCAGATAACATAGATACAACACACGCTCTCATTGGTCGATAGGTTTGTTTAGGTGAGAGTTTCATAATGAATACCTGATTTCGCGATTTTGGCAAGACACTTCTGCGTCGGATTTTATTTGTGCGATTTCAACACGCAAATATGAAAGTGGGGCATTACATTTAGCGATTCAAGCGTTCTCGACCTCATTTTACTTTTCAAAATACCTTAACTTTTGACGACTGCACGAAAGATAGTCGAGGGAGTTCGTACGAATCTAGCGATTCAGATGACTAGTAAGATGACTGCTACATTTCCTACTCCATATGCGAAATACACACAAATTAACGTCATTTCACAACAGAAGATACAAAATAGAACACACCAGTAAGACCAGTTAATTATTAGTTTTTTGTCGATGCCTGTCTTTCTGTTGTTGCGATTTCATGTTGCTCATTTTTTTTTCTGTGATGTAAATTTTCGGGAGGGGATTTAATTTCGCGTGTTTAAATTTCGGGAAGATCTTTAATTTTGCATTGTAAAGAAATCGCGGAAAGTATCACTAAGATAACTTTCCCATCCACGTTCTTTAGTCAGTCGGCTCTTCGAAGCACAGCTGAAGTTAGCCTAGTCTCCAACTGGGCAGAGGATAAATTAAAAGAATGACGGCCTGATCTCCTTTCATGCGCACTTTTGTCCTAGACATAAAATAAACCATGGCGCTAGCTTTGATAGTTAACGAGTATGAATGTTTCGCCTAAAAATCTAAACATGCATATATGTATCGAATTCATGGCAAAAATGTGCATGGTTAAGGTTAACGAACTCTCAAATAGAAAAATGACAAGAATTCCGTAAAGAAGTAATACCATTCTCCCTGTTCCCGTTTACAACTCAGTGAGATAGGTTTCTCATTTTTGTATATTCGTTTGTTTGTTTGTTTCTTTATTTTGAATTATCAACCTTATACTAAAAGTTTGTCATTGTCTCAGCATATGTATTGGACACCTAAACAACAGTTAGTTCATCATACAGTGACTGGATGCAATGTTCGACCTGGAGACCTGATGGGCTCTGGCACAATCAGTGGAACGGTGAGATGACTGTATGGTAAACGTATGATATTCATATATTTACAGTCGGTAAGATAACTGATAGATGTAAATTTGACTTTGTTTTCTTAAAATTAACGTCAAATAACGTCATCATCAGGTCAGAGGAGAGTAGTCAGTCTGAATGATAAAGGCTGAAATTGCGTCGTAATTTTGTCACACAAACGTCGTTCTGGTTTAATGGTGAAGTTCTTCTTACTACCGTACTGAATTTCTCTCTTATTTTACAACCAGTACGTGGATTTTTATGTTATCAAATCACTCGCCTTGACACGTTTCATAGAGTAACTTTTTAAATCATGAAGTTGTTTTGTTTCCAGACCCCTGACTCCTATGGCTCAATGCTAGAGCTTTCCTGGAAGGGTACTAAACCCGTGGATCTGGGAGAAGGAATTACACGGAAGTTCCTACAGGATGGAGATGAAGTGATTATGACGGGATATTGTCAAGGCAATGGCTACAGAGTTGGGTTTGGAGAGTGCAGAAGTAAAATTTTACCCGCTTAATGGTGATAACAATGAACAAAGTCACTGAAACTGGAACCGTAAGGATGATGGTTAGGAATGGGGTGAAGCATTTTGATGTAATCGAATAAACTAAACGTTATTTTATGATTTATTTCCTTGATGTAATTGACTTTTTTTTTTGAAATATTGATTTTTCTTTTCGAGAATTGACGAAAACAATTTTATTGCCAGTGAAACTTAAGTTGAACCCCCTTGATCGTTCTGTCAAAAGATACTGAACCTGTCGTCCTTTTAGACCAAAGATCTTAAATCTCGGGCTTATTATGACTCATGGAATTCTGCATCATCAATTAACTAGACTTGGGAAATGGGCGATTATGATTTTACTGAGAACATCATAAAGAGAAATACTTGATTGAATTTCTGTTTTCACATTATTAACATCTCAATCAGAGGACATAAAGACAAAAAAGTCCTGGAAAAGGCCGTAAAAAGACACGGAACAGTAAAGTTAGCCGTAATCTTTCTCTCCACTCTGCACCTCTTCAATTCCCGTTACATACAGTTCCCTTAATGCAAATAGGTGTTCTACATTTTACAGTTCTTCAAGAAAAAAAAAACTCCGTTCTGATCGACCACCCTACTCACTCTCTGTTTCGTGATAGATAGTCGCATGCGACGAGACCTTTATCACTTTTAAGTCACGAGCTTACCTTGTTGGGAAAGTTTTCAACGTACTTACTCGCTCCCATATCTCTGAATGACATTTCAATTGTCACGGGAAAGAAATATGAGTAGCCCTACTGCACGAGGTAAATAGTTTTAACTTTTCGTTCTCACTGCTCGCTGGGCCTAAAAAGCTGAGCGCACGGAGACGGAGGCTTGATTGAGCGGAAAACTAGCGAATGTTTTTCGTGGGGTTTTAGTAATTACAGAAAAGCGCGCGCTCTGATTGGCCATGGATCACGTCCCTTCTTGCGATTCTTCGAGCGAAGTCAAAACAAAATCGACGCACAAGTTTGCAAAAAAGGCTGCTACGCCCGAAAAGAAGGAAGAAGATAAATAAAACGTAATTAATATTAGGTTAACGAAAACAGGCTGAGTGAAGACTGTGAAATAATCCTTCTTTTCATGTTTTAAGAGTTTCAAATTCTCTTTCACGTTGGTATTTCTCTGCAAGATGCCTACCATTTTATATTCAGAGAAACCTGTATTAAACTGATACCATATTCAATGAACATCTCGAATAACGCCATGGACCGAATCACCAGCTGAAGCTCGACTTTGGCTCCTATTAATTGCATCAACTCCAATAAAATTACACTGAAAGGGCCCTGTTGGTTTCCAATCAGTAAAGGAGCTTCTTTTGACTTTAAAGGTAGCTTCCTTTGACAGCTTCTTTTGTTATTAAGTAACTCAGACGGAATAATGTTAATATTGATGTTTATTAAATCAGCAAATAATTTAAATCACAAAACTTAATATATAACTTAATGTTTCCTTGTCTAGAAACAACCTAATCGATCTTATACACCTTTTAAATATATCTGGTGACTAAAAAAGCCAAGCCTCTACGAATAATTGATCGTTTAAGAATTTCACTGTAATTTACAATATATTTCTATTCCGAAAAAATGAGCGTTTTAAAAAATTTTAACTATAATAAACAACAGAATAAAGACCTATTCCGGCTGTAAATTACTTTACGTCTTCTTTTATGGAATTTTATTGGTAATTCTATGATAGGGAAGAATTAAATGAAAGAGAAAAATGTCATCAGCATTAGTAAGATACAGCGTACACACAATCATAACCTCTCGAGTATGATGTATGTTGCTTTTTCACTACAGTAACCGCTGAATGTAACTGACTTGCGCAGGTGATTTGTAAGATGCGGATGATACGCATTTTGAATTCATGCTAAACGCCTACTGACAATGTTTAAAGCACAGTGCTTTCCGTTACTGACAAACTCGAAATAAGTATGAGGGCCCTTATGTTTGTCCAATCCTCGAGTTAAGTTTGGACTCAGGAATGTGCTAATAATTAACTTGGATGGTGCAACGAAGACTGGGCCTCACTCAGAGAAACATAAGCACTTGGTTATAGCATCTTTGTAAATATTAAGACTTTGCTTTGTTTTCTTCATAGAAATCCTTAGTATCCCTTGATTAAAACGGATTTTTTTCTATTCATGAATTTTCCTTACAAAATAGTGAGGAACATTTAGTTAGAAAAGCGTTTTTAACAAAATCAGGAGTCAAACCTTCCAGTGACTGAGGAAGAAATCGAGCCTAACCAAGGACGGGTTAAGACGGGACGGGACAAGGACGGGACGGGACGGGGCGGGACGGGACGGGGTCATAACATCGCGGAGTTTGTATAATACAACTAGAGGAAAAAAGAGAAGTCCACTTTAGAAGACTTGAAACTTTTCGCAATGATATGCGAAAGTCATGCCAACTAAATCGCCTTGTTAAATGTTTCCAAATATCTCCAGTGACTTCAGCCTGTCTCTAACTGTATCATGCATTCTTTCATTACTGCACAACTACATTGACTAACAGGTCGATGTGTCGGTCAATCATTGCTATTCACGTATGATTCCTTCGCTATACCTCTGTATCCTTTTGCATTTGTAGAGCGTCCATTTGATCCAAAATAAAGGTCACAGTATTTTGCCTCAAAGAGTTCAAATGATTTTGTAACAAGTTTAACTTGTGCGTAGTGGTTTCTAAGTCCTTTTGGAGTCGGTCATTCTCCGCCACGAGTGCTTCATTTTCCTGAAAAATTTTACAAACAAATATTAATTCGACAAAAAAGACACATTGCGAGAAAAAAACTTATTAATAACAAGGTCCTGGGAATACAACTTGTAACAATATTGCCCTTAAGTGACAAAGAAGATATTCTCTGTATGATAAATACATGGCTGCTTGGAGATACGAAATTTCTCTTCTCGTCTTCTTGAACACGGAAAAGACAATCCTCTACTGCTTAATCATCTACTTACCTGTTGAGCATTAAGAAGCTTTTTGTACTGATCTACTGGGACATTAACACACTCGCCGTTAACAGACTTAAGTGAATCCTCAGATAAGTGTTTTTGAAGCTTCATTTTGTTTTTCCATTTTGTTATTCGTAAGGTCTCTGACTTATGAAGAGATTTACCATCGATTCCTGAAAAAGTTGGCAACAAATCAATGTCAAAAAAATAATGAGAAGATTAAAAGACCACTTTTACACTTAGTAACAATTATCAGAAGTCAATCAACTTTGAAAGTGGGTGAAATTAATTGATTGTCATTACAACCATAAACTGACTAAGCACAACTGACCCTGGAATTGGTTCAAGCCTTAGTCCACGATAATCACTCTCACAATAGAAAGTTTGGGGTCAAATCTGAACACCCAAAGAGCTAAAAAAATCAACCAATAAACTGAGATTGATTGGACCTTAATCTAATAAAAAACACCCCGAAACAGCGCACTCATATTTCTGTATACAAACAACACAAAAACCATTTGTTGGCGTGCTAGCCATCATTTGGTAACGTTTCGTATCCTATAGATGTTTAATTAAACAAGACTTTTAGTTGTGACCTACCATTCAATTGTGACGAAGGTTTTTGACGACATCCTCTAACTATTTCTCCTTTACAATTTTTGTGACAGTTGATATGACAAACTGAGAAGAAACCAAAAATTTTTCATTGATTTAATGCCTTTACATTTTGTTTATAGAGTATATTTTGTTTCACTTTCTAGACATTGTGCTAAGCATCGTGTTGCATGTCAACTTACCTTTACATCTATATCCTTGCTTGATTACTCCCCACAGCTGGAGAAAATAGAATGAACATGACATGAAATACTGAGGAAGACACAGAGTGAACTAATGTTCAACTCAATGGACTCTGCAACGAATTGTACAAGGTTCAAACCCTTACTAGAGTCACAGTATTATTGTTTGGAAAGACACTTCATTTGGCTCCCTCAACTCAGGAGTTTAAGTACCAGCAAACGGATACACTGGGATCCCATCCAAGTGAAGTAAAAATGCTCCCAGTCGCTCCATGTCATCAAAACTGGGATGGGCTTTGGAGGTTTGGCCCTTTTTCTCGTGTGCTTGCTTGCGAGGTTAGATGAGAGGATGGGCGAATGGGTGGTATTAATAACGAATGGACCTTTAATCAATAACACTTCATACGGCAAAAATAGAAAAAAAAAACTTTTGGTTCCATTATATTGTTGCACAGAAATTCCTTACCATGCCAGCACAATGGTCACAAAAGGTTGGTGTGAAGTACGTCGTTTCTTGAAAGTTGTGTGAGAAGCCCTTGCTTAGTTCGTGACAGTTTGCTTTCATGAAGTAGTTCTTCATCTCGTCTCGACTGATAACACCGTCACTAAAAGATAACAATTTGGAGGGTAATTTTTAAAATTGAGCCATTTGAAATTATCCAATCGGCATGATAAGTCTCGAAGCACCCGAGTTCAAACTGAGTTCAGAGTCTCCATTGCTGCATTGAGTCGATATATCATTCTAGTAGAGACACTACAATTTGCGTACCATGATTTTCTCAGCGTTTATGTTTGCTTCATTCAGGCAACATATTAATTTAGCCTTCCATTATATTTCGTGCGTGAGTAAGTGAGTGGTGCAACCAAATTAGTAAAATAGTTTTACCATAAGATGTTACACTTTATAATTAAGAAAAAAAAGTTAACAATACATGGTCTTGCTGTCTGTCCGTGCGTGTATCAGAAACACACTTGTGTTTAAAGTGCGTGTGGGTTGTGTTAAACTATTACCTGTTAATGTCCAGAACTCCAAATGAATCAATAAAGGGAAAATTGGTAGCTATGGCATCAAACTCTTCTACTGATATTGAACCATCTTTGTTTGTGTCATAAATTTTGAAGACAGCCTATAAAGAATAAGTCAGAATTGACAATGATGATGATATCCACCCACTATTCAATTCTCTCTGTCCTGACGTCAGACCTTCTCAAACTCATGAACATTTGAGGATGGTCCAAGGCTATGATCAAAGCAGACATTTAGAATGGCATCCTCATACAGGAAACTGAGAGGATACTGTTAGGTACTTTTAGTATTTGGAGTGAAAAACATAAAGGTACCCGGTTACCGGAGAGAAAAATGGTTATTTTAAGAAACAAAGCTCATTTGGGTTTATTTTGCTTTAGGAGTTTCAATAGACTGAGCTTACCCTTGTTTCATAAGTGAACTTTACACGTACAGTTATATGTGATAATGCAAAGTGATGGCGAAAAGGCAACGTACATGTTTTCAGAATTTTAATTCTTAAGATTAACACAAACCTTCTGATGGATGGTTTCAAGAAAAGTTACGTCAGTACAATTAACTTACTTCTGGGTTCTTAGCCGCTACAAACAGTGAATTCAGTTTGTTTTACATGACACGATTTGACTGTAATTACAGTTGTACGTACCTCCACCATGGATGAGACATGTCTCTCAGTTGTCTGAGGGTCAGGCGTTGTGTTCAATAGTCCAGCTGCCCAATCAGCAAACATCACACCTTGTTCAGTATTTGACTCTACACTTCCGAGACTGCCACAGCTCTTTAAGGTAAAACAAAACCTCTTTGAATGAAATGTTCTCTGAAGGCTTTACTATTACCTTTTGTCCTCTTGCTTGGAGTTCTACCAATCTTGCTACTTAGCATTGTATCACTGAGAGATACACTGACGAGTTTGATCATTTGCGGTGAGTAGTACAACATTTGTATATCAATTTGTTGTTGAGGAAGTTAGGTAAAGAATGTTGGAACAATCTATAGAATCTAAAGAAGACAAAGACACCAAATGTTGTCATAACTGCACTTACAGAATGAGTGTGGTTCTTTGGTTCTCTAGCAAGTGATAATTCATATAACTCTTCCTCAGTGACTCTGGGCTGCAATGATACCTAAAAACAAAGTGCAAAGTAGCACAGTTGCTCCAGGGGTGCACAATAGGTAAGAGAAGTTACTGGAAATCTGTTCTTGGATTTAAAGGCAATTTATTGCCAGCCACAATTTCAAGATTCTCCTTTAATCTAGTTCCAAGACCTTAATGTCCAGATAGCTTACATGTTTACCTGAACAGTCCATATTTGCCTTTGTTTAACTTATTAACTGCAGCCAAATGATACATTCCCTGGATTCTGTACAGAAAGGTCCAGGTAAGGTTGCTGAGTTGTATTTCTGAGTCTCACTTTATCAAGAATAATATAAAAGGCTGCTAAGGAAACTTAAAGCCAAGGCTGTAGCCCTGTGATGAATCCATGATGAAATTACCAATACTCCTTGCCGCTTTATGATACTGGAATAAGCTAAAGTATGATTGGCCTCTTGGCTTGTATCATGACTTGTCTTATGTAACTTGATTTCAAATGTATTGCCAACCCTTCTGACAACTCATTGAGCAAAGTACCTTTCACCTGTGTCCAGCCACTTTGCACAGAACAAATAATGCACTGTCAGTATTGTTATTATGAATGGCCAACATACCCGCAGCATTTTAATAAGTTCTGAGTTTGGTTGTACTGATGGTGCAGTGTTTTGAACCAGCAGCACATGTGACATGATGTGTGACAGACGCACCATCTTTTGCAAATTAAGAAGGTGTCCATCAACACTGTCAGGTAAAACAACTTGCAGTGCGATGAGATCCTTCAACTGAATGCCTACAGAAAGTGCAAAACATTAGTTTTGTCAGTTATCTAACATTATAAGTACATACAGTATGCATATCTTTTTACCTGCAGGCATTTTATAAGCTAGTTGTGTAAAATCAATGACATGAAAAAGAAATGAACCACTGTTGAAACTCACCTCTGGATTAAGTTGCACCAATGATATGGATATGAGTAAAAAAAAAAAGAAAAAAAAAGAAAAAATAAAAGAAAAGAATGATTTGAGTGAGCCACTTCACTAACTACACTGTAATATAAATCATAGTATACTGGTATACATAAATCAAGTTCAGTAATCTCAGTAAGTCAATTTTTAAACTCACAATGGTATGTTATAAGTGTAGCTAAGTAATAAAAATGTAAACATATGAATCAATAGGTTCTTACAAAATAGGGATGTGGAATCCAGTAGAAGTGTTTAAAGTTTTCCTGTAGGATGCATAGTTTCCATCGGAAGACAATAACTCCATTAACAGCTTAAGGTACTAAAGTAAAGAAAGACACAATAAGCAAAAACAGTGCAGCAAACATCCATCACCTCTACCAAGTAAGAATTTAGTTATTTTCTAAACTGATAAATTCTTCATTCAACACAGATTGAGCAGTACCTCTTTACAGTCTTGTGAGAGTAACTCTTGAGTTTGCCGTAAGCGAGATAATGCTGTGTTTGTTAGTCCACCTGCCACTGCCATTAAGCCATTAAAATTCTGGAGTTCCTTTAAATGCTTCAAGTTTAGAGATATGAAAGTTAACAGACAAAAAAATCACTTATCAGTACGTATTTCACACCACTTAAATAATAAGCAGGTTGATATTTTCACAACACACTATATCCTTAGTGGGAGATGCGGAGGCCTTATGGTTGGTGCACTGGACTCTAAGTCAAGAGGTGAAGGTTCAAGACCTAGCCAGTTTAATATGTTGTATTCTTGGGCAAAACACTTTACTCTAAGCCCAGGATCCTATCAGCCCAGGAGTCCTTCATCAGATCAGCAGTGTGCAGTCGAAACATCATGATTCACATCATAAGTAACCACATTATGAGACAAATAATAATACTTTATTATGAATGTACTTTACCACAATGAATGAGCACAGCCCTTTTTAAGAAAGTATAAAGGGTATCGGTAAATTTCTTGGGAGATCTGGGCAAATACTGGGGGGTAACCTTGCAATGGACTGGCATCCCATCCAGGGGGATAGTGATACTCCCTCCTGGTGATACTCACTCCTGGTGAGGAAACCAGGATTAGCTCCAGCTGGGTGGACCACTTGGCTCAAGTACAGACTTCACCTTTTTTTTCATTCTTCTTCTTAATTGTGTTTTATATTTTGGTCATTTTCATTTTAAGACAAATGCATTACCATCAAACTCAAAACCCTTTACACCAGAATATGATAAAGAATACCTTCCATGGTATTTTTGGATACAGGTATCATTAAGAAAAAGAAAAGAATAGCATGAATTACAATGAACAACATGTATATTGTGAGACGCAGGTTGATAGTTAATTTGTGGTTCATACTTGTATATTCATATCTCCAATAATAACAATAATAATAATTTATAACATAGCGCACGTGTTTGCCCTATATAAGTCCTATTGACCCGCTATGAACAAAATTTTATTTAGGCACGCCCGTGCATAAATAAGATGATGTGAGCATTTTTTTTACTTGGCTTCAGAGTTTCCATCCTGTTACACTGCAGTGCAGTTTTCCTTCTCTTTGAAATATGGAAGAAACCAGCAAAGAACTGCCCAATTTTTCTATTGGCATTGACCTTTTAGGTCCTGATCCAACAAGCAACAAAAATAAAGCTGAAAAAACTTGCAAGTTGCATGTTTCGCAAATTTTTGTTGGAAGACCAGCTGCAGCAAATTTTGGCTTTGATTTTCTCCATTTTCCCCATAAATTTTGAGCTTTTCATTCAGAGTTATCAGTTAACTGGATCAAATGTTCTAGCTCGAACCAAAGTTTTGACCAGCCAATAGGGACGTTTGTTTATTTTTTTTGGCGTTGTAAGAATTTTGCACTCTATCACAATGAAAGGCTTCTTCACGCAGATCCTTGTTGTTGCTCTGTTATAACAGAATTTGCTCATGCTTTCAGCTGTACGTATATAGATTTATGGATGCACACAGGAAGTTTGGAGAGCACGAAAAATGTGTAAGAGTAGCTTGAGGCGCAGCTGAGAGCAATTCTAGCTTTTTGAGTGCATGAACAAATTCTCAAACTAATAAAAGTAAAATCATATCAAATATCCCCTACATATTTTGTCCTTGATTTTCTGGTGCTAGTCAGTGTACATTATTGAACCGAAACAGATGAAAATTAGGCGCATGTTCCACATAATGACTTTGGCTGTATCATCTCAAAGTTTAACTTTTAATCACATAAACTGCAGTGTTATACAAGGATTTCCAGCCCTGAGAAAAGCCATAATAACACAAGTAAAAAAATATGATAATTTTCCATATGTGTTTGTAATCGCCAATCTGCTACTGACATGTGACTCGCCTTTTGCGCCACTCTGTCACGTTAGTGAATGAATGGCAAAGCCTTTACCATTCTTAATACAAGGTCCTTTGAGAAAAGTTTCTGGGATTATGGTTGCTAAATCACTGGAAAATGTGTGTCATTTACAGACAGTGATGTTCAAAATTTCCTAGAAGGGGAAGAAAATCCAAAATCCAATAATTGACAACTGAAAGATTGTCCACAGGCCGACTTTGGCTATGCACCTGAAAAGATTTCTTCTGTCTGTAAGGCAAAAAGTCATTACCTGAGAATTTTGTAAATTGAAAGTAAAGCCCATTGTTTGTTTTGTAATGATTCAATGCATTTTTCTACCTTGAACCTATCACCAATGCAGAATCAATCTGACCACTAAATCCAGGAACCAAGTGGCATATTTTTCATATGTGACACCAGTGGTGATATGGAGCAAAAACGTTACAACTTCTGCCTTTTTATACTTTGTTGAATGAACTTGGTTTTTTTGTTTTTTGAAATATTGAATAGTTGCAAGATTTGTTGTGGTAAGCTAAGACCATGTAAATTCATTTTCCGAACAACAAGAGAACAAAAACACCAAAAAAGAAAGCACTAGATGATCTTAAGACTGTCAAGGAATTTCTAGAAAGTTGCAGTGAGACAAAGGAAACTTTTTGTTCTGTTCATGCTGAACAATGTTCAAAGGTTCGAAGTGAGGCTGAAAATAAAATTATTTTACTATTTAAGTAAGAGTCAGTAATCAAATTTTCATAACACTTATGAAACCAGTTCACATGTATTTTGGCCTAACTGACAGTATTACACATAAATCTTTGCAAAATTTGGGCCCCAGGTATTTTGTTTCTATTGATACCCAGTATTTGTATCAAAGTATTTGTATCAATCTCTACCATGTATATTTATTGTCTATATAATAAAAAGAAAATTACATGTTAGCTCAAAGATATGAAGGTCATGTTTTCTTGGCACAAATAACAGCTCACCTGTTTGTTGCACTCATTTGTGAGATATTGCTTGTGCCACTCAAGCGTATAGTTCATATCTCCTCATCACCATGTAATATCCTCTTTTTTTATTATTCATTGATAAAATTGACTTTTCATGTCTGTAAAGGGCTATTGTGTTTATATAATAAACAAAATAACACATGGTTGCTTGTAGATATTATATAATTTCTCTTCTCATGTTCAACTTGAAAAGAAATTCCCTATTTATATGTGCCCATGCATTATTCCCTTTGTCTCACCCTAGCTGTTTGTTGGAATTTTTCCATACATATAGCTCTCTCCTGAGGTGTAACACAGTTCAGAACCATGGCCTGCACCCATCTTGATACACCATTGAATAGTGCCACATATCTCTCAAGGTAAGTCGTATTCATTAACTTCCCAGTGCAAACATAAGTCTTCCACTCTGAAAACTAATTTAAAATGATTAAATTTAAATTAATAAAATGCTGATTACATCTGCTCTTCAATCAACACACTAACAAAGCAAGTGTAGTTTAAACTGTTTAAAAACATGGCACAGTCCACAGGTGAACTCATACACAAAAAAAAAAACCAGAAAGTTACATCCATACCCTAAGGCTTGTAGTTGTCCCTTTTTGTTTACAATTGATGGAAAGTAGTATTCTTTCAGGGTGTAGACCTTCATTTATTTATTTTTACTGGACTAATTATTGTCAAGTAAAGTAAAACCTTTTTTTCAGGCATACCAAATATATGGAAACAAAGAAACTTGCAATATCCACAATGCTTACCGGTATTCTGCGTAGCATTCTATATTCAAGGTAAGTCAACTGTTCTGCAATAGTGTGGGCTGATAAGTCCTTGAATGCCAAAGAATTTTTTCGTTGATCCAATGGTGGATGTTCAGCACTCAGGGTGCGATTTCTCAGCTCCTCAGCACATCTATTAGCATAAAAAAACCAAAATACAACACTTATGAGTTTTGCATTCTGGCTTGCATGACACTGTTCATGTAGTTTAATTTGTTTGTAGACAAAAATAAAAAGGAACAAAACTCAAAACAAATGATAGAAATGGAGAAAAATTGGGAAACCAATCAATGACCCAACAACACTTTTCTCAAATTTATCTCAATTTGTATCAGGCTGCGACTATCAACACTGTGTTGCAATTTGTCATTGAAGTTAATATGACTTTAAATTTACGAAAAGAAAATTAAATTTACCTGAAATATTGTGACCAACACTGTACCTTTTTAAACTTTTCAAATACTTAAATGTCACTTTTCTATCAAAATTCTCAGAGTAACTACAATCAACTTTAACAAAAAATATTTTAAAAAGTTGATATTTACATGTTGGACAGATGAATGATTTTCTTCTCTTCCTCGCATTCCACTTCCTCCATAAATTCCTTTACTAGTAAAGTGAGTTCTTCATCTTTTTTGAAGTCAGAGCAGTAATTTGATATCCAAAATCTATAATTCATATACAAGCATTTTCATTATAAAATAAGGGAATAAGGGATGTATGTGTATTGAAGAACTGATGCCTGAGGGAATTGACATTGTTATGTCAGAGCTACACCTCCTCATAAACATTTTCAGTAGTATGTGAAGGTTAGGAAAAGTTTGTCACAGGAAATGCTGCAAAATTAAGATCACAACAGCCCTATAATATATGAAACCTTATCAAACTACAACTATATAAGTATATATCATGTTCACATTGTCTAACACCAACGTGTAGATGTCAGGTATATCTACAAATGTTTGTACAAATGTGGAGGGTGGTGTATATTTACCCAACAGCAGAGCAGATACTTCTTTTAAATTTCCTGATGTGTTCACTATTCACAAGTGAATGATCTGAGTACCTGTGTGTAACAGTTGAATAATTAAAGACACATTTTTAAAGATACATTTTTTAGTAATTAAAGTTAGGTGACATATTACATGTACATGTAGATGGACATCCCTTCTACTTGCTTGATCTAATCATCACTTCTCCGAAAAAAAGCCACCAAAAAATCAATATCAATTCAAAATCACAAATTTTCACAATTATTAATGCCATCTGTACAGAAGTAACATGAATTACCAACTGGCTTATACTTATTTATGTTGAAATAAAACAGGGACAAATTTTTAGTGACCATACCTTTGCATGAACTTTCTAAGTAAATCCTCTGATGAAATAAACCATTTGTGTGTCATGAACACAGCATTTGAAAGAAAAGGCTCCGGTACATCTCCACCTAAAACATAACAAAGAGTTCTGATATTAAAAGATAAGTATTTGAAAGCTGAGTATCATAAATACCTCTAGAAACTGCCTGGTAGTTGGCTTCCAAAGATACTGTAGCTTGTTACTTGGTTGGAAATATATAGTACTTTCTGGCAACACAGTGCAAATGAATGCAGATTGTGCACCCCCCCACTGCCATGAAAGCAAGCACAAAATTATTTCCTGTCACCAAAAAGATCATCACACTTTCTGATTTCTATACATGTATCTACACAATGCCCCCCCCCCTCCTCAATACAGTAACCAAATTTTGATATTTATGTCTCTTAGGAAGTACTGAATCATGGTTAACAAATCTTTTTATTTCTTTTAATAAAAATTTTGTTAGTTCAGAGAATCTGGCATTATATCAACCAGTAATTGTCACTTTCTTTATTTTTATCATCTGTTTGCTTGGAGTTGGATTGACATTGAACAGAAAAATTCGGTTTTGGTCACTCAGGGGAATTAAAGGTTAACAGCTAATGGAGTGCTTTGATTTTTTCTCCAGAAATCTCAAGGTGCCCTTTCCTGTTTCCGCTGTATCTCAAACCATACAAAGGCATCTAATAGCAGACAAGGCACAATTACTTCCTATCACTTGCCTTTTCATCCTTTTTTTTTCTTATGCAATGTTTACACCAACATGTTCCTGAACTAATAAGATTATGTCAAAGAAGGGTTTTTTTACCATTACAGGAAGGAAGACTTGTCCTTTAACACCTATCAAGTCTTAACCAATTTCCTTGAAAATGATATTGTCTTTCTCAAATAATTAACACTGACAAACATCGGCCTGGATGAGGCAAGCTGTACAACCTAATATAACTCATTCATTTACAACTAATAAGTTAATTTTCGTCACAAACACAACTTAAAATCCTTTAGAAATAACAAAATGGTAAATTTAACAAAACAATACAGAGCTTAAAGTTCCCAGCCCGAGTTTAAAACAACCTTTAAGTACGACGACAATATCAAATCTCCTCGTTCGTGACGGAGAGTATTAATAATGAGATGAGAAATAGCCTGTGTGCTGAAAACAGTCTTTTCATCAAAAGCTGAGCAACGCTAGAAATACCATGTATAATTAATAAAAAACTGTACCTAAAAAGAGGCATTGAAGCACTGAAACTTCGAAAAAGCTTAACATATTCTTTCTTACAAAACAAATTCCCAAGTGTTTGTGAGGATAATGAAAATCTTCGAAAAAAAATTAACAACTGTGTGTGGATGATAAATACACACACAAGAACACCCACCGTACATCAACAAAAACAATGGATTACAAAGCTTTGTGAAATGCAGCATGAATATCGGATTTTCCATAAGCCCGACTGTGACAACAAACATACAGTTTTCAGAAATAACGAGAGGGTTTCCAAACGACTAGCATGAAAACTAACTTACTGAATTCCTCCGCACAGTAATCAACCAGTTTTTCCAACGAAGAGACTTGAACGCTTAATCGGTCCAGTTGGCTGTTGTCTAATTCGTCACAACTGATAAGATCAGAGCTTTCCTCATCATTCGTCGATTCCATTCTATCTGATAATCTTTCACGACGTGATTTCTGAAGGAATTAACGGAGATACTGCGATCATAATGTCATCGAATTGGATGCATCCCAAAACAGAAAATGTGATGCCAATAAGTAGGAAATCCAATGATTTTCAAACTGGGAGAACACTGAACCTCAAAATATTAAATCTTAAGCATTATAACTACCACAGTCCCCGTTTAATCTGTAAAATGTATTCTAACCAGCCACCAAAGCACAAATCCACCCACGAAACAAACAAATCTTCTGTTTTTAAAGAATTACCAACTTCTCGATTCGCCATCATTTAATAATATCGAAATGTTATTTTGATTCGATCGCGTTAAAACGTCACTTACCTCTTTGAGAAACTAAAAATAGCTGCAGATTTACGAAGTTCATTCTGCAATCAACACTTTATATCGGCACTATCGAACGTCATCAACCCTACTGCACACAGCTATAAATATTACGTTGGGAAGAAAGCGTCACATTATCTCTCCTTAATGAATCCCTATCTCCAACAACACTCGTTACATGAACGACTACGTCCGGTCACGTATTAAAACTTCGTCCCCAGGGTTTTTCCGTCTCTGTGAAAAGAACATTAGCCATGTAGAAGGAGATCCCATCAGAGGGAGGGAAAAGTTTGGTGCCGAGTGGAAAATGAAAAAAAATGTAATCATTTGCACCGCAGTACATGAAGAATGAAAACCAGGAAAACTGAGTTCCGCTAAACAGATGATGAATTCGAGAGATTTCAAGTACTAAATTGCATAAATACTAGTGGTTCCAGACGCAACCGTGACCGTCACGAGCCACGAAGTTGTTGAAGATGTTGTCCACCTTTATTTCTATTCATGCGAAATATTACAGCCTCGTCCTCAGAGTGTGACTTAGCCCTTAGCCCAACTTAGCCCTGCCTGATATGTGGTGCTGACCAAAACATCTGCGGAATCTTAAGACCAGCTTAATAATGTCTCTGAAATTCTTTGTAAGAGTTGCTTAGTTTCTCCATCCTCGACTTCCTATTCGCGATTCCTCAATCGTGATTTTTCGTTTTCGATTCCTCATTCCCTATTCTCCTTTTTGGACTCCACATTCGAATTTCTTCCTTTCCCATATCCCACTCTCTCTTTTCGGTTTGTGTTTACGAATCCCCATTCCCGATTCCCAATTTTTCCGATTGTCCCTTCCAAATTCTTCCTTTCCTTTCCCCATTCTCGATTCCCCATTGGCTATATCTCATTCCCAATTCCTCATTTCCTAATCTCAATTTCTCACATATTTCATTCTCTTCCTCGTTCCTGATTTTCCATCACCGTTCCTAAAATTTCCGATTCTCAATTCATGGTCCCTCGTTGTTGAAACTAGAATTTTTAAATTTTTTTTCCGTGATCTTTTTTTAAAAATTCATTCCACCTGCGATTAACCGGCTTCTTATTTGATATCATCCACGGTAAAAAATTATTTCAACCATGGCCAAACGCTATTGTTGAAGATTTTAAGGGGAACAAGACAAAAATAGTTGCTCTCTCTGCTAATGCGTTTCCAAAAAATGACTGCTTAAATAACTTGAGTAAAGCCAACAATGAAGAGGTTCTCTCGAGCTCTCACTTGCAGATGCATTCCTTAAAAACGTAACAAAAAATAATATACATACCCGAACGCTAAGACGTACCTATGCAAAGGAGAGTGGAGGAGAAACTTCCCAATTCAACGTGCCACAAGTATAGGTCATCGGCTTCCCCACGTGGTTTTCATACGCGAGGAGGTTGTGCGAGCACCCCCCGGAACGAGAGACAACAGCTTCTCGCAACTGGAGAGGAGAACTGTGCTTGAAGGAACACTGCTTGAAGCCCAAGCATGTTATAACCAGCGAAGAAATTGTTTCATTTTTGGATTATTCTCAAACGGGGTAAGTTTTAAAGCAAAATTCCAGTATACGAATTTCGTGTTACAATGATGGAAGAGAAAAATATGAACCTCAAGTGGCTCAAACTTTTTAAAAGTTTTTTCACTTGAGTTCTTCCAACACGAACCAAGCGTAGAAAAATATAAGCGCAACATGGATGAATTCAGTAAACAATCAGATGCCTTTTTTCAATTTTTTAACGATACTTTAATTATTGTTTCCATATAATTCTGCAATACTCTAGTCATGGTTTCCACTTTGCAGAAGCCCAAACATAAGACAAGAAATAAGCATAAGAACATAAGAAAGCGCTTTAAAAGGCGAATGACGAATGCAGCCAAGATTTTGTCTGAACTAAACTAGGTACGTGATGAAACATAAATTATTTTGGCTCGACAAGTATTATACGTAGGCGTCCAACATAGCTGCATTGTAGTGGTCTGTAAAACCCTCAGTTTAATTACTGCACTGCTGTCGTGCGTTAGGGGACTGGAATGGAACTGATGAGTGAGCTTATTTTGATAAAACAAGGCACCATATGATATGATATGAAGTTTATTTAAACTCTTCAGAGAGTCATAAGGTAATATTTGTGAAAAGGCAAAATTGGCATCAAGCAAGAATTTTCTGTATATGTGTTTTTAAAATTATTTAAGAGTTGGAAAATGAATAGAAATAGTGTAGAGGCACAAACTATTCAGTAAGAAATATCATAAGCTAGTTGATCATTTCCTATTTCTTTGGCAATCATATTTTGTAATTAGAGTAAGTAATTCTACTTTTTTTTATAATTTAGAACCTTTAACACCTCTTTCTTGAAAGCAACTAAAGGTGTAAACAACTTGTACTTTTCATCCTCCGCAATAAATTTACAATCAGTTCATTTGTATGAACAGCATGTAGCTCTTTTGGGAGGGGGAGGGTTACCTTAGGTACGCCCTTGCTTCTCTGAATTTTCTGTTTACTCTGCAACAATCTTCAAAGGCTATTTTCTCTTTAGATATATTTTTTTGGAGTCAGTCAAATCCTCAGTGACTAGGTGAGTTTTGATATTGCTGTCCAAAGTCTCTTACTGTGAGGAATTAAAATTCTGTCCCTGATGCATCAAAGTTAGAGATCGCAGCTCTAGGCTATTGGCTGTGTCTTCTTTTTGCTCAGTTGGAAACCTTTCATTTCTTTACAAAAAAAAAAACAAAAAAAACAAATGCTATCAACGAAACCTGACAGCTGAAATATGACTGATTTTATTCCTGACCTCATCATCATGGTTACTCCAGCTAGTTTGTTTGACGGCTTGTCAATCAACAGAGGCAAATATGTGACTGTGTTTTTAGACTTTTCGATTCATCCAAATATTTGACAACTTTGAGGTCAAATATCTCCCGTTGCCCGAAAGCTAAAACACTAATCTTAATTAACCTTTATAACCCATTATTTCATCTCTGAAAATCGTCAAAAAATCTTTGGGCACTACCGTATTTTTGTCTTGGATGTCTTTTAAAATCTGCGACTATGACAAGTTTCTCTCAACCACACCTGTCACGCAATTCTTGCTTTAGGCGGTCACTTGACGAAATAAACCTACATTTTTTAGCTCTTTACACAAGATGATTGATCAAGAAAGGTGAAAAATGTGAAAAACCTTCGAGATTTTTGGTAGGAATGGAAAATTTCACGTTTAGAGAGATGGATGTAGACGAAAAATCAATGGGAAAATCGTAGCGTTTCTCTCTTCAGTCCTTTATTACTTTGTCTATTATTATTATCGCTCAGTTTACAGTAAGGAAACTATAACAGGAGAGGAGATTTTAAAGTCACATGTCGCGTGCTTGTTGACGTACAAGTTCCCAAGTGTAACAATTTCGGCTTTTCCATACCGCGGATGACGGGAAACTCTGCCCCCTTATTTGATAGGAAATATCAATAGCCCCATAAATTCATTAACTGCGCCATGTTTCCAGTAAATAAGACTGGCAAAATGTTTTTTCCACTTTCCACCATCAAGAAATTCCACGTGTAGAAATGGTATTTGTAGCGTGACGGCGTGACCCTTTATGAGAAGAAAAAATTGTTTATCTTTTTTTTTCAAGAAGACACTTCTAGAAAGTTCCTAATCCTTCTGTTATCTTATTTTCCTGCTTTTGGACAGAAAATATCATCTGCATTTGCTATTACTTTTGCCGATTGTCATGGCCTTTCCTGCGTGCACGTGCGAGCCAGTTCTTATACAGCACTCTTTCGAGTTTCTTTGAGTGGTGTCAGGCTCAAGTGTGTAGGTCTGGCTCAAAAGATATCTGCACGCTTTAACATGGGTTCCTATGTTTTCTCCTTTTTCTTTATTTGTATTTTAATTCTCTTCCTTGCATTATCACACAGGTATCTGGTGATTTCGCCAACGAGTGATTTCGCCAACGTCACGTTCGCGAACGTCTTAGGTCGCTTCGCCAACGCGAAAAGTCGCTTCGCCAACGTCCTACTGGTCACTTCGCCAATGTATTAGTTTACTCTAAATAAAAATTTACCATTACTTCTTCTTGCTTCTGTGTGTTATTTACTTGACTGAGCTGACTTGATTTCCCCGTTCGAACTTAGTTTCCTTCCGTTATTTTGTTCGGACTTAGTTTCCTTCTCTTGTACGCGCAACTTAAAACACAGTGGGCCCACATAAATAAACTAACTTAGAGCAATAAAGTCGCGTGTGTGCAACCTTTTCCTTAAGTTCTTCTATAAGGTTTATTTGTCGATAACAGAGATTTATATAATTACCTTTGAGACTTCTAGAACAGAGATTTATATAAATACATTGTAGACTACTACTACTACTAATTCTATAACTCCAACTCCTTTTTACTCAGTTACTACTAGGTTATTACTAGATATTTGGCGTTGGCGAAGTGACCAGTAGGACGTTGGCGAAGCGACTCATCGCGTTGGCGAAGCGACCGAAGACGTTGGCGAAATCACTCGTTGGCGAAATCACCGCAATTCAACACACATTTATTTTTTTATTCTCTCAGCGCGTTCCCTCAGATTTGGAAGTAGGCTATGAAAAGTCAATATTGACCAGAACTGAAATCCTTTTCTATCACTATTTGTTTCAGAGAACCCCCGTTAATTATAACTTTATTTCTCAAGAGAATGTGTTTTTATTTGCTATTTATCTCCATTAGAACATGAAACTAGGTCCTGATAAGTTTTTTTGTTTCGTGACTCCCAAAAACTGTGTTTGCGACAACATCTGTTGAGAAATCAAAGGCAATCACGCAAAGGTAAATCCATACAATGAAACGTTCTAAGACCTCTGTGAACTAGAGACATTGCGTGATGTTGAGGAGTCAAATACTTACTCTAAATCTGTGACCCTCAAACGGATCACGTACTCGTACATGTAACGTCCGGAAAATGTCACGCATGTATAACACCGTAGGCGCACCTAGCGAATTCTATCCACTGGCTTCAATAATAAAGAGACAACTTATTTACTATTTGTATATGAGCAAGGTTATTTACCCTACTAGAAAAAATCCTTGATGAAGTCTACTATTGTCGGACGAAACGCGTGGGAGGTAAATACAAGTTTTTACTTTCTCAATTCGCGCACTGATGATCACGAGTTTGTTCCGTCGAAAGCGCTTTTAATGTGAAGTCACGTCGACCTCGACAGGAAAATTAAGCTCACCCTGTCATAATCAATGGATTGATACCGTAAGTACCAATTTACGTACATCATTGGGCTTTGATCACAATAATGAAAAAAATGTGCGTTTCCTCACGCTCGCCGCATTTACTCTGTGGAAAAATTATTTTACTGAAGGGCGATGTCGCTTAGCTTGGCGCGTCTTGACTCCGACGAAAATTGTTGAGGTGAACCCCATGAAATTCTTGTCAAATGTTTTAAAAACTTTATCTACCCTTAATTTGCACGCAGAAAAAAAAAGGCAAATTCCGAACGGTATTTCAAAACATTTTATTCATTGATCAATTTATGAACTATTTTATAGTAGCCCGAGGAAAAGGCAAAATTGAACAAACGGCGTATTGGTCAAATGAATTCCAATTTTTTTAACAAGGAGTTGGTAAGTTCATTTTTCCCAGTAAATTTAAGTGGGGGTCAATTTTTTGTGACAGCCGAAGATAGGCATCTCTGAAACGTCTCTGAGACTCTTAAAGAGTTTACACTTCCGGTAATATTTTCCTCCTTCTCGCAACAGCGTTACAGACATTGTTAATCCTATATAGTGTAGGTGTATCAACTGTATTACGTCTTCATAGTGATGCCATATAAGAAATCGAGTGTCTAAAAAGCCCTCAATTCAACCTAACACTCGCATTGATAGAGTCAAGATGGTGCAGTTGTCTTGTTCATTTGCAACTAACTGTAGAACCAAATGTTATTTTTCTCGCGCTGGCCAGGGACGGCAACAGCTCATACCTCTAAATTCGTGGGTATGAAGCTTAAAAAAAAAACATTTCAGGGACGTCGATGTATCCCAAACTTGCGTTTCGTCCGAGAACTGAAGCTTATTCTGGCGCGTATTGGCTTATTTGGAGATTACGAAGGCCGCGATTTCACGATATACCTTAAATATCGCGCGCAACTTGGTGTGAGATTCAGGCTCTCTGGAAAACACAAAAAAACAGCCACCTTTTCTCAGAAAGCAAAGAATGATCTCCTAGACGTGTGCTGGACAGGGGAGAAAATTAGTAAGGCAACCGTCTCTAATGTGACTTCCCAAATATCGAGTTTAAGAGACGACACTAACCAGAAATGTTGTACATGTCTAAAACTGACCGGTCGATACAGCAGCAAATCGCTCGATACTTCGGCCAGTTATCTACCGTAACAAAAATTGGTTTATTGACGAGGTCCCTCTCTGTAAATATGAATGAGGACGAAGAGGCCGATGCCAATGATCTAGCTTCAGAAGTCGAAACTGACCGAACAAGGCAGAAGATAATGAGGGACCTTGCAAAATTTAGACGAAGACTGCAGGAGAGGGTACAGCTGCTATTAAGCTGAAAAAAAAGAGAGACATTTTCATCTCACTTTTCTTTCATATTTATTGTCTTTGCTCACGAAAACAAATGACTATGTCTTGGGATTTCATCAAGGAAAATTTGCACGAAGCCTACTGGTCAAATTACTGCTGGCTCATTCTTAATAAATTTTACAAGTCACGCGATTAAACGCCGGCAACACTCGATCTAAAGAGATGTAGATTTATATATAGTAATAGAATGCTTGAAAAAAATATGCAGATATTTTACGATCGAAGCAGGCAAATAATCATAGAGATCTGTAGATTATTCTGAAATTGTTATCTAGCGGACGGCATGAACAACGCGCCTGAATGATTCCTGCGGAGAGTCTTCAGGTCACGCAACAGATGTTCGCCTAGCGGAGTTCTACATGGAAAAGTTCGATGGCGGTAAGTGACTACGACAACACTATTTTAATTTTATTTTCGGGATAGAAGCACAGTTTTTAGTCTGATAGAACTATTGATATTTTCTCTCAAGCGAGAGCGCCGAATTTCTCGTCTGTAAAAGCCGAAGTTGTAGCACACTAGAACTTGTAGTAATATCAAACAACACGCAGCATGTGACTTTCAAATCTCATAAAATGAGCAATGATGATGATGAACATTCAAATTATAGACTAATGAATGTTTTGTGCCATACAAAAACCATATCTGCTGATTTTAGCAAATCTCCAAAGTAATAAACGACTGAAGAAAGAAACGTTACGACTTTCTCTTCGATCTTTCGCCTACATGCATCTCTCTAAACGTGAAATTTTCCATTCCTACCAAAAATCTCTAAAGTTTTTCACATTTTTCACCTTTCTTGATCAATCATCTTGTATAAAGAGCTAAAAAATGTAGGTTTATTTAGTCAAGTGACCGCCTAGAGCAAGAACTACGTGACAGGTGTAGTTGAGAGAAACTTGTCATAGTCGCAGATTTTAAGACATCTAAGACAAAAATACGGTTTTTTGAAAAAAAACAAACAAACAAACAAACAAACGAGCTGGAGTAACCATGATGATGAGGTCAGGAATAAAATCAGTCATATTTCAGCTGTCAGGTTTCGTTAATAGCATTTTTTTTTTTTGTAAAGAAATGAAAGGTTTCCAACCGAGCAAAAAGAAGACACAGACAATAGCCGAGAGCTGCGATCTCTAACCATGATGCATCAGGGACAAAATTTTAATTCCTCACAGTAAGAGCCTTTGGACAGCAATATTAAAGCTCACATTATCACTGGGGATTTGACTGACTCCAAAAAAACTTATTGATTGATTGGCTAACGCTTTGACTGGCCGTCTGACGTACTTACGGATTGATTTGATGATTGATCGACTGACTGCCTCGCTGACTCATTCAATCTCTCATTCAAAAACTTGCCGACTCTCTTACTCAATAGTTGACTTAATGACTGACTGATTGACTGACCCATTCACTTGCTAGCTGACTATCTGCTTCAATAGTTGGCAGATTTACCGACTAATTTGCTTGATCACTGACCATTAGCTCAAAGGCTGACTGATTGACTGACCAATTTACAGACTGCCTAGTCGTGAGACTTACTGACTCACTCCCATCGCCGGTCTGGGTGGTTGTATTGCTAACAGATTGACCGGCTGGCTAACGGAAAACAGACATATCGACTGCCTGATTAAGTGATTAGCCAATTGACTGATATACTGTCTGGCTGACGGGTTTGCCATCTGATTTACCTTATTTACTAATTATTGACTATAAAAATTAAACAAAAACAATGTTATCTGTCTTCGATTCATGACTCTTAACTTGGCTTCATTCCGTCGGCTGAACTCTACTCATCATCTTTTGTGATCTTCCTGTTGTTTCATCAAGCACTCATTCAAAACAAGACAGAGGAAACATTTTTGTAGCTTTGGCGAAATTTTTTTGTTGCTTAATCCGTAGATTAAGGGGTTGATGCAGTTTGTGAAAAATGTCAAGAAAGCGAGAAAAAAGTTTTCAGTAGTGGACAGGTTGGCTTTCCCAGCAAATGCAAGGAAGAGGAACAAATCGATTTAGGGTGTAACAAATGTTAACACGAGGCACGAAATTGTTATCATCCGGGTCATCTTCCCACGCAGTTTAGCCTTGCTTGCCGCTGACGCAACCGCTAACAAATTCACTGCAACAATCATGTGAATGTACAAGCCAATCATGACAAAAAAGAAAACATCATAAACACAAAGAAAACCATCATTATTCCCTGAAAGGCACACACACAGTGACTCTTTTTCTAAGCTGATTTTCTCGGATCGTAAAACTGAATTTCGCAGGATCACTAGTTTGCTAGACAATTAACATACCAGTAAGAGACGAACTAAAGAAACGATTAAACAATTGTGTATCTTAAACGGCAGCTCCACTGAGTGGATAATTTGCAAAAATCGGATCGCCTTGCAGAGAAATATCACATATTCTTGTGGAAAAATTGAAGATTTTTTTTAAGTAATTTTTTAAAAGTGGGTTTTTGTGTAAAAGTGTAATATAATCCTCGCGCATATGGAAAGTGTACACGATTTGTTGGTAGTGACATTAGTAAGAAAGTCCAAGTCAGCTTGAACCGCCAAACGGGAGATTTTTGCTTCAATATCATTGGCAGCAGAATTCAATCCATCTTGATTGCGCTCGGTATCACATTAACTTTGAAACCAAATTGTGGTGATAGAAGCTCATAGAGCCGTCTTTAGACTTCGAGGTGTTAGAATCATCTTCTTTGTCGTGAAAAAAGGCTTTCACTTGAACGCGGCGAGGGAATTTCGCAACGTTTTGCTTAGCTGAAAACTCGTCGGTTCTTTTTGGTTCCTTACTGAGAACTTATTTTTCTGAATCGGAAAGTGTAAAATTTTCTGGAATGGCAACTACAGTTTTGAGGCTTTCAAGCGTTGAGTTATTAGTAATTTGGGGACCGATAAGTTGGTCGAGTTTTTGGGCCTTAATTTGGTGCAAATAGTTAAAAAGTTCAGAATAGGCCATTTTACAGTTGAGTACTTAGTTGCCAAACCTTTGATTTGGAGTAAGGCTGAAGTTGACCATGTTGTGATAGAGACCAGTCTCTAGTTAGCATGATAACAAAGTCTTTTACATATGAAAAGCAGCAAGGTTTGTATCATAACAAGGTCACCCTTGGGTTCATTCTTGTTCAAAGACTTGGAAATCAAGCAATCAACCGTAAAACGGACTATTGGCATCCTGAATTTTGGCACGAATAGATTGTACTAAAATAGCTGGACAGATTTTGGAAAGTTCAGAGCGGCAAGGTAGAATTTGTTCGTTGAGTTCGTTACGTTTTCAGCACATGGCTCTGATGGTGATTCGCGTTCTACAGTAAAGATCTAGCATTCCGTTTAGCCATCCTCATTTTCACCAAAACTAGGTTTTGTACCCACATCAATTTTATCGGCGGTTGCTTTTATTCCAAAGTTATTCCTAAGGTTCTACGCTCCGATTTTCATGCATCTCCTTCTTCTCATTTTAACCAATATCGTCACCAATGTTCAATGCCAACCTTTTTCAAGTGATTTTACTACAACCTCATTGACCCATTGACGTACTCAATCACTAACTTGCTTACTCTCTGATTAGATGCTGATTGGCTCACTGACTGACTCATTAACATGCTGACTCAATAGTTGACTGACTCACTGACTAAACTATTCACTTTCCCGCTGACTTATTTACGTTCCCCTGCGTAAAAACCATGTTTCGCTCCACATGACTCAACATTAAGGACTTTATTAAGATATGAATCTCCAACAAATGACTCAGTTGTTCTAAAAATGATTCTATAAAGATCTCACTTCCAAGCATTGTCTCTAATTTTATTTGGATGTTTTTCCCCAAACCTTTTCTATTATTGTCTCATTAATATTAAACTAAAGGTGATTAATTGCACTACTTTTAAAAAGATCCTTGTTTCAATAGTAAATGATAACACTCATCGCAACATAATATTTCAGATGCATTTTACCATTATACTTTATTCATGAAAATTGGCAGACTATCAAGCACATAAAAGGGGTAAAAATACGACAGTTGCTGCTTTCCCTACTACTGCGTTGTCTTCTCCAGTCGACTGATTTGATTACTCTATTAAAGCTCAGAACAAAGAGGTTTTTTCGAGCTCTCCCTCGCAGTGGCATTCCTTAAAAAGACGCATCTTAAACTAAGACATATCCATCGAGGGGAGTGTAAAAGAAGACGTTTGAAATCGATCTGCCACAACTTTGGGTCATCGGCCTCTAAGTGGGAGGAGGGTTTGCGAGCACCTCCCAAGACGAGAGACAACATCTCAAACGTGGAGAGAAGAATAATGGCTCAAGGAATACTACTTGAAGTCCAAGCATGTTATGACCAGCAAATGTAAATCATGCAAATGTATAGCAAATTTTAAACAACATTCGGAATTTCAAAATGTCGTATGGTAATGGTTGGAGGGAGGAGGTGTGACTGAACTGATAGTTGCTTGGTCTTTGTGTCTCTTCACTCGAACCTTGTCAACATATCAAAGCTAAGATAAGCATAAGTACACCATAAGCAACTCATCAACAATCTGATGCCTTTAAGCATTTGTTACTCATAATTTGATTGCTCTCATATAAAACTGTAAAGCGTTAGGTCTGGTCCCACACTGTCTAAGCAAAAAACATAGGCCAAAACTGCCTTTCACACATGGAGAGGAGAGATACGTCTCATGGGACTGTGCTGGAGGCCAAAGCATGTTCACACCAGGGTAGTGCGGCGAACCAAAGGCCCTCTTTAACGTGAACAACAAACCGCGCAGCAGACAACTCCAAGAAAATACACACAAGTTAATCCTAATAGTCAATTTATTGCAAATAAGATTAAACGATCCTAATATAATTAAAATAGTAACAATGATTACACTCTGAGAATTAAGCACAGATTACAACTGACAACTGTACAATCTAGAATAAAAACACCTTAATACTGAATGTTAAACTATATTTAATGACCACTCTTAAGACTGAATTGAGTTCCGTAAATGTTATTTTTTACCTTGTCAGTCAATTTCTTCTTCTCTTCGTCCGTCCCATCCATTTCCAGCCCGTCACAGACGATAACCAAAACCATTTCCAAAATATCCATAGAACCACGACACTTCCAAATATCATCCTGTGTAGCCTTTAGCAAACTGTTCGTTGAAATAAATTTTTAATCACGTCCAGATAGATTCTCACTCGTTGGAGACCGTGCATAACTGCTTGTGTGGCAATGTTTCTATCGGACGTTTTCTCTTCTATTTTCCACGACAAACGAGTCTTTGTCGTGAATGAAGGATTTCCTCTTGTTCTTACTGGTTCAATACCTCGTTGTCATCTGCCTAATGTATACACTAATGCGGACGACACGCTATTACATCTTGCGTTAAAGCTTGATAACGTCTTGAATACAGATGAAGCCATTACTGCTATGGAGCCTTATGTACAAGAAATCAGAACGTGGATGCTAAGTGATAAATTTAAGATCAATGATAACAAGACAGAGTTCGTCATGATAGGTAGGACCAGCAGCTGTCCAAGGTCCATGCAGATTCACTCGAGGTCTGGGAAGCTCGCGTTCCATCTGTGAAGTCAGTCAAAAACTTTGGAACTTGGATTGACAGTAACTTGGGACTTCAAGAACATACAAATAACACTCGTAAAGTGGCTTACTTTCATTTTACAAACGTTAGATGCATAAGGAAATATTCAAGTAATGAAGTGACACAAACACTTGTTCATGCATTAATTACAAGGCGCATAGATTAGTGTAACAGTATTCTACGTGGACTTCCGGCAATACACTTAGCTAAATTACCAAGGCTTCAAAATTCAGCAGCTAGAGTTATATACAATTTACCAAAACAATCTCGTGCTACACCAGTTTTAAACATTTTGCATTGGCTACCGGTTAAATTTGTGATAGATTTTAAGGTTACTTCAATTTACATTTAAGGCAATTTATGGGATCGCTCCAAAACATATTTGTGAATTGATTAGCATTAAGGATAACGATCCATGTAAAGTCAGATTTTCTAAAGGTTTACTTTCATAGCCACCAAATGTCTTGACTAAAAATAAAACTGGGAGACCATGCACCGAAACTATGAAACACTCTACCCCTGCATTTACGAAATGAGACATTTTAATACTTTTAAATCAATGTTAAAGACTTGTCTCTTTAGACTTGCTTTTTATTACATTGAAAACAAAAAAGGTAAACAAAAGAAAGGGAAAAAAACATTCTTCGGAAAACTAACAATGAACAGTTTATGCGATTTTACAGAGCACGATTACAATACACTGTTACGATAAGGCGTGAAAAAACATGGAAACAAATAACAAACCAGCTCAGCTGACCATGATGGTGAGATCAGCAAGAAAATCAATCCCTTAGTTACATGTTAACAGCCTAGGAATTGCTTTGCTGTCAGGTTCTACTAACAGCTCTTTTTTGGTGTTAGGAAATGAATGGTCCACAGCAGAGCAGAAAGAACACACAGAAAATGGCTTAGAGAAACACTCTGAGAGGCATGAGGGACAAATGTTAATTTGCTTTCAAGGAGAGACTAAAGGACAGGAATAGCACAACTTACCAAATAACTTAATGTCTGACTAACGGGGACTGGGGTCTAATGGCGGACACACGCACCGTCATTAGGCTCTTCGTATTTCTTATTCTTCTAGCCCATCTAGCGGAGCCTAGGTTCACCAGCTTGATTTACAGGACGGCTAAAGATACTAACCTGCCAGTCGGACCATCTCTCAAACTGGAACTGGTTAAATTTCGCCGGAAACATCGAGTTAAGTTCGCTGTTCAGAAGACTACTAAACATGGGCCTGTTATGATATGTCTGCCCGAAGCAGCGTTTGTCCTGCGGCCCGTCGGACTAGAAAACATCATTAGAAGTGGTGACGTTCACCCTCTACCAGGACCCTGTTTAATTCAAGACCAGCAAAGGACTTCTGACCGAACCCGACCAACAATTGCGTATTCTCCTTCGGCTTTGCGTAATTTGGCTGCCTCTATTAATAGCGTCTCTTTGCGCCCTGAATTAAAACACCGACTCCAAGACCTGGGCATTCTACGCTTTCGGAATACCTTCACTCAAAAACACATGCCGATTCCTGTGATTTCAAGACCCTGTCAATCCAGGAATATTTACAACTCAAGATCAAGAAATTTAAATAATTGTGTCTCCATCTTTACTGGTGATTATGTTAATTCTCGTAGCTGTCCTTTTGTTCCGCGAACAATAGGAGAGGACGCACGATCGATTCCGGTCAGGATCACACCTCGCAGCGCAGTGCGTGGACCCAGTAAACCAGTAAATCGTCAACGAGCAGTGAAAGTAATCAATCTAACTAAGATTACTTCTCAAAAACGCCCCAATTACAGCTTCCCAAGTTTCTACATGGCAAATGCTCGATCGGTCAGGGACAAACTGGACGAGTTGACTGCTCAGCTTTTAACGTTTCACATGGATATTGCAATTATTACGGAGACTTGGCTGCATGACTACATCGATAATAACATCCTTACCATTCCAGGTTACAACATCGCGAGACGTGACCGCCACAACCGAATAGGGGGTGGCGTGTGCGCGTTCGTGTCTTCAGAGATACCTTTCAAGCGAAGATCTGACTTGGAGTCTCCAGAACACGAGTGTTTGTGGCTATGGCTACGCCCTCATCGTCTACCACGCCCAATATCTGGTATTATATGTGGGGTGGTGTATTTTCCTGTGGCCTCTGCGCAAGTGCAGCGAGATCGCACAATGTACATCATAGAAACACTAGACTCCGTAAAGACTTCTTATCCAGACTGTGGTGTAGTGTTATTAGGCGATTTTAACACCCAGGACATCTCAGACATGTTAGCCAATCATAACCTAAAACAAGTAGTTATCAGACCCACTCGGGGCAATAGCATACTAGACCTTATTTTAACGGATTTTAGTGAATACTATAGCGGACCAATTGTCAGCGCACAATTAGGGTCTTCGGACCATAGCTCTGTTCACTGGAATCCGCTTTCAATGAACCAACTAAACCCGCTGTGCGTTGAAAAGAAAAGGATCCCGATGCGTCGCTTTCCTCAGTCGGCAATAAACGCTTTTGGGAGGTGGGCGTGTTCACACCGTTGGTTCAGTGATTTAGAAGTAGACGGTGACTCACCATCAGTTGACTCTCTCACTGACTCATTTACTAAGGATCTTTCATCAGCCAGCGATATCTACTTTCCGTCCAAATACGTGAAGATTCATCCAATGGACAAGCCTTGGATGTCACCTGAGATTAAGGCTCTCATATTAGAGCGCCAACGCGCCTATCTAAATGGCCCGGAGGAGAAATGGCGTCGCCTTAGAAATAAGGTCAGAGAGGTTATCACCCGCCGGAAATGCGAGTTCTATAAAAACAAAGTTAATAACCTCAAGAGCACTGACCCGAGGAAATGGTGGAGTATGGTGAATAAGCTTGCAGGGAAGGCTAGCAGCCCTAACGAACTCAGTTATACTGACGAGGAAGGCAGAATTATCTCTGGTGCGACTCTCGCAACACGCCTTAATGAGTTTTTGTATCTGTAATATCTGACATTAAGCCACTTGATACAAGTGCACTGCCCTGCTACTTACCATCCCCTCAACCGCCCGTAATCGAGACACAAAGGGTCTACAAAAAGCTACTTGCCATCAGCGCCTTTAAGGCCCCTGGGCCTGATGGGATTCCCACTCGTATTTGGAAAGAATATGCTGCTAAGCTCGCTGAGCCGATCACGCGAATATTCAACACCTCTATTGCATCAGGCTCCTTCCCTACTGCATGGAAAGACTCTAATGTCACACCGGTACCCAAGGTTACGCCCATAACCGGTAGGGAAGATTTAAGACCTATCTCCCTAACTGCAATCGTCTCTAAAGTCCTGGAGGATTTCGTAGTTGAATGGCTAATTGAGGATGTTGTGCACCTCATCGATTTCAGCCAATTCGGCTGCCTCAAAGGAACTTCAACCATCTATTGCCTGTTGGATATGATGCACAACTGGTTGTCCTCTATTGACAAACCAGGTATGTTCTTAAGGGCCTGCTTCCTGGATTTTAGTAAGGCTTTTGACCATATTGACCACACTATCTTAGTCAATAAACTCATCCACCTTGGGGTCCGTGGTTTTATTATCCGTTGGATTTGCAGTTTTCTTTATGGCCGTCGCCAAGCTGTTAAGATTAAGAACATTGTATCCCCTTGGTTGCCCGTGCACGCTGGAGTCCCGCAGGGCACTAAGCTTGGCCCCATCCTGTTCCTCCTGATGATTAACGATCTCGCGATTGAAACTCCATTACTATCGAGCCACTGGAAATATGTAGATGACCTAACAATATCCGAGGTCATCCCATCAGGCGGTACATCGTCCCTTCAGAAAGATCTTGACGCCATTGCACAGTGGTCGTCGCGCAATAATATGAACCTCAACCCAAAGAAGTGCAAGGAACTTGTGATTTGTTCGCTTAGAACACGGCCAGATCTTGGCCCTTTGTGCGTCAATGGACGTCCCTTAGAACGGGTCTCCTCACACAAGGTCCTTGGAGTCACTATCAGCGACACTCTTGGGTGGAATGAGCACGTGCGTGAGATTGTCTCCAAAGCCTCAAAACGTCTTTACATCTTAAGAGTGCTCAAGCGGTCCGGAATTCCACCCGAAGACCTTATTAACATATTTTATGCCTTGGTACGATCGGTCCTCGAATACGCCTGCGTCACTTGGTCTACTAGCCTACCAATTTACCTCAAGGACATGATCGAAAGAGTTCAGAAAAGAGCTCTGCGTATATTATTTCCGGCGCTGAGCTACAAAGACGCCATTGTGGCTGCAAACTCCACTCGCTTAAATGTGAGAAGAGACGAACTCTGCAAGAAAGTTTGGGACGGTATCTGTGTGCCTGGGTCACGGCTGTACCACCTTATTCCACCAAAGCGCGCCGATTGCCACGTTTATGAGTTGCGCAACAAAAACCATGTATCACTCTTTAAATGCCGGACCGAAAGATTTAAAAAATCTTTCTTTCCAACAATGGCGTCTAACGCCCAGTTCTTGTAGTCAAGCAAACCTAAGCGTTTTTCATTGGTATATAACTACTGACTCTTGTAATTCCCAGTCCCCTTAGACTTTTAATTTTAAAGTCAAATGTAAGATTGTCGTATTTTTTAAATATTTAAAGTATACTTGTAAATTCACATGTATTTCACCACTGGGGTGCTATTTTTGAATACTTTTAATAAACCCTTTATTATTATTTATTATAACGGTCCATGTAAAGTCAGGCTGACTGACTGACTTACTTACTAATTTATTATTTGACAGACCCCATTGGCTGACTGGTTGTTTCGCTGACTGACGGGCTGACTGCCTAGCTGGTTAGCTAACGGAAAGACACAGACAGACTGGCAGATAGGTACTGACTGCGTGGCTAACAGACTAAAAATCTCACCGCCTGCCTGGCTGACTAGCTTACAGTTAGCTGACTTACTGACTGTTGATTACAAAACTAACAACATAACTTACAAACACATTATTGAATGTTCTCGCGCCTCAGAAATTGAGCTATATTTGTTGTTTTTTATGACCTTCCTTGTTAGTCTATCAGGCATATCTTCAACACAAGCCAGAGAAAACATTTTTGTACCTCTGGCGAAAGTTTCCGTTGCTGAATCCGTAAACAAGGGGGTTGATGCAGTTAGAGAAAAATGTCAACAGAGAGAGAACACCATTTACCGTACTATATATGTTGAAGTTTCCGGTAAATGCAAGGAAGAGAAAGATTCGACTTGGAGTATAGCAAATGATTAGAATAAAGCAAACAATTGCGACCATCCGGGTCATCTTCCCACGGAGTTTAGCCTTGCTTTCCGCTGACGCAACCACTGACGAATTTACAGAAACGATCATGTGAATGTACAAGCCAATCATGACAAGGCAAGGAAAGAAAACCATCATCATCACCTGAAAGACACCGACAAACAGCCTGGCCGAGGAGCCTTTGCCAATGATGTTGACTCTGCACCGGAAAACCGAGTTGGGATTGTATTCCATATCCAATATGGCCGAGGACATTAGTAGACACGACCATACCCACGACGCCAAAATGCATCCAGCAACATTTTTTCTTCTAAAAATACTACTATATTTGTGTAGCTTCACGATGGCAATCCATCGCTCGACCGACAACAGCAGACAAATGTAAACCGAGAAAAACAAGAGCTGCCATGGAAAGAAGAAGGTCGCAATAAGTTTACAAAAGATCGCTCCATAAACAGGGTTTGACGGGAGAAAATAATGGTTGACGACATGAGTCATGATCACAATGACCGCGCTTAGTACATCAGAGACCGCCAACGACAGAATCAAAATGTTGTAGGATTTTTTTAAAAGTCTCCTATCAAAGACAAAAACCAGAATAACTAAGGTATTACCAAAGAGGGCAACTGAGGACAACACAATGTAAGCAGTGGTTTGGATAATATAGAACAGGAGTAATCGTCGAGCAACTTCCTGACTTAAGCTCGGAGCCGAGGTAGTTGTGTCCTTCGTAAAATTGTTCCAAGACAGATTCATAGTTATTAATTCAATTGAACTTCCGAAAGCTTCAACTCTCTTCTTTTTTCTCTTAATATTTCGATAGCTAGATTCTTGCTATCACCTGTGTATTTCTGAAAGAAAAAAAATTAATTAAAAGAATTCAAGTTAAGGACATCCTCTTTCTACGGTGACCTTAGAGCACGGGGTGTGTCTCTACAAGAAAAAAAATTCGAGACGACTCAAGCACACGTCAGTTTACCGAGACTGCCGTATTTATGCAAAGACACTAAGATTGAGACATGTACAGAAATTAATGCAATAACGAAAATGGCGAAAAATTCGTCAAAATCCTCATTCCCTCAAGTTGATTTTGCTTTGACGAATTTGACTAAAATTCGCCAAAATTGTCAAATCCATGGACATTCTCTCGGTTTGACGAAATTTCGTCATTTCTGCCATTTTCGTTACTGCGTGCGTTTCTGGACATAAGTGCGAAGATTAGAAAGGGATGCTGAAGTAGAAACAGAATCGTGATTCTTATTTTTATGAAATACTAAAATTAGAAGTGTTTAGCAACTACTAAAATCAGGAATGTTCTGATTATCTTGAAATCCGTATGCGAGTCTTACGAGCCTTAGTTTGTTATGTACTGTTTTTTATGGGACGACTTAGACTTTGGCAAGCTTGATATCACTCCCTTGGGCATTTACAACTTTCCATGCAGTGTTGGTTTCGTTTGAATGAAAACAAGCCTTGCCGCATGTCCGAAGGTTAAAGCAGTAATACCGCACACAAAAGGTATAATAGTAGTAGCTGCATAACATCAATAACCAAAAGAAAAGCGATGAAAGCAAAACAAACAAAGCAAAGGAACGATCATTCCTCTTGCGCCTGATACCAACGTTACATATGTAACCATGTCGATAGGAAAGAATGGCAGAGAGATACAGCTGGGACCTTCGGACACGAGGCAAGGCTTATTTTCATTCCAAAGAAACTAGCGTTGAAAAATTGGCCTTTTAGACTTTTTATCATAATAATCCTTCATTTTCTGCTGAGAACGTTGCAGGTTCTCTTTAGCTATATTCTGCACCGATTCCACCTTCTCTACAAAGCTTCATGCACATAGCTTGCAAGATCTTCGGATGCACTAGGCGATAGTTTGACATCGATTGGTGGGCGGGGCTCTCAACGGATTTCTTCGTAGAAAGGGCTGACTCCAATTGCTCCACAAATAGAAGTTCTAAACCATCGGAATGTATTCGTCCCAGTTCGAATTAAATCTTTCAACCAGACCATCAGTTTGAAAGTGATAACACGATCTGTTTACCTTATGAATTTGAAAAAAATCTTACAAAACTCAGCAACTAATTTTGAAATAAAATTCTATTCTCTATCCGATTGCAAAACTTAAAGAGCTATCATTTCATCAATCAAAAGCCGAGCGACTACGATCGCTTCAGCACTAGGAACTGAAAAAGCTTCTACCCATCGAGTAAGATAATCATTAAAAACAACGATAAATCTGTAATTTTTCCTTAGTGGTGGAAGTTGTCCCAGGATATCAACACCAACTCTTTCAAACGGCCCTTCTACGAGAATAGCAAGTAAGGGGCTCTTTTAAAATTTCTTGGCGATTTTCTTATTGAGCAATCTTGGCAGGGCTTGCACCAGTGCTCAACATCCTTGTATATTCCTTTCCATCAATACCTTAACTTAGTTTTGTGAATCCTAAAATGGCCGCCAGAGACGTGATCATGAATGTTGGATAACATTTCAAATTTTGGAGACTGAGGAACTTCAAGCCGTGAAAACTAATCTTAGTTGCCGCGTTTCTGATTACGATACAGTAAACCATCCCGACCAATGTAAAAGCTATCTCTTGTAAGAGAAAGTTTTCGAGCCGATTTGTCATCAAAAGGAACTACAGCATTTCCGAAGAAATCGATTATTTTACTTCACTCAAGGCCTCTTCTCTACTTTTAGCCACCTAGGGATCTTCTTTACGAAGTGAATTCAAATCATGACTTGATTCATAAGGACGCCCAGATGAGCCAGCATTATTTCTGTGCTCTTTACCAGGTCGGTGAATAATCTCAAACTCATATTGCTGAAGCGGCAAGGACCACCTCGCTAAACGACCTGTTGCGTCCAGAACATTTAGGAGCCACTTAAGCGAATTATGCTCAGCAATCACCGTAAATTTGCAACCAAACAATTAAGGCTGAGATTTTTAATTCCTTCTACTAAAGTAAGTGCTTCGCGCTTAGTTGGACTATAATTATTTTCAGCTTGGCTCAAACCGCGACCGTTGTAAGCAATGACCACTTCTCTATCACTCTGCTTTTGAGCAAGAGTAAAGCCAATTCCGGTTGAGCTTGCATCAACAAAGAATATATAAAAATTTCATACAAAAATTCTTGTTTAAAATTAGAGTACGTCAAAACTGGAGCAGAAACCAAGGCGCGCTTCAGCTTGTCAAAGGCATCTGAACCAGCTTCGGTCTTATAATAATTTGCTAACCCAATGAAAGTTCTTAATTCCTTCAGATTTTTGGGAACAGGAAATTCACGAACAACACACGCCTTCTCAGGGTTTGGCTGCACCCCATCAGGTGTAACTACGTGATCTAGGCACTCAACTGTCTGCTTCGCAAAGCAACACTTCTTCGGATTAAGTTTTAAATTGCCTCCTCTTACTCTTGAAAATTCCTTCCAGATGAGTCAAATGTTTCCCTATTGACTTTCAAAATACAACCTCTTAAAATATGGCTCATCAAACGAGTGAAACTTGTTTCAGAATTTGTAAGTCCAAAAAGCACGAGTAAAATTCTTAAAGACGTTCTGAATAGCAAACGCTGTCTTTTCTCACAAGATAAAGGATCCATCTCAATTTGCCAATAACCCGATTTTAGATCAAGAGTAGAAAAATACTTTGTTCCTGATAAAGGTTTAAGCCACTAAAGGCACTCAATGGAAAGCAGTCTTGTACCATGACTTTGTTTTTGCGCGAGAATCAATGCAAATTCTCATTTCACCACTGTTATTCTTATCCAAAACTACAAGAGAAGACCAAGGACTCAAAGATTCTTGCATTATTCCTTTTTGCAGCATATTGTCTACTTGGCGGTAGATTTCCTCCCTATTTTCAGGCGTTGTCAGATAAGGCCTTTGCTTAACGAAATGGGTATCGCCTGAATCAATGACATGTTCTGGGACACTCGCAATAATCACGTTTACTTCAATACTACTTAGGTCGGTTGGGGTGCGGATATTTTCGGATGGTTTCAATTCAAAATTCGCTATGCTTGGGTGAACTTCTTTAAAACTACCAAAATTCGTTCTACGATACACTTTGACTGGCTGAGCAGAAGGATTAATAATTCGAACTGGAAATCGTCTGAAACACAAACTAACTCTGTGGCTCCGAAGATAGAGTATTTTTCAGGTAATGTGAACCTGAAAGCCACTATCCCAGTTGTATTTGGACTTTTTGGCAAAGTACTTAAAGCTGTAGGAAGAACTACCTCAGATTCCGGCGGGGTAACAAATGAAAAATCCGCATAGTCTGAACATCATCAGCTTCAAAACCATAAAGAGGAAGCGGATTTCTTCTGAAGACAATTCAATGAAGACTTTATCGAAGTCAATCTTAGAAGAATATTTCTTGAGAAAGTCTCTATTTAAAATCACATATGTTGAACCTTCAATCACATGTGCTTTACAAGGAAAATTCCTCGTTTGAATGACAAATTTGATCATGTTTTACTTAAGAAAACTTAACTGTAAAATTTTCAGAGGAAATCCATCCACCGAGGTGATAATTCCGGAAGCAGACGCTCTTAAAATTAGAGTGAACGCTATATAAATGTTCATTCCCTAAATGTGCCTTTATTGCTGTGACAGCCGCACCAGCGTCTACAAGGCAAGAGAATTTGTGACATTCTATGCTTACGGAGACTAATAGAGCTGTAAGGGGGGAACAGGTGCCATCAATCGCGTATCGATAAATTTGAGACTTTATCATCGAAAAAGAATCAAGCACTTCTTTTTCAACGAACGTAGTTGGACAACGCGAGTGACAATCTTCATGGACTTCAACAACTAATTTGGTACTTCGGGTGGTATAAAAACAATTTTCATCCACTTTAAGCTCCAATTTATCATCCCTAACAACGTCGGGTGCTCTGGCCAAAATTTTGTGACCTTAATTTCCTTAAGAAACATTATACACTTAATTTATGTTCCCGAGGGAAACAGTTAGTTTTGTTTTCCCGTGAGTCCTGATGTTTCCCCGAGACGAAGTCAGAAGAAGCATCAGGACTCGAGGGAAAACAAAACTAACTAGTTTGCCGAGGGACCATACATTAAGTGCTTTGTTATATATTTAGAGTTTCCCTTAAACAATCATGTGCTTTTGTATTCGGCGCGCGTGCAACAACTGCGCAAATGTATCCAGGTCGGGATACATTTGAATTTAATCAGGGGCACGTGACCAAGAAAGTCTAGGTATATAACAATGCCTGTTTTTCCCCTACCCACCCTACCCCCTTTTTTCTTCCTCTTACTTCAAAGTATGTCTGACCTGTAGTAAGCAGTCATCCCAAGGGGAAGGGCGACCGTTGAATACAGGTTGACCGCCTGGTTCCACAGATTTGGTACATTACAAAAAACGATAACTAACAAAGCCGCTTTATGGCATAACTGAAACTTATTGTACGGAATCTCGCTCGAAAATACTTCTCACTTTGACTTTTGGAGAGAAACATGGATTAAAAATTACTTGAAAGATTAGTATTAGTTCATTTGAGTGGTTCGGCTTTAACTGACCGTTCAGTTCAAGTGGAAGACATCACAATCAGGCCGTTGGGAATCAGTAAAGGGTGACTGCGATCGCTTAATAGAGGTGAAAATACCAGTGACTGAGAGGAAACAAATTCG